CTTTCGTCGCTTGCGCAAGCGACACACCAGCTGAATGGCAGAACATGGGTTCAAAGTTGCGAAAACATCCCCCCTACCTTCAGGGGAAGGGGGGTGGGGGGGTCCCCAATTGCATTTAGCCTTCCCCATGAGAGGGAAAATGGAACCACAAATGGAATTCCAGGGGTCACCCCCCCAATTCCATTTTTGAGGGTGGGGATGCGAAAACCCATCGTGGAGAAGCTGCCTTAAAAAAATATGCCTGGACCCAAAAGGCCGAGAAGAATGGGGTATTGCCACGCGAAATGAGTGCTGACGAGTTCTTTTCTTACCCCTTAAACTCCAAGCCCTGGGGAAGTTAATCTTTTACAGACATATAGCCCATGTTACCCAACAATTTGAAAAGTTGTGTTTTTAAGAGGCGGTAAGTTTTGTTTTTATGCCGCCTACAAACACAAACCCGGGTTTTCAGACGCAATCGAAATGATGGTTTGCGAGGCCAGGCTGACCAAAAGCGACCCGTACCAGTCATTTGTCAGCTTCTCTTGTGGATGGACATGTTTTCCTTTTGAGTTGGAACCCCTTTATCGTTGTTGTTCGGGAAACCAACAGGAAAACCATGTTGTTTTGGGGGTCCTCTGAAACAAGGCACACCCATGTGATCATCGAAGTGATGCCTCCACAAAACACACCTGTTTCGGGTTTCCCCAGCAGCGCCAAACGCCTCTGCGTGTTTGGACCATGTTGGCAGACCCGTGTCATTGGCGCACGGCTCGGGGCATGTGCCGGGCTGGATATGATACTTGCCCAGAGGGTGCCGACTGTTTTGCGGCCCTCAAAGACTGTCTTTTTGTCCATGGGCCCTGAGGGGTCGGGGTTCTTCATCGGAGGGTCTGCTTGGGGGTCATGACCCTTAGGTTGGAGACCTTGACGTGCTTCGTGCTCCGCAAAGTCAGCGCGTTGGCGTGAACGGCTTCATGAGCCGCAAGGCAGCAATTGAATCGGTGGCCGAAACCCACCGTGCGGCTCCGACTCGCGCTCAACCGTTTTGAACGGTCCGATTCATCTGCCAAGTTAAATGTGGATGGTGCCGAATGTGCGGGTGCGTCATCTTTTTAGGGAGCCTCCCAAACCGGCGGTTTCTGTGTGGTGTTCCTTCCATCAAAAAAGGACCCCCCCCCCCAAAACCAAGACACACCCGTGTGCAGGACAAAGAACAAGAAACGGGACAGGAAAACACGTCTCCCCATCCGGCACCTGTCGCTACGAACCTGTCGGCTTGTAGTGCGACTGGAGACCCGAAGTCCCAACCATGTCTTTGTCTTGGGGGAACTGCAAGAACGAAAAGAGCAACACAAGCAAATGCATTAGGTGCCAAGAGCAAACTATCTCTTATTCGGGATATGTCACGATCTCAGGGCCCCTTTGGTACTTCCAGTCTCGCATCTGCGGTAACTTCGCGACAGGGTGTGGCTGCTTTGACTCCACAAGTCTTGTGAGCCAAAAAAGCTCCTTCTCACATGCCTGGCACCCCGAATGCAGTCAACCCCGCCCTATTTGACCGAAAAAAGCCCGCATGGCCTTGTCTTTGTTCACTCGTGTGCGCATACGACCATGCATGACCCCCCCCTACTTTTGCTTTAGCATGAAGCTGGTTGGCAAACAACACGAAAAAAACCGACCCTGTGCCAGATGTTTGCTCGGTCAAAGGCATCACCCTACCTTAGCCGCCGAGAAAAAAACAAAAAAAAAACGGGCCATGAGTGGGGGTGTCAACAGCACCAAACCCATGTGCCCAGCTTGTGACGACTGACGCCGTTTTTTTCTTTGCGGCAAAGCAAAGAGATCGGAGGTATAGAGCCCACAGACCCTGTCGCGAAAGCGGCATCCGAGAATGTGCCCCAGCTGTTCAGTGACCCTGGTAGAAATAGGGACCGGGTGGGTTGACCATATTTCTAGTGGGGAAGCCATCAATCAAGAAGGGGAAAGAACAAGTGCCACTCAACAACTGGGATGCGATCGACTTTTCGCTCGCTTCAAAACACTACGCATTTTGAGCGGAATTTGCGCGCCGATTCGCGAATTCGGCGGCTGCGTGCCGAATCGCCAATAAAAGGCGTCTTGCTGGTACCCTTTGGGGGCGCCGTTCAAGAGGCGCCCCTGCTTGACATTAGTCCTTTCAGCGTTGGGAGAAAGTTAAGTGCCCCAAGAAGGAACTTAAGCAGATCTGCCCCAAAAGGTGAGGTTTGAAAGATGTTGAAAGCGACAAAAAAAAACCAAAAAAAAAACATACTGCTCTGGAGAACTGTTTTTGAGGCCAAAGCCAACCCGCGTGGGGTCCTTTCAAGGAGAGAGAGAAGGGAACAGAAAAAGAGGGGAAAGGAGAAAGAAAGGGATCCTCATCAAACATCAAGCACACACACACACAAAAAGTGGAGAAAGACACACACACACACACACACACACACACACACACACACACACACACACACACACACACACACACACACACACATGTTTTTATCTTTCTCTCTCTCTCTCTCATTTTAACTTATCACATGTCTATATATATATGTAATATGTAATTATATGCCACACCCTCTCCAAAACTTGCCCAACATGCCACGTGTCGCTCTTTTTCGTCTTGGCCTCAATCACCTCCTGTGTAAACACAGGGCCTTCTTTGAGTTGCCAACCAGGCCGGAGGCGTCGTTAAGCCAAGCACTGCTTGTTGGTTGGAGGCGTCGTTAAGCCAAGCACTGCTTGTTGGTTGCAGCACCCAGGGGATTTTGGACATGTTGGGTGCTGGGCTCTGGATTTAACCTCCCCCAAGCTAACATGGAAGCTCCCGAACGGACCCCTTTGGAAGACTTGATTCCATTTACAGAGGCCTTCTGGGAGCTTCCATGTTAGTCTGAGGGAGTGTAAATTCGCACATGCAATTTTACTCTGGCGTCAGCTGTGCCGGTAGATCAGTATACTCACGATGCAAAATAATGCTATAAAAAAAAATCCGGCGAGTTGTACATGCGGTAGAGTCCACGTCATAAAAAGCCCACCATGGACGAAAGCAGCTGATATCAAATGCTATAGAACTAGTGATGACTGCGAGATAACTCTTACACAGCATCATGTTGCTCAAATACTGGACGCTCCTTGCACTTAACTGTTGCCGCCACCTTGCAGTTACATCCACGCCAAACTAACCAATTACAATACATGTGATGAATACAACACATGCGTAGTATGTGCTTACATGACTTGCTCTACGCCTTTATGCGTTCCAATTGACTTCTTGCGCGTGCATTCGCTTATATACGATGCCGAAGAGAACCCATGCATGTGTTATTCACAACACGGGGCGTAATACCTGAGGCTGTAGCAATCCATGCAAAAAATGGCTGGCAAAGCACTATAAAGCACTGGATGGTCTATGCTTCTTGGGCCTCTGAGTACCCTGGGCTGGCCTCAGATCTCAGATCCCGTGCTCAAAGCTTAACTTTTAGCTAGCGAAGTGGAATTCCCCGCAACCGTGAGAACCTACACACCTCAGGGACTGGGAAGCGAACTTCAAGGATTGTCCAGCCTCTGAGGAACACTTCTCTTCAGCAAAGAAAAGGAAGCTTGTCATAAGCTAGTATCTAAGATACTGCCACGACCAGTTTTTCTCATCACAAAACACCTCGCCGATCGGCAAGTCTGCCCATGTGCGAGCTTCATTCCGACTTGTTGTGAAACCCAAACAAGCTTGATAGGGCTGCAATATTGTGATGATTCCAGCAATGGCAGATTTGTTTTTGGACTTGGTCCAAGGAAAATGGTGCGCAACATGCTGGATCAATGGACCAACGGCCCAACGGACTGGTTGACAAACCCAACACAAACCATCGTGGCCTCTGGGGGGGGGGACTTGATTTTGCCGCTGTTGTTTGCAGTGTAGTGTTTTGACTCAAGGGAGACGGTGTGCACCTGGTCATTGGTGCTATTGGCCTGTTGGTGCTTTAGTTTGCGTTCTTGGGTGTTTGGTTCAAAATACTCCCACATGTTGCGATACATGTGTTTATTATATCTTATCACGATTGGAGTTAGGCCCAGGTATAGAATGTATATTGTATTGTTTGCTTCGCTTTGAGTCACTGGTAGAATGTGAAATGTATCCTAAGTCTACCCTAGAGAATAGAGTCGAACATACCGAACATACCTTAATTGGCAAGTTGCACACGGACTATCGGAATTGTGCAAAAAGACACCAAGATACATGATCAATCGGGCAGAATTCAGTTTGGCATACCCTTGAAAGCGGCTGCCCTTCTATTCGTGCCGTTTCGGCAAAGAAGAGCCACTCAGCACTTGACAAACGCCCTGGCGGGCTGAAGGACTTTTCCAAATCACGAATAGAGGCAAATGAGAAACGTTGGTAGGTTTTGGATTGGGGGTGACATAGCCATGTACTGCATATATAAATATATGCATGTATGATCTATATATATATATATATATTTGTCATATCATCAAATAACAACTTATATACATGTATATATATATATACATATACACAGCACGGGATCCTATATGGGTGTTTGACCAAAACTAGGGTTGCAACCCCAGACACATGCTTGGTGATGTCCAACTTGTGTTTATGGGTGGTGCTGTCGGGTGCACGTACGCTACACATGAGGAGAACAGCAAAGACATGGCTGGGCTGCCCTCAGATCCCCCGCAAAAAGTTTTAACTGTTAGTGGGTTAAATGGAAACTACCACTAAACACTAAAAGGCTAAAAAGCTAAAGGGATGGCTGGGAGCCACCAAGATGGGTGCTTCCTGAGAAAACATGGGCCCTGGTTGCTGTGCTGAAGGTCCTTCCTTCCATCGGCCAGGGATTTCCCTCAAGTAAACGCAGCACGCCATGGCGTGAGCCGGTGAGAAAGGATAAGGTGAACTTTTTCAGCGGCTGGCATATCAGACATCGGAGCCCGGCCCAACTCTTGCAAGACAACAACTGCTGTTCAACCCTTTTGCCTAGCAACAAAAGCAAGTACGAAGCCTGACATATCAGATCCGCACGTTCGACGAGCGTCATTCAGTGCCCGTCCTCTCCTGGCAGTATAGCATCAATGCGCCGAGACTCGTGTTAGGAGGGAGCATTTGTCATCATGCGGTTCATGCTGAAAGGCGACGTTGGCTAATACAAGCAACGGCGTGTGATTCTGATCCCGCATTGAGAACTCGCTGACGCTTCAACATAAGCTTGCCCCAACCTGCAATTCAATCCCTGTTACACACACACACAAACACGCGCACGCACTGACTAAGCATGTATTTAAGGTTTGCTTAAAGTGCAACAAATGCTAAGAGGTGTTCAGCTCAGCTAGGAAACAAGTGCACAAGCCTTGATATGATGACTAGACAGTTGGTTGGCCCTGCTTTCCCACTTGAGGGGATAGCGGCTGAAGCAAAGCTGCCCATGCTGTGGATGAGCTTGTCCATCCACAGTATCATCGATTTCCCTCTAATCTTTACGCGTCAAGGAGATTGAAATGCAAAGCGATCCAAGGACTGTGTTACGAGTACATACAGGAAGCAGGGTCCTTTAAGGAAGTGAGATGCTGATCGGGGCTAGCGGCTTCCAGCACTATGTCCGACTTCACACCCTGAAGCATGGTCCCCAGCGACTCATGCAGGCTCAAGCGTTTGCCGGTATCCGGGGACGGGGTTATCTCTGGATACGCCCAGGATAAGCTAAGGATAAGCCCGGAAAATACCACCTACCCCTGTTCGCCTTTTATATAGGGGGTCCATGAGGATGCTTGTTCTCTCCGAAGCGCACGCTTCGCGACAAACAATATATCCCCCCGATCGATCCTATTGATCAGTGCCACGAGCAACCTGGAGCCGAGAAAACAACTGGCCCCAACGGCTCAAGCGATACCCTTTACCCTCAAACTCGACCAATAGACAAGATTGCCCCAAAGCCAAAAATGATGTCCACGTTTTAAGGGTAGTTTGAGGGTCCAGGTACACATCATTGGATGTCCCCATACATATATATATATATAGACATATACATGTATACATAAATAAATACCCTGGACATCATCAGAAAAACATACTCAGCCGCCGCTCTGATCCATTTGCTTTCGGGACTCTTGCAAGAGCCAAAAAGGGAGCCGAACAAGTCTTGGCCACATTTGGGGTAAATCCTGTTTCACCTTTGGTCTACCCTCAACAACCCAAACCTGCACCCTCAAACTAGCCATAAGCATGGGATATTGCCCCGACATTATGGCTGGTTTTCCCTTTTTTGAGGGTTCAGGTAGATCAGAATGGATCACAGCCGCAATCAGTACCGTTTTCTACCTTAACTGGGTCCTCCATTAGAGGTTAGAATACGGGTACCTTTTTTCTGTAGTCTATTTTAGCAGGGGAACCCTCCCAACCAAAAAAGGGGTGAGACAGGGCACCTAGCTGGGGGACCTAGTGACATACCCAAACATGTTTTGGAGGAGACCGTTTCATGCCTGTGCGGCTTCGTCGCGCCTTGGTGCTGCCACGTGCGTGGTGATCTGGAATCAAACACCTCGCCGTGGAGGCGTTCACAGCGGCTCCCCATCAGATCCCCGGCGAAAAGCCAAACAAGACGCCCTTGGGTGAATTCGTAAGATGCGAAACCAAGAGGTTTGAAAAGGTTTGCATTGTGGGCAGGTGACAAACCGGAGCTCCAAGCAAACAAGCCTTTCTATACAACCAACCTGGACCCTCAACCTACCCGACAAAAAATTGGTGATTGCCCCCAAACAAATGGTTGGTGATTATCCTTTTTACAAGGGGCAGTTCTTTCGGGTCTAGGGAGACACATCAAGCACCCTTTTTAAGGGTATACTCTTTTTGGGGTTAGGAAGAAATTATGTTTGGCACCTGCCAAAGTCCGAAGTGTCACATATGACGCAACGTGAAGTCGAGCCACCTCTGGGGAACTCCCACCCGAGACTTAGACCTGGCTGTGCTTCACGTAAAGGACCTTTGGGGATTCCCGAAGAACGCAGCAAAGCGCGCAACTACCCGCCCCCCTTCTACTGGCCATGTCTTGAAACCGACCAAAAGTAAACAAAGAGCTTCTGGACTGCCATATCACACCGGGTCCTCCCTATCTGGCAAATAGGATTTGCAAAATCGGATCAACTTATCTTCTGCAATACCCTGGAACAGTTGGCAAAGCCGGATGCTGTCCTTTTGTCACTTTCAGTTGGCCAGTTGTCCCTTCGGCCTTCTGTCTACACCCACAAAAGCAGTCGTCCTGAGGAGGCTCTTCCAGGTTGGCATGCTTTTCTAGGTCCTCTAGAGAGGTTAGAAGAAGTTGGTACCAGCTTTTTTTCCTGTAGTCTATTTTACTAGGGTTGCACCCTCCCAACCAAGGGGAGAGAAGGGCACTGGGGACCTAGTCGACAACCCCGGGGAGTGGAGACATGACTCGCACATCTGTTATTGAACTCTATTGGAAGCCTCCAGGGCAAAAAAACCACCTGGCGCATTCTTCACGCCTCATCTGATCATAGAACTGTTCCTCGGACATGTCAAACTCACCAAACACACCTCCAAGAATTTTGTCAACTTGAGTCCTTTTCTTGCTGGGGCCCCTCTTGAGGGGGGCCACAAAGAGATGCAAGATCCTTCATGCTTGAGCTCCTTCAACCCCCAATTGAGCTCAGCATAAATAGAACTGAATCATCAGGGCGAAGCATCTGAAGAATTCGCCCACTGGAGAAAACTGCATTGTTGGGCCTAGATCACTTTGGTGGCCGCGTGTTTCTAAAAACCATGTAGTACAAACCCTGGATTCACCGGCGAGAGTTGCCGCTATTTGATTTGTTTGCAGTGATGAGCGTAGATGTTTTTTCAGCAACATAGCCTGGTGTGATGCCGCGCAAATGATGTACATTGGCGTGCCTCTGATTGGTGGCTTGGTGACTTGGAGATTCGCAACTTACCTGCGAAAACCTCAAATTCATCCGCTTGGACATGGATTTACAAGTCCTGATTTCCAGCTCCCAAAGGAAAGATAAGACCAATTACCTGAATCCTTCCCCAACTGGAGTAACTTCCTTGTTTAGTGTGTATTTTGAGGGTTCAGGCAGCACGCCCCTTCCTCCAGCCGACAAACCCAAAAGCCGCGTTTTGGACTCCTGAAACTTACTCTAGCTGACCACTCTACCCGGAAGACAACTGGGAGGGGAGGGGGAGGGAGCCCAAGGCCTTAATAAGTGTCCCTAAATAAGGCCTTAATAAGGGCTAAATAAGGGTTTTTTGGGCTCCCCCCCCCCCTCCCTCCCCCAGCCCCCATGACTTACTGATGGTTGCGAAAACCATGTTGCGCCACCTGAGAAACTCTGGAATGATTTGAGTCCCTGTAACCAACAAGCCACGGATTCCCATGGCTTCAAGTTGGTGCGAAATGGATTTCGTCCATCAGTCTGGCCTATGGTCATGGTTACCTAGAAATAATCATACTGGCTACTGTTTTTCTTTGTTCCCCTTTTTTTTTCTTCGGATCCTTCCCAGGTGGATGAATAGACCAAGTTTTTTTTTTTTTTTTTTCCGGATCCTTCCCAGGTGAATGATTATCACCAAGAGGGGTCTCTTGACCATGGCACCTTTCTGAGGGTATCCTGTCTGGGTTGATTCTACTATAGGGAAACTAAAAGGAAACCATTGCCAGGGGCGGTTCCAATTTCTTTGAGACAAAATCCGGTTGGGCGACTTTGTTTTTCAGCGGTTTCTCACTTGAGAGGACTGGTCAAAAAAAGTCCAAACAAACTGTTTACCGCTACAATGGTCCAACCCGAAAAGCTGAAAGTTTTTAAAGGGACACAAGGAAACTCGCTGTGTCCCTGTTTTTGAGACAAAGCGATTTACTTCCATTTGCTCAAGCCGCCTGGAAAAAACAAGCAATATGTCCAGTACTGATCGATTCCCTTCAAAACGCTAAAGGGAAAGCTATGTATTTCTGTATAATTTCGGGTCCTAGTAACCCAAGGAGTCCCGGTTTCATCCGCAAGGCGCCGCTCAATGGCTATGATGGATCGCTCCAGTCGCCGCGTGCGCAGCAGCAACTGCCCCACGTCCAGGCTCTTCGCGGCGCCCTGTACGCGTTTCGGTTGCCCGTCGGGCGCGCGTCGTCGGCTTACAAGAACTTACCTATCCTTTTAGGTGTGCTGTCACTGCAGTGGAGTGAAATTTGCCAGAGGCAAGGTCAGCCAGAAGTTGGCAAGGCTAGGTCCAGGAAGGTGTAGGAAGCCATGCCACGCTTGGTGTGACCAACAAAAAAGAGGGCCCATCCTTTTGCGTCTGAGATGAGGTTGTCCAGCACTTCGCCCCTCACATATCACCAGACTGGGGGGCCACACGCCACGTGTACAAGCTGCAGGCTCAGAACTTCTGAGCGAGTCATGTTACCTGGACCCTAAAAAGACCAACAACAAAAAACACCTCACTCACCCCATATTTGTTTATATTTGTTTGGTGGTAAGGATAATTTCTATCGGAACTTTCAGGGTGGAAGATGGTTTATGATTTGATTGTTCAATGGCCAGCTTTAGTCTCATGCTTGGCCCAGGGCAAGCTTTTTTCGCATCCCTGAGTGGACTGGCCAACACAAGCCCAAACGTTATGTTTGCCCCTAAAAGTCCAGGAGTGAGGCAGCAGTCTGCCAAACACGAAACCCCTGCGCTGAGCAAATCCGGACGGTGTGCTTACGCTTTTCGTGCCTTGAAGCGCGTAACGCCCTCGATGAATTCTTGCACCTTGGGCAATTGCCAGCACATGCTGTCGAAAGTCTCAGACCTGTTGCTTCGCACTATTCTTGGCAAAGCCAACAACTCGTGCGACCTGGAAAGTGAGTGAATCGAGTACCTAGATAGGCACAAAGTATGTTTTTCATAGGTGCAGCAACTGCCATTGGTATGTTGCGCAATGAGCAGGCTTCTTCTTGGCCGAAGAAACAAGAAAGGAAACAACAATATAAATCTTGTTGGTGCCTAAAGGGAAGCAAGCAAGAAGAACGCGCACATTCTAACACAAAGGTAGGCAATCACCACTTTTCGCTCTCTCAGTTTCTGTTTGGATTCCTCACCCAAGGAGATACCGAAATGTCCAAGGGTTGAAGCCAGTGGTTCGGGGTCATAGGCGGCCCCCCCAGAAACATGACAACTGTTCGGCTCCTTTCGCAATCCTCTCGGGCAGATTGAAATTGCGCCGCTTTGGGTAGATGCTCAGTGCATCATTGGACCCGGAACACATCCGGCCCCAAGTGAAGCCACAATAAGGACAAGAGGGGAAGAGACCCATGAGCTCAACCACCGAGCATTCACAGGACTTAGCTCGCACTGATTGAAACATGGCGAATTCTGGGACCAAAGGGACAAGTGGGCCACAGAAGCGTGCGAGGCGATATGTTGCAGTTTAATTTCATGTTGGGTGTCTCTTTCTTAAGGTTGGACCCCTACAATTGCAGCCTTTCCCCCTAAGCCAACCCAAAAAGGGATACCAACTCCAAACAAATTGATAAACCCATTTCTGACGTCCAGGGGAGCATTTCAGAGTCGTCTGCATGACGAATCGCATGAATCTGTCGGGCTCGAGGCCAAAAAGACGCATGTTCATGAATGAGGCACCGTTCAATCTGTGTACCTGGACCCTCAAACTGCCTTAACAACAGAGAAACGACCCCATTTGTGTTGAGGCAATAACCCATTTTCACGGCAGTTTGAGGGTCCAGGTACTTTAAGTGGGTGAAATGGACCCCCCCCACCAAACTCTAAAAGCCTCAAAACGTAAGGGGTGGCTGGGATTGAAATAGTTACCATGTTATGTCTATTGACTGAGCTCCAAGTGCCTGGACCCTCAGACTACCCACAAAAAAAGGTATACTTGGCCCATCTTGATGGGCCATCTATTCTTCGCCGGGTTTGAGAATCGGTTCAGCTTGCTGATCACACCTTCCTTCCGAATGTACCGAGGCACGGAGATCTCGCCGTCGCCGGTGTCGTCCAAAAGGTCGAACAGCACCTTCAGGTCCTGAGCGCGCCAGAAATCACCTATGGCCATGTTGCACCCCCGTTGCACGGCTGGGAAGGGCTGGGCAACACCAAGCCAGAACCAACGGTGAATTCACCCAACTGGGGGTTACCAGAATAATTTGATGTACACATTCAGCCTTCAGCTGCTTCCCCCGAAACAGCCAACCCAAATTGGTACACTCGTCTGCCACCCTTCTGCCCGATACAAAACCGTCGCCCGGCGAACGCAGCCCTGAACTCAGCCCGAATCCTCCGAAGTCTCCGACAAAAACTTGAGACTGCCGAACTCCAAATGTTTGCCTATCGTCTAATCGGCCGTGCAGTTGAACCAAACAAACCAATCGACCGGCCAACCAATCGATCGAATCGCCTGGTTCTGACGCAAGCACCTTCCCAGATCCCCCAGGCAACAGCAAGAAACAGAAGCTTACCTGGACCCTCAAATACCCATAACAAGGGACATCACCCCGTTGACCCATTTATTAAAATTGGCAGTTTCAGGGCCCAGGTAACTCGGATTGGTAATTGATAGTTCCGTGCGCAACCTGTTCCTGGTCAACTCTTCTTCCCCCCATGGGCCCAGACACCTCGTGGGGCGATCTTTGATTCTAGCGGGAACAGCTCTCAGCTGCTTCTGAACCTGCATGTGCTCCTCTTTTGGAACTTGGCATGGAGGCAACCCTAAGTGTGTCATTTTAGGCATCCGCCTGAGAGAACATAACAATGGGAACCATCCCCAGGCAGAACCCTTCTAGCACCCTGGATATATTTTGGTGGCACTCTACTATCACCATTTTACCGTCAAGGTCTGCCAAAAGGTAACCTTCGAGCACCCACCATCTCTCATCCACCAAGCTCCTTTGAGCGAATCGACTCGAGTCGCAACTCGCGACCAACGACTCGCGACTGGGCGACTCGGACCTCCGAGCTCCGCGACTTTGGCCGGGCGGCCCCGGCGGCGATCTCCAGCTTGTCCAGAAGGAACCGGAGCTTGGGATCTTCTAAGAGCTGATTGAACTCGCTCCAGCTCAGCAGGCCATCACCTCACGCCCCAGGCCGAAGGCGGCAGGAAGGCGGCCGAAGAAAGGAAAGCTGTGGGAATCCCAAGTGCGGGAAAGGGGACACCGTGGGGTTTTCTGAGAATGGCCAAACATGACTGGTGGGTTCAGGAGTGATTTAAACGACTTGTGAGACCTCGTAGACGCTAAGCAACACCAGACCATGCCCAAGCGCTTGCTTGATTGGGCCTACGCGTGTGACGAAATGTGCAGGAGTGCGTACTTATCTGCAGGCGCCGTGTTTGTTTCTTCTTTTTTTTTTCTTAATATATAATTTGTGTGTTTTTGTCCTTCCTCTTGTTCTTTTTGTGTGTCAAATATATAGAGATCCATATAATGTATATATATATATATATCTATATATATATATATATAATGTGTGTGTCCAGCTTGTTGCCAAGGATATTCCTCGCGTCCACTTCGAATTTCGCGCCATGTGAACCTGGGGGTGGCGGACTCGGCTCCCAAAATGAACCGACCGCGCGGACCACGGGGACCAGAACCAAAAGCGCGCCCGGGGGTCGACAGGTGTCGGCAAAGGCGAAAGGGGCAGCCCTACCTTGGGGAGCCGGGTGGGGCGTTTTCGGTCCCCCAACTCCATGCAACTACCTAGGGTCTCCTTCTGACCCTTTAAAAATGGGTCCATGACTCCCTTATTTAGGGCAATGACCCCATTTTTAAAGGGTAATGGAGACTCTAGGTAGTCTTCCCCATACCCAGTTCCAGTTTTGAAGGGCTGGGGTTTGTACGCACACGGAAGGATATCAAGTTCTCTCTGCGATGTATTGGATTCAAAAAAAGACAACTATATGTGGCATGCGGCCGCATTGAGACAAACCTGACCGTTGATACGCAATCTGCAGCAAAAATCGCTTCCTGAGGTTGGCCAGAAAAGTCCAAACTTTGTCTCAGATGCCCAGTGGCCATCGGAAAACAAGAGCAGCCTTTTTTGGTTGGTTGACTTTAAAGGGCCACCCTTGCCAAAACAAGGAATAAAAGGCGGAATCCACTGGGCAACAGAGCTATATATATATATACCACTAAAACGGTCTTCCCAAAAGTTTTTAAAGTCCAGGAACTCGGGGCGTGAGAACATGTCGCAGCTTAAGGCCAATATTGCATCCATCAAGGGCATGCTGTGGGTGTGCTGCTAGCTCCTCCAGTAGAGAGGTTAGAATAATGAACAAGGGTACCCTTTTTTCTGTAGCCTATTTTAGTAAATGCATCCCAAGCAGAGTCAGGTTGACGGGGCTATGTTCAAGTTGACGTTGCTATCGAAAAGCATGAAGCCACGTGAAGCACAACAAAACTGCCTATCACTCACTTGATCAATACAACATGAATGCAAAGAAACCACTTTCCTCCTGCACAGTAGGTGCTAGTTATTGCTCCAAATTGCCAATAAACAATGACAATTCGAACGATAAGCAGGGCAACACAAAACTTCCCCCAACTGAAATGCGGGATCAATGCACATTCATAGGTGATCTTTTGTAAAAGGAAGTGGCCCTGGTAGATGGAATAAAACCAATTTATGCGCACACTGAGCTCGCCATTTTCTCCAAGAGAGAGAGAGAGAGAGAGGAAGAAAAAAGAGCAAGCAAACAAATGGCGCCTGGCCGGAGTGCTCTCGAACCGGGTACTTGGATCTTCGCATCGCCCAGCTAGTGTCTGTGCTTAGATTGGAGAAATGCACCCCTTTACAAGGTTCACCTTCGGGGAATTACAAGTGGGCAACCGAACGGTTACCACCTGCTTTAATTAAGTTGGTGAAGCTTCAACACCCAAGCTAGGTCCTCCAGTAGAGAGGTTGGAATACGGGTACCCTTTTTTCTGTAGCCTATTTTAGTGGGGGAACCCTCCCAAAAAAAAAAAAACGGTAAAAGGGCACCTAGCTGGGGGACCTAGCAAGTGAAATTTGGTCCCACGAAAACTTCTTGGACACCACCAATGTTCCATTCGGAAGCTGAGCTTGCAGGAGCTCAGGTGTTCAGTGACCCTGGAAAAAAAGGGAACCATTTTTTGGGGCTTGCACATAATTTTTATTGGGGCAGCCACCAAAAAAAAGGGAAACATAATTGGTGCCACTGAACAACTGAGGGAGCTCTGAGCACCAAAAAAAATCCTCCCCAGCCTGAGGTGTCCAGCTTCTTAAAGATCTTCGCCACGTTCTTGAAGTACTTCTCCTCTGCCTGCCGAGCACAGATGTGGGACATGCGGGGAAAATCAAGGGCGCCAAGCTTCGACAAAAACTTGAAAAAACAAAAAAACAACTTATGATTCATCTGAATCGGTCTGAGACAACAGCTTTCCCAACCACATAATTATGCTGCACGCTCCTCAGGGCCATGGAAACTGGAAATTGAGGGGTGACACTCCTCCGATGGGTCAAAATCCAAATCGTACCCCCAGTGAACATCCGATTCAATCCAACCACTAGAATAGGTAACCTAAAACGGGTGGTGAATTCACCGAAACCCAAACTGGGATCCGATCCAAAACGGTTTTGAATCCCACCGCCAGGTGACACTTCAAGGTCACAAGAATCCACCGGATTTCAGAAATCCCGAGTTCTGGGTTGACGCTGGGTTAGCAGTTCAGTGGATTTGGATAATCCAAACACGAAACTGAAATGGCTTCACTGAGAATGTCGATCATGGATTTTTCAACCACTGGATTTTTCAATAAGATCAAACATGGTTTCAACAAATGTACACACCAAGAACAACCATGATGACATCCCCGGGTGTATTGGGTCAACATTGTAAAATTATTTCCAAGAACAACCATGAATTTGCGGAAGGGCAAGACCTACTGGCAAAGGCGTCCATGGGATGTGTCCCATGCCTCTTAGCTTCGGCCTTTGGCTCTGCTTGAGAGTGGAGCCTGGGTCTCCTTAAACAAGCCATCCCATGTTTATGTCTAGGTCCTCCTGAGAGGTTAGAATAAGGGTACCCGATTTTTTTCTCTAGTCACTAGTCTATTTTAGCAGGGGAACCCTCCCCCCAAAAAGGGGAGAGAATGGCACTACTGGGGGACCTAGATGTGCGTCTGGTGGGTTTTCCCGTGCTTTGCTTTCAACCAAAGGATGTTCCTATAGGAAATGCCCGAATCACGGTCGTCCCCTGCACCTTGATTGCACCTTGTGATCCAGCCTCTCAACCAAGTCAAGAAACTTCTCGGGGCTGGATCCAGTCATTAGCTCGGTCGAGACGGAATCAACTATGAATCAACCAAAGGCGACCAATTCGAGCATCGCGCATCACAAAAAGATTGGTGTCGAGACTCGAGTCAAAACGAATGCTTTACTAGGTCCTCCAGTAGAGAGCTTAGACTTCGGGTACCAACTTTTCTCTTTGGTCTATTTTAGTAGGGGTTGAACCCTCCCAACCCCCCCCAAAAAAAACGGGGCGCCGTGAGAGGTCGTTGGCACCACTTGGGGGAGCGATGCAGACCTGCCAAGAAGGTGCCTTCTGCTTCTCCAAGAAGAGGACTTCCTCGTCGCCTTTGGCCACCTGTAGAGTTTGCTGCACGAAGACCGCGTTCACCACCTCACAGCTTCCAAAGCTGGGCCCCGCAAAGGAGAGGTCGACCTCTTGGAACCCAAAGGTGGACAGATGGACCGAACCAAACCAAACCTTTTGGCGAATGGACCAAACCAGGAAAACCAAGAGGTGAAAAGGTCGGCTTTGGGCAAGTGAGAACTCTAGACCTGTGGCGGCCAAGGGAACTGCGCGCAGTTTGTGCGGGCCAGCTTCGGAGCTGAAGCCGCCAAAACAAGGGCACTCCAACCAAGGGGAGGGGGGGGGGAGAGGGGGGGAGAGGGGGGAACGGGGGTGGAGGGGGGGGGGGAATGGGGGTGGAGGGGGGGGGGAACAACCACCACCCCCAAAAGCAGGCAGGCCCTCTCTCTGCATGCAGCCAAGCGCAAACAAAGGTCAAATGGCCGCAGCCGCTCATGGAGAAGAGCCATGAGCCGTGCGTGCAGAAACTCGCTGGTGCAGCAAGCAGCATGCTTGTTACGACTGGTCTCTCTGGGCGTGTGGTTGACATAGGTGTCCTTCTTGGTTAGTTTGCTTGACAATTGCCGCCCTGGTAACCTACTCGTCGAAACATCTACCAGGGTTTTCCGAAAAGGACACCTTTAGTGGTGAATGATTGCTTCTGGGGGTGGCGGTTGTTTCTTCTCCCCTTAGTGGGTCGGGGCAATCTCGATATGTCTTTCTGCAGGAAACGAGAAAGGACCAAATCCATCGCCCAGGAGAGGTGGAATGGATTTGTCAAATCCATCGGCATCGGCACCAAAGATTCCAAGCTCAAAAAACCCCGGCCAAGAGCGTACCGGAGGTCTCAAAGGTGCCCATGGAAGACCAAAAAATGCCAAAGGCTGGCCCAAAAAATGGACAACTTCATCTCAAGATATCTCAAGAATCTTGCAAATGGAGGCAGCCGGACACCCCCTCTGGGGTTTGGCTTAGTCCTTTGGATTGTCCAGCTTCTATCTGGAAAGGTAGCTGGACCCTCCAACTACCACCACAAATCGGCTGTTGCCCCGAACAAGCTGATTGTCCTGTTTTGGGGTAGTTTGAGAGTCCAGGTATATTCAAAGCATCCGCGGAACAACGGTCTCAGGACTGAACCCGCAGCATCTCAACCGTTTTTGGTGGGAGCCCGTTCAGTTTCAGAGGCTATATCTCAATGGAGGCTTGCAGGAGGGTGTTAGACACTCATCTTCAACAGGGCCCTCACTTCTATTGGAAAGAGACCCTTTCGATCTGAGATTCAGCCAAACCCCAGCTTGATGGTTTGGATTGGTGGAGTTACCTCTGCTTGATGGTTTGGATTGGTGGTTTGTTGGTGATTCGGATTTGAAAGCTGGGTACATGGCAAAGCTCCTTTTCCCTAAGCTCTAAACCACCGGGCGGGGGACGCTGAGAATTGGCAAGCGCCGGGCGGCATTGATGACTGCAAAGCCGATGGCGCAGCGGTAAATCAGGAAGAGCAGCCTGAGACCAATGGATCTGGGGGTTGAAATGGATCGGTCAAAATAATGGAACTTTCAGCAGGGATCCTTACATTATACACCTGAACATTGCCTTGTAAATGGTGGTTTTCCTTTATGTTGGTGGAAGAAGCCATGTTTCAAATGGGCAAAATGTATCCTTTCGAAGGTTTCCGTTGAAACCGATCTGAAAAAAGGGTACCTCAGCACGACCGTGTCCGAGTTTTCTCTGGGCGGATCTTGTTTACTAGCAAACCTTGGACCATGTTTTACTTAAAGCCTATGTTTTACTGGCAACCCAATCTGGTTGCTCAAGCTGATAATCACCGGCTTTGATATGGCGGCCCCCTTCTCCCTCTCCCAGGTAACCCACCCTCTCCAAAGGGAAATCAAGGTATTTTGTTTTCTGTGTTTTGACCAACAACTAGGTCCTCCAGTAGAGAGGCTAGAATGAGGGTACCTTTTTTTCTGTAGTCTATTCTAGCAGGGGAACCCTCCCCCCAAAAGGGCACTACTGTGGGACCTAGACAAGAAGGGTTTGTTTCCTCAGTCCCCCTCCCCCTCCACCCAATACTTTCGTCTACCCCAAATTTGGGAACCTCTCCTCATCAGGGCCTGCAAGGGTGTCATACCCAACTTTCGGGGTGTGACTTTCACACCCGCTCTAAACGACATGTAAAATACCGTGAACACCTAGTGAATACCCGCTGAAAGACCGTTCTTTACTTGGTCAATATTTGTGATAGTCTTGGCCGCCAACTCCATGTGATTTTGGCCAGCTACACACGAATGGTGTGTGTGTGTGTGTGTGTGTGTGTTTGTGCCTGCGCGGCCTGTTTCAGCACTTTGGAGCACCAATGCAAAGATGTTCGGACACGCAGCCCCTTTCCTGACTGATGCGTACACTGTGATCTGGCCTAATAAGCCATCATATGTTGATTAGCTGATGTTCTAAATGTCAGACCTGCCGCACATTGCTTTGATGAAGATAAACATGAGATAGAGGACATGGATGAGCCGAAGAAGGGATTCTTCAAAATCTTTCCTCAAAGCGCTCAAAACATGGCTCGCTTGCATGTGCTGTCGATGCGAAGCCGAGGCCCGAAAGCCGTGGGCTGCACTGCTGCTATGCGCGCCGGGTTTCCACTGAATGCTGACAAAAATGGCATGCTCATTGATATGCGTACGAACTGACTTTACTTTGGCGACCAAGTATATACGAGTAGGTTCTGATCATTTACATAGGTAGGTTCTGACTTTAGATAGGCGACCAAATCATACATAGGTAGGTTCTGACTAAAAACTTGGGCGACCACAACCCCACACACACAGGCAAACAAGTTGTCGTCTGGTTCTGTTTCAGAGAATCCTTTCAGCCTTACTCCTAGCTGCAAAAAGGCTGCACAGCCTGCTTGGATGTAAGCAACCCACTCAGTCCCCCGAAGTGGGGTTTACTTTGTAAGGGGTTTATCTTGGTTGACGTTGGCTTTGGGGAGCAAAAATTGGAGAAACAAAATAGCAGTTAAGTGGTTGGATTTCAACCACTAAACCACAATAATAAGCAAAAATGATTCAAATGTTTCCCAACAACAACCATGTTATGGGCAAACCACACAATAACTTGTGCGAACATCCATGTCCCCTGCGTCCGAATGTCTCCAGGGTAGTCCCCCTATTGAACGACACAGTCTAACATGCGGACAATGCGTATATGCAGCAATCCTGTCCCCCTCCCCAACTCCTATTTTGGTTGTGAAGCCAATGCTAAACCAATACTAAACCGCTGCACGCGCATTTGGGGACAATTACCTCAGAACGCAGCCCTGCAGCGACAAGGTCCTAAACCAGAAGAAATCAATTCCGTTCATGCAGGCAAAATATGATGATTGTATTCCCATGCCTTGCCTGGATGCGCCAAGTTTGACCAAGTTTGACGGGAACTGGAAGATACTGAAAGAGTACCAGAAGAATACAAAGGGGGAAACCGCTTGCACAAAGCCAATTCGAAACTTCTGGGACCCCTATGTGGCTGTGGGTCAAAACAATGGTACCATTTTGGGGTAGGTGCACCATCCATTTTAGTCTATTTTAGTGGGGATTGCGATGTTCACTGGGGTACGGGAATTTGACCCATGTATTTACTGGAGCAATCCCCAGTTGCCCTGGGCTCACGGGAAAATCTGTCGACCGGCACGCCTATGTGTGGAATCGGAGGGACAGGTCAGTGGTTCAAAAAAAAATCTGGATGGGGCCTAAAAGACTAAGAGAATGGGGGTGCCTGGGCCCTCACGCTACCAAAATAAAATGGCTCAGGTCGCGCACCAAATGATTGTTTTTCCCTTTTGAAGGGTAGTTTGAGGAGCCAGGTGGTTCTTCAAAACCCAAGCCTTCTTGGGTTCTTTAAACCGAATGTCGTCAGGAGTACTGTAACCTACAGACCGCTTGTACTGAAGTTCCAATACTTCGCTACCTCACCTGAAACAGACCCCCAAGAATGGCATGTTCACCGGCGCCATCTCTCCGGGGGCTTGCGAATGCATTGTAGAATTCGAAAAAACACCATCCAACTTTACTTGGTTGACGTTGGAAGGGGAGCGAACATTTGCAAAGTGGCAAGTGACTGCTCCCTTGGCTCCGCTGCATAGGAGCCTGGGAAGATACCATAAAGGAAAGTAGTGGCCGCAAACAAAATCGCCTGTTACATTGATTTGGCCTCTGGTTGTTTCCCCAGACCGGGATCCACAAACCTTCCAAATGGGAATAATACCTCCACAAATGTGGGCGATCCTTAAGCTAGGCTGGCAGCGGCAGAATGGATCGGTTTTCCTTTTCGTACTCCTTTCAGTACAGCCAGGCATCCCTAAAAGAGACCATAGCCCGTTTCGGCAACAACCCGTGTAGCAGGCCCTCCCAAAAAACGGCCCAACTCCGAGTCCACAACTCCCTCCAGAATTTTTCATGGGGCATGACTTGCAGAAGGGAAGCCACACGAAAACCCCCGAAAATGGCGATGGGAAACCCAACGGAAGCCACCCAAACAAACAGATTGAAACTGGCCAAAGCTCTTCTCGCTTGCCAACAAAGAACCACTCCTTATCAAAAAACCACCGAGCCTCAAACTAGATCCAACCTGTTTGTTGCCCAGTTGACAGATCTTCCCACTCATACAAAAAAACACCGAGCCAACTAGATCCAACATGGCTTGCCCTGACTTCAGCTCTTCCAAGCCTTGGCTTCAGACTGCCGTCTTCGTTTTTGTCCTCCGTCTTCGTTTCGACGTCCCTTCGTCCGGGCGGCGAGTACCACTCGGAGATATTGTCCGTGAGAACTCGGCAGGCGGGCGACCAGTTCGCAAAGAAGACCTCCGCACATCGAACCGTTCGGAGCCCCGAGAAACCCAAGCAGCCCGGTGGAGCGGCGGATCCCGACCGGAGAAAAGTGGGAAGGAAGAAAAAACCGACCGGAAAGGGTGGAGGGTTGCGAATTCGGACAAATTGGCACCCACCAATTTCAGACACCCAGAAAATGATGGATTCCCCGATAAATGCCACCAAACAATGGCTTTTGGTGGATTCAAAGTGGTGCAGGAGTGCGTCCGTCCACAGTAGGTGTGCTGGTAAAATCAATGGTAGAATATTAGAACAAACCTGCAACCAGTGGAGGATTGGAAATAGCGCCCCCCCACAAAGAAAACAACTTGGCGTTGCCCCCATCCTGGCTCTTCGCCTAGATTGAATAAGTCTACAGTCTGAACATAATACTACTACCTAAGAGTCATTTCCTTCAATGCAGACCCCCGGACCCTCCAATGGAGAACCCCAACCCCTCAGTGCCCTTGGAAAACACAGCTTCTTATCTACTTTTCCATTTACCAGGGTTCCATCTTGGGCCCCTGTTTTTGACCCACAGCCAAAGGGTGTCCTCTAAAATTCCCGGCGTCGTTGGGCCACAGCTCACAGTGGACCGACTTCTTCCAAAGTCGGGTACGCCCGGGTCCGCAAAATGATCTTCACCTTGTCTAGGTCCTCCAGTAGAGAGGTTAGCATAAGGGTACCAACTTTTTCTGGACGTCTATTTTAGTAGGGGAACCCTTCCTCAAAAAAAATGTAAATTGGGCACTACTGGGGGACCTAGTTGTAGACCCCATGCAAAAGCGCTGGAACATCCATCCCCGGCTCCCGGGGAGCAGAATTTCGAGAACTACCCCCATCCAAGCAGGGACCAAGTACCACTATGCCTCGACCTAAGGCTACAAACAGTCCAACACCTGGTCACAATGCGGACATGCTCCAAGATGATAAACAATCCGCTGGGAAGGATCGTTGAAAAGTATCTGTTTCTCCCGCTATAGATTGGCAGGGAAGAAGAATGTGTTCCCAGAAATCGGGCTCTTCCCATGAGAGTGGCGGCACTGAGATGTCTGTGAAGCTGGGCAAGCAAGTCTGATCGCTGTGTTGTCTTGCGCAGCATGTTTCGGAGAAGCACAGGCTGGGCTCAGCAAAGCCGCCATCATGGCTGGCCTGCTACCATTCAGAAGCACGGCTCTGATGGAACCAAACACCTCTGGAGCCTCATCTTCATCGCGGCTTGGCGATCACACATCCAAACGAAACACAGCTACCACGTAGTCAAAACCAAGACATGCTCAAGTCCAGGAGCTCGGCGACGCGGCGAGGGTTCTCGAACCATGCCTATTCCAGACCCGCCGAGTGGGGCTCATAAGTAGATCAGCTATGATCAGCTTTGAAGTCGCGGCTACGCCAAGGCCAACTTCTTGCCAAGAAGTTGGTTGACGTTGGAAGGGGAGCGAAAACTTATTTTTCAGCAGTTAAGTGGTTGGATTTCAACCACTAAACCACAATAAGCAACCATGTTTTCAATGCTTCCCAACAACAACCATGGAAGGGTCATGACTCCAACTTCCCAATGGAAAACGCCCCGACCTCAAAGGCCCAAGGAGCCAAGAACCGCAAGGGGCCCAAGGGGCCCAAGGGACGCAACCCGTTTGTTGCACCCAACAAATCCTCGAATCCGACCTTCGGGCTTGCATCGGAGCCTTGGGCTTGGATCGGAGCCTCGCTTTCCGATGGGAGCTCCCGGGACACACCCCGTGATCACGAAGGAACGTCGCAACACAGGTACAGGCAAGCGCTGGACGGCTGGAAGGACACAAAATTCCAGTAGCACATCTCGCTGGTCTTCTGGCAACCACTTCTCATTCTCAGAAACTACTACTACTTGCGTGTTTGGCCAAGTCAGAAAGTGGTTAGCCAATGGAGGTACAACCCGCCAGTAACAAGGTGGGTAATAAGCAACAACTTTCTAACCTGGTCGAACACTCGAGTAGTTTCTTGCCATCCTCCCAGGCGCCTCGAAAAGCGTGAGCACAGCGATGCTGAATGTGCCTGTGTCGCTTCGGCAGGATGCACGCGGATGAAGCAAATATTGTGGGCATGCCGCAAAGAACCTAGCCCGGGTGATCTACTTGGTCCAGTATGTTTGTACCTGGACCTGCAAACTGCCATTACCAAAGGCAAATCACCCCAAAATGCTGAGCAATAACCCAGGTTTATGGGTAGTTTGAGGGTGAGGTATAATTATAAGCCATTATGTGTGCGAGCGGCGTGTCTTGAGTGTCTTTGGTGTCTGCGTCTTGTGGGTGTGCCCGTCTTGCAGCTGCCCGCTGACGCTGAAAAAGGCACTGACCGTTGCTTGTAGTGAAGCCAAACACGATTTGGCGCCGTATGTGCATTCACATATACATACCTGGTACCTGCAAATGCTGCCTGTGCTTGGTGCTTCAGGAAAAACAACAGTTTCTCGGGCCTCACGTGTTGTACGAAAGTAGTTACACGCGCACTTCAGCATCGCACGTATCATTGGGGACAAGTCGTATTTCTAGGAATTGAGCTCAAAGCCCCGCCCCTCACGCCGCTTGAAAGTGTCGCAGGCGAACCCTTGCAGCTGTCGGCAAATATAAAACATGGGACTGTGAAAAAAGGACTTCGTGGCTGTCATGCACCCTAAAGCTTGCCATTCATTTTTGATGGAATGCCCTGCGAAAAGGGACTATGAAGAACCAGCAAACATGACTGTGTGTAAGGAACCCAAACAATCGCAACAGCTCCATCTTGGGGTCCACACCATCCACCGATCCTGAGACAGCCAGCCCAGGCTGTCTTGTCACCGAATAAGTCTATGGGGCCCATCTTTTCTGAGGGTACCCTGTTTTGCTGGTGTTCAAGGGAAACCAAAAAGAAACCTCCATTTTGGTGTGTTCCCTACCAACAAAAAACACGAGCACGCACACACATGGCAGGACAAATGATACCTAGACAATTACGTGGCGTTGCATTTTGAACCCGGAGAAGCCAAGCGTCGATTGCTCGGCATGTTTTTTTCTTTACCGAGCCTTCTGAGGTGTCACGTGTCGCTGCTCCTTCCCTGACTTAACATCTGACACATCAAGCCTTGGAAGGGCAAAGTTTTTCAGCCTACGAAAAACATGAACAGAACCAACAATAACATGACTCACAAAGATCTCCACACCTTAGGACACAAGCAAGCCCACACGTTGTCGCAGACCTGGGCCCGAAAGAACTACCCTGAAAAATGGGGGGGGCAGTTGCCGCACCTTCTGGGGGACTCCCCTTTAGAGTGCTTTGAGGGTGGTGCATTGTGTGAGAAGGATCACCTAGTCGAATTCTGACCCCTTTCATGCCCCCCTTGTGAAATATCTAATCCACGCAATTGAAAGTCAGTCCCAACCATCCAAGAACAGGAACGCAACCAAACAAGCCCGGCCCAGCCATGCGCAGCCAGTTGCCCATTGGTGTTCTCCGCTTAAGCATTACCAAGCGAGCTGCACCTGTTCGAAAGAAGGTCATTTGTTGCAACAATGGAGGGCACACACCGCCGTGAAGGCACACCTCTAAACGAAAAGAAAGGCTCATTTGTTGTGTTCCCGGCGCCAAACCTAGTCTCACACACGCCTGCGAAAGCCAGCCCGCAAACGTTGGAGACTAGCCGGATATTGAAAAAAACAAACGATCCCCCCGACCTTGTGGGGGCGGGGGGTGGGGGAATTCCATTTATCTCGTCCCATAGGGAAACTGGAACCATACATGGAGATCTCAAGGGGTCGGACGGTCCCCCCCCTGCCCCAATTCCGTTTAAGGGACCCGTGTTTCTGCAGCGAAACGCGGAAGGGGATGAAACTTTCTGAGAAAAAAAAAAGGACAAGAAAAACAACGCCGAGGCGCCGTAGTAGCGGTATACTGCTTGCTGCTCTGCGAGGAAGGTGGGGTTGGCACTGAGGGAGGCGTCCTCTAAGTAGGGCTTGACCATGAGGCAGACCTCTGCAATCTCCCCATGTTTAGTCGGGCATTTTGAGGGTGGCAAAGATTCCACGAAACCCTGGGATTTGTGGCTGGTTTGTGCCAAGCGATCCCCAAAATGCTACACCCTCCGAAAACGGGCTTCCCCTCGAGAAAAAAAATACTCTCTTTCCAGGCTCGGTGCCACTTTTGGAATTGTTGCTTTAGAAACCACAAAAAGGGCTCCATCAAAACAAAGCAACCCTATATGGGTGTGAGATTTAACGGATTCAAAAAAACATCTGTGGTTTTGAGGCTTGGTAAAGGGAAACTACAGCGGAGAATCACAGACCTTTTGCGTCCCCCATTTTGAAACAACTGGGCCATGAATTCTCAATGGACCTAACCATCCACATCTGGATGCTGGGGCACCCTGGTTTTGGTGGTTTTACGTGGTTTTCACTGGAAACGAAAGAACGACTACCGAATCGTGCTTGGGGATACCCACAAACGTTTTGGCCCCCCCTACTTCGACACACCGCCGTGGATATGCAACTTTTGAGGCTGCCTCATTCAGAGTCACATGGCCTTTTCCCAACGAAAAAATCCTGCGAACCGGTGGGTTTCGTCTTGGTTGCCCCAACCACAAGGGTAGCCTCCAAACAAAAACACCACCAGGGTACTTTGAAAGGTCTCACGGTCATACCATACTGTGGATGGACGAAATCCATTTCGCACCACCTGAGAAACCATGGGATGGCGATGCTTGTAAATACCGACAAACAATGGTTTCAACCATGGTTTCAATTTAGTGCGAGCGGAGTTCGTCCAGCAGTATTTCTCCGAATGACAGCTTCAACGGTCGGGCCGGCCGGCCGGCCCCAAAGAAGGTCCTTCACTCGTTAGACATCTGCACTCGTTGAACGGGGTGGCTCAAATTTTTAAACCTCAGGGGTTACGCAGGTCTTGGGGAACCATGTTTTCACGTACCGATCGGGCAACCCATTTTGGGAATTCCGGATTTTTTTGAGCCTTCAGCCGTTTCTGGGTACACGGTTCATCTGGCATGGAGCACATCCGGTAATCCGGTACGCTCAGGATTCGCTTTGATCCGCATGCCCTTCGGGGTTTGTAAGGGTCCCGACATTCACTGAACAACACAAGCAAGGCTGGTTTGTCCATCTTTTTTCCGGCTTGGATCTTTCACCCGCAAGGATTTGGGTGTATTTGTTTGGATGGTAACATGTGTTTGGTGGCTTTCAGAGGAAACCACCAGGAGTCCCGAAGCCATTGTTGGCTTAGTACTCCAACCAAACGACGAGCCGCCCGTTGGGTTTCTCCTTTCTACCACCTAGGTCCTCCAGTAGAGAGGTTAGAAATAAGGGTACCAACTTTTTGCAGTTGTCTATTTTAGTAGGGAACCCTCCCTCAAAAAAGGGTAACAGGGCACTAATGGGGGACCTAGCCACCCTTCGCCAACCAAAAAACAAACCGTCGCAGCCATGGGATGGCTTTTTGTTGGTCAAAGTTGAGGCGCCATCATGGCGGCGATCAGCTGGATCACGAGCAAGAAGACCAAGGACCACACCTAAAAATTCGCGTGACGGTTTGGCAGTTGGGTGTGGCTAAACATTTTTGCGAGGTGGATCAATATTCCTAGCTCCTCCGGTAGAGAGGATAGAATAAGGGTACCAACATTTTCAGTAGCTTATTCTAGTAGGGGAACCCTCCCCAAAAAAGGGTAAAAGGGCAATACTGGGGGACCTAGATTCCGCTCGGCCTCCAAATGCCCACGGGTAACTTTCCCCATGTAGTGGGAAGTCATCTTTTTGCAAGGGCCATCCCATGTAAATGACCTTTGCATCAATCCCCATTTAAGAGCCGGGGGCCTGCAGGTTTTAGGTTCTTGGTTGGGGTGGGTGGATCAAGTTTGTTCAGAGATTCCCAAAGAAAAAAGAAGAAAACAAAAAGCAGTTGCTGTTGGTCGATTTCGCCCTTTACCAGGTTGCCGATTCCCATGTTGCCGATTCCTATGAGCCACACATTGAGTTCTGCTGCGCCGGAATTTGGTTCGAAAAAGGTTCCTGCTTTGGGGAAAACTCGCCACGGGAAAACTCGCCCATGTTGAGTTACAAAGCTGGGTGACTGCCCCAGACATATTCTTGGTGACTTCCCTGGGTAGTTTGAGAATCGTTTAAGGGAAGTTTATACCCCTTGCTCATACCCCCTTGCTTCCCTGGTTTCCAACCCACCTTACAAGGAGTATATACCCCTTTTGGGGAAAGGGGTATGAACATCAGGATGTAAAAGGGGTATGTAAAAGGGGTATGTAGAAGAAATCCTACAAAATCGGGCCGGGTCTGTTGTTTGGCCCTATGGCTATGATTTTGCAAGTCGGACCCGCCTCAGTGGGCATGACTCTCCGACCACCAACAAATTCCCCAATTAAAATTCCCTTGGTTTCCCAGCAAAGCCCCCAAAAAGGGACCCTCAACACCATATGTGTGTCTGAGGGGACGCCCCATGTCTTTTGCTGGCAAAAGACACACACCCACACATTAAGTCCCAAGTTGGACTTTGTTAGTTCTTTGAAAAAGAAAAGCCCTTGCGCGCTCGCAGACTCCACCTATTGTGTAGTCCCTGAAACTTCCAAACGGACCTGCGGGAAGTAAGATTGCTCAATTCAGCTCAAAAAGTTGAGGAACATCACCTTGACCTTCACCAACATGGGAATTGTGCATGTACTCGACAACGGGATACGGGCACTCCTGCTTCTTGGTAGTCAATGTTACAGCTTCAAGGGACACGTCTCCAACGAAAAGGACACAAGGAAGCAACCCACCCGAGTTGTCTGGTTCTTTTTGAAGGGACGCCCCGGCAGCTAGAAGGGTCTTGTTGCCACCTTTTGTGAGAACATTGTAAACAAACAACCCCACCATAGGTGGGAAAAAAAATGTAAAAAAAAAAAAAACACCTGCCAAGCGCACCTCGCTTTGTGTTTTCTTTATCGTCGCCTTTTGAAGCGCACCCCAAAGCGGCTTCACCCGAGGCGAGACACCAAGGTGAGTCCGCTGGAGCTCATACACCGTGCCAACATGCTCAAGCTGTCCAGCATCCCTGAGAACCGCAGCACCCGGATTGTCCTGGCAAATTATTTGGTGGAACAGATCTGTGAGGTGTTTTGGACCCTCCAAATTGGCTGGCAGATGGGTAGCGAACTCGTCTGTTTTGAGGCTGGGCCCTCCAAACTGATCAGTCTTCCTGTTGGTTTCTTTTGGAAACCAACCGAGAAAGGGGTACCCTCAGACCTCGAAACACACACACACACACACACACCAACTCACACCCACATAGGTCTGGAATTTCATGGGTCCTGAGCATTCGGTGGACATCGATTAACTTTGACATGTCCCGAGCGGCTTCAGCTGGCTGGTTTGCGATCCGTTTTCCCAAAAGTCCCGCCATCTCCATGACAAAGACATGCTCGCTGCACCCATCGACCCCCTCAACCTCCGCCTGTTCAGTGTGGATGGTGGGTAACTAAAAGGCTTCTCCTTTCCTGCTCCAGTGGCATGACAACCTTCTGGTTTACCAACGTCACCTTTCCTTCGCAGTTTCCTGACAGGTTGGTGTTTAACCCTAAACAGCTTGTTTCGCTCACTCCAAACCACCACGAAGAGGGTGGCTTGCACAGTACCACCAAGTTAAGAAAAGAAAACGGCCTTTGAACAAGTGGCCGAGTTCGGGCCACAGGACGACGGGTCTTGTTCACCTCCCCAGCTCAATCACCGGCCACAGGTTTGGCATCATCCCCCCCCTACTTTCAAGGGGGAGAGACCCCATTTCACTTAGCATAGGGACAATGGGTTACCTTAGATGTATATAGATCTCCACCGGTCGAATTCTCCCTCCCCCAATCAGCCATTTTAAAGGGACCCGGTGGGCAAGTTGCATCCGTGCAGAAAATGTTCGGCCTTATGCACTGGGTTCGGCCCACTTGTTTCACGTCTTTGCGCCAGGACCGATTCTCACCCTGGACGGGAAAACCAGATGCTTCAGGGAAGAACCACACATTTTTTAAGAGTAGTTTGAGAATCGGGCACCTGTCAAAAATCGGCGAGTTTGGGTTTCCCTTTACGGGGGGCACTTTTCTGGGTCGTGTTGAACCAGATATTGTTGGCAGCAACTCTGCTACGAAAGATAACTGTAGGAGCTGGGCGGGAGAAATCCCCTCAAACATGTTGGAGCCACCGCTCCGTTTAATTAACACGGTCTGAGGGGCCGGGTCTAGTGGTTTAGCAACATTTTCCACTTTCGACGTGGGCTTGTGTCAAACTAGGGATTGGGGGCCCAGAATGTCTTCAGTTTTCATTTTGGTTTCCCTTGAAACATTTTCCCAAGCACCCCTTCCCCTCCCCAAAATGGCTTCGGCTTTCCTGTTGCTTAACCCCCTTTGAAGAAGGGATCCCGACTCCAAACAACCAGAAACGCATGGAATCCCGCCGCCTGGGCCCTCAAACTACCCATTAATGGGTTATTGCCCCAGAATGATGAACTAGGTCCTCCAGTAGAGAGGTTAGAATAAGGGTACCGGTACCAACTTTTCTTTTCTGTAGTCTATTTTAGTAGGGGAACCCAAAACTCCCAAAAAGTTGGTGACAGGTCGGGCACCAAGCTGGGGGACCTGGTGAAGGATGTCCCTTTCTGAAGGGAAGTCCCTTCGGGTTTTAAGGGCACATTCGCCGCCCATCCTCTCCCACCGAACTTCGACGTGGTTCTCTTTTTCTTGTCGGTCCTAAAGAGCTTGGCGAGGCGGCAGAGCCGGAGCAAGGTGGGGTCCACCGGCAAGTTCAAGGAGAAGAGTTCCACGATGGAGGCCAAGAGCGCGGAGAAGTCGATGATGTTGAAGGCCGTCTTGCAGAACTGGCCCTGGAAGATCGGTGGGGGTGGAATTGGGGGTTGGGTTTTGGGTTTCGGGTTTACAGGTGTTACAGGTGTGGTGTTATAGGTGTTACAGGTGTTACAGGTGCTACAGGTGTTACGGGGGTTGGGGGGAAGTCGGGGGGAAGGGGGGGGGCCCTCCCAGAAAAGAAGATTTGCGGAGTTGTTTTGAAGGCGTTTTTGGACACAGTTATGGAGTCAGGAGTGCGCGGAAGGAGGATGGACTTTTTCGACCTTTTCGGACAGATAAGTGGAGACAGGAGTGTCTAAATGAGAGGCCACGGTCTTGCGAAGGGACATGGGAGTTCTCAATTTTGTGCGAAGGTTCTGGAGACGAAAGAGAAAAACGGGCCATTTCTGTTGGGGGTCTCCTTTTCTGGGCTGCCCTCAGATCCCTTGCAAATAGTTGAACTTCTTAGTGGGTTACGTGGAAACCTAAAAAGCTAAAAGTCTAAGGAACCACATGGCTGAAAGCCACCAAGTTTTGCCAAGGCAAAGCTGGGAAGACCATAGGCCGGACCCCCGATTTCCTCTCAACCTGGCCGGGAAGTCGGAAGAGATGTAGATGTGGTCAAGCTGTGTCAGGTTCCTGGTCTTCCTCTGGGTTCAGAGCCCTGATCACCGGCTTCCGGAACCCTCCAAAAACCTACACACAAATGGGTTAGTTATTGCCCACAATCATCGGGCAAATTTCCTTTAAGGGTAGTTTGAAGATCCAGGTTGATTGATGAACTTCACTTTCAAAGGATGGCCCTTTGACTTGCCTTTCAACACAAAGGGAAGGTGATGACACTGGCAGGGACTAAAGGTGATTCTGGGTGGCTCCTCTAGGCTGAGAAGAGAGTCACTCCAGCCTGACTGTGCGCTCCAACTTTGTTTCCTTACACATTGACACATACCATGCCTCCTGCATGGTATGTTGTGGCTCGCCATGCGTGGAGGCCGAAAGCCCCGATGTTGACCCTTTCCCTCATGCAACGGACTGGGTCAAGCAAGGCGGTGCTAGACTTGTGGAACATCGGGGATGCGTTGATCCCTTTAAGCGGTTTGGATCACTCTTCACACAAACCGGCGAATGATCAGCTTGCGGTCCCGCTCAGCGTAACGTAGTGACAAGCACACACACAAAGCCCATGCAGTTGGGTGGTTTAAAAAAAGGGCAGGGCTGGACAAGCATGTTCTTGTCCATGTTGGCCCCGTGGCTTCCTTTGTTCTCCACGGGCACCTCCGCTGTCTAATTTAGTAGAAGGCATGTTGTTAGCACGCGCATCAACATGAACCCTGCAGAAGTCATGTCCCATTTGGTCCCACACCTCATCCCATTAAAACCCATCTGTCCCATTTTGGGTGTGTCTGTTTTTTAAGTGACACCCCAAAAATGTGGTTTTCCTTTTGGTGTCCCTTTAAAACCAACCCCAAACAGGCCTACCTGGACCCTCAACCTGTCAAACTACCCTTTGAAGATGGACATCTCTGCAACCTGTTGGGGCCATCACCCATGTTTGCGGGTCGTTTGAGGGTTCAGGTACCCTCAAGAAAACAAAGGACGAGCACTTCCTTGCGGCCCCTCAAGTGCCAAGTTGCTCTCAAGAAGAACACGCGGACGAGGATCTCCACACTGAAGGCCACTAGGAAGACCATCCGGAAGACCTGCGACACGGGATCCGTCGGCGCTCTCTTCCCCGCCCTTTGGCCGGAAGGAAGCTGAAGCTTAGCTCAGCCCAGCCCAGTTTAAGCACCGATCTGGCGCCAAAAAAAGAAGAAGAACGACACGTTTTTGCTCATGGATGGCCACCAAGTTCATCTCTGCATGCTATTCCAGAATCTCAACCCAATGTCCGCCTGGACAATTCCAAGCACTGCTTCTTGGTAATACCAAGGGTAGGTTGGTATGGTTGAAGAAAGGTTGGGACCCGGGCACTGCACGAGCTGGGATTTTCGAGGATCGTGTTCTCTCAAAATGGGCTGAACATCCAAAGCCCAGGATGTGAACACATGGGTTGTGTTTTTTTAGGGCACCTGGACCTGGATCTTCATCTTGTTTTAATTGACTGGACATCACAAACCATAAATTTTGGAGCAAGCCATGCCTATAGTGCGTATAGGTAGTTGGGCACCCCCCCTTGTTGCTTTTTCTGTGCTTGTTCTGTGTTCAGCACACGTCCACACAGGCATCCTTACCAGAAAAAACACACCTGAACATTGCAACTTGTAAATGGTGGTTTTCAACTTTATTTTGGTGCTGAAAAAGCCACATGTTTCAAATGGGCGAAATGACATGATGCTTACCGCATCTGGCGGTTTCCAACTTTATGTTGGTGTTGAAAAAGCCACATGTTTCTGGGCGAAATCACATGATGCTTACCGCATCTGGCGGTTTCCCTTTATTTTGGTGTTGAAAAAGCCACATGTTTCAAATGGTTGCGAAATGAAAATGTCTTTTACGGAGCCCTGCCACATGCTTACCGCATTCCTCGACTGGCCTCCGGGCGCTGAAAGTTGAGGAAACTTTTTCCCAGGAAGGTGTGGGTGTTGCTTTCTTTTCAGGGGGGGAGCGATGTATTTTGAGGGAAGGGATTGCATATCTTTATACCCAAACCTTCCAGTTGCCACTGTAGTAGGTGTTCCTTGCCTCTAGGTTTTCCCTGGGTGCCTGCGAAATGTGGCTCGCCTGGAAGCACTGGGATTGCTAGAAGTCACCATCCCGCAGCTCAGCAAGCTGAGCACTGGAATGTTTCAACCGGACCACCCATTGGAAGCGGCACAAGGATCGCCTAGAGCTGCCAAACTGTTTGAAGGGGAACGTAACGGTTGAGAATTTCTAAATGGAAGAACATGAAGCTTAAGAAGATTCCATGACTGGGTCCTCCAGTAGAGAGGTTAGAATAAGGGTACCAACTTTTTTTCTGTAGTCTATTTTAGTAGCGGAACCCTCCCCCAAAAAAGGATGAAAAAGGGCACTGCTGGGGGACCTGGTGAAGCTCCTTAAGATTCCATGTGTGCCCGCCTCGAACACTGTCGCCGCCCCGGGCCAGAATTCGCTGGCCGGGGCCGTCAGCCATCGGTGGCCGAGCACCTGAAGCGACAAAAGGCGGTTGGGAGGCCGTGGCTTATTTAAGGCCATGGGTCAACACCCCATACCCCCAGTGAACTTCCCAATCCCCACTAAAATAGACTAAAATGGGTGGTGCACCTATCCCAAAATGGTACCATTGGTTTTGAACCATGGCCACTTCATACTGCAGCACTTCTACTTGGATGCTCGATTCGCCAAGTTTGTAGTTGGCCAACTAAAAGCTTTGCCTCGGTTGTAACCTAGGGTTGAACACCAACTTTGGCCGAACACCCAAGGACCCCCCCGCCCAGTCACCACTCCCAAGGGATCAGATGGGATGAGTTTGGGAGGGGGTGTGGGGGGGGGGTGGTGTTTGGTTCCCCTTCATGCCTTATTTTTAGGGACCCACAACATGGGTGTGGGTCAATCGAACCCTGGTAAATGGAATCAAGGACTAAAAACCTGCGCCCTGGTTCTCAGTTCTCCTTTTGGCTTCCTTCAACACCAACACAGAAATGGGGTACCCCAACAAACAGACACACCCAAGTCAACATACCCCTTACTTCCGATCGAGTGGACTGGCCAGCGTGTTTTTGCCAAACTTTGGGTCTTGCACTAAAAATACATTTATGGAGTTCCAAAGGGGGGTTGGTTCAAGAGGGGTCCCTAAGGCTCCCTAAGGAACCCTCGGTAAATCCAACGAACGCGAAACGGGCTCAACTACCCCTACCCTCCTTAGGAATTCCTTAAATAATGGCACTCGTAACCCTAAGCCCAAATTTCACATACTTCCTTTGTTCATGGTTTTAGTCAGAAAACTTTTCAGAAGTAAAGGTTGATCCAGACTGGGGAACTTTTAGGTTTAATGGAATCGAGGTGAGACAACTGGTAGGCTTTCAAATGATCAACATTCCCAAAGTGGAATAGGCTGTCCTTGAGTTGCTCCATTGTCCATCCAGCTCAGCCCAATGTCGTGGCTCTTCATAGGCTCCACTGATTCACCAGTCATATTGATGGATGGTCGTCCAACCACACGTGGAACCACCTTTCGGAGGGTGGTAAAGCGGAAAACAACAATACACGTACAGGGCTACCCTAATTTAAGAATCTAAAGCACCCAATATTTACATATGTACTATGATATCGGTGGGAAGAAACAATCAACCACGAAAAGGATCCGTCCTACGTAAGGCAACATGTTCTGTTTAGCCCGCTCGTGCAACTCTCAAGTGGTGGACAATACGCTGAGTGAGCATGTCTAACGAGGCTGAATCACCGATTGAACTGTGCAGTGAAGTGACCCTCCGGGCCCAAACTCCGGAGGAAAAAACCATTAAACTGGGTGAATCATAATATTTCCCCAGCCTGAAATACGGTGGTTGGAGGGATATTCCCCACATAAACCACCATTTGGGGTGAGGTCGTGTGAGGTCGTTATAATTCACCCAAAGCGAAACCTCCCAAGCCAGAACTTGGTTGCTGTTGGCCCCCCTGCAAAGAGTTTTTAACTTGTTGGGGGTTTAGTGGAAAGCCCAACTTGATTTCCCAAAAAGTTAAAGTCTAAAGATCCAACCCAATAGCAGTTACGAGAAGATTAATTCACCCAGATTCAACCGAGCGAAACCGCCCACAGAAGCTGGAAGATGGGCTGCAGCTTCACTGGGCAACTTTTGTTGCGACCGGGAAGGTCCGGCGGCCGTGCCGTTGAAAGGAAAAGTGGACCCAAGAATAGAAGAATGGTCCTCCAGTAGAGAGGTTAGAATAAGGGTACCAACTTTTTTTCTGTAGTTTAAGGAAGACAAAACGAAAGTTGGCCGGGTCCTCCAGTAGTAGGAGTTTGAATCAGGGTGCCCGACTTTTTTTCCCTGTAGTCTATTGTAGTAGGGGAACCCTCCCAACCAAAAAAGGGGTGAGCGGTCGGGCACTATGCTGGGGTCCTGACCTTTGCGGAACGACCAACAGCGCGCGCAAACCAGGACAAGCCTCTCAATTTCTGTGCCAATCCTTGACCCGCCGTCCCCGTCTAACGTCCAACGTGCTGGGCCAACGCAGCAAAGGCGCATAGCCAATCTGCAACCCCTCATACTGCATCCTCAGTGTCCGCATCAAGCAAGATTCTGTGTGTGGCCAAAGAAGACATGAAACTGAACCTGGCAAACTCTTACAAGCTGCCCTAATCCGCACACGACTACTTGAGCAAGGTGTAACTTATGTAGTCCCTGCAAAATGCACACGATGATGTGTATGGTCATGGTGGTGGCTGCTTGATGCAACCAGTGTGTCCAAAGCTGAACAATTGCCAGGTCATATCTCACCATGAAAAATGCGGAACCGAGCCAGCAAACCAAAGTTTTGAATCTGCAAACAATCACGTTCATGTTGACCCCGGATTAATACACCCCGGTTTATTCATATGGGGGTGTTCCCCTCCAAAAGTGATAAATCCCCACTAAAACCGGGGACACCCCCATATTAATAAACCGGGGTTTATTAATCCGGGGTCAACATTATCTGTTGTGCAGCGCATGAAGCGGGGGCAACACTTGCACTGGCCCCCTCGCTTCTCCCAGCACCAGAAGCACCAACATCAGCGGATCACAACTCCTTCTTCGGCTTTGATACGCGCAGGAGACTCAACAATGCATCGGACTCGCAGGGAGTCAAGTTGGCAATAAGTCCCTCCGGTGCTGTGAAGAAACACTACGACAAAGAAAGCCAGCAAGGGACGACAACTGCGACTACCCCAGCTGAGCTGCTCTGCCGCCATGGTGAAGAAGTTAAGCGCCACCAGGCCAGCCACAGCAAGCTCAAACCTGCAGCGCAACAAGGCGCTCGAAGATCTTCCCAACAAACAACACACACCAAAAGGAAAGCAACAACTGAACAGCAAAAACATGACGAGAACGGCAAACATGGTTCCCAACATGGCACCCTGGCGAATGGAAACAAAGACTAAAGCTGCGTAACCCCTGGGGTTCAAAACCACCATCACAACCGTGGAGAATCGTAGAACCACCACTGTTCTTCTTGTTTTCCTAAGGATTGTCATTTTAAGCGGGGGTTGAACCCTATAGGGCTAGCTCTAGATCTTTAATTTGTGCCACACCCATTTTTTGCCAGAGCGCGCGTCGCTCTTCACCCACTTCTCGCAGGTGCCCATGCAACCCAGGGGTTCTTTTGGCTTACTCTCCGCTTCTGGAGTGTCCTGACCGGCGAGGAGAAACCATCGGAACACATGGACATGACATGTCGCCGTGTGTTCAGTGTACCCAACTTTCGGAGCTGTTTGAGATGAAAAAACAGAGAAAAGCCGCAAGACTCATGCTTTCTGGTACCAACAAGATATGACACAACTGAACCCTCAAACTATCTACAAACAATAGGTCGTTGCCAACAAATGTGTGATTTTCACGGTTTGTTTGGTAGTTTGAGGGCTCAGGCACCCACATTTGCCTTGAACATGGGAGCCTCACAATCCTGGAGCTGAGTCAGCCTGACCATCCCAGGGAGACGAGCTGCGTGAGCTGACCCATCTGAAATGTTCGAAGAGGTCTACCTGGAGCCTCAAACTACCCTAAAAAAAATAATTAAACAAAACAACGGCAACAACGCGACATGTACATCTCTGAACAGCTTGAAGACTTGGACAATTTCACTCGACAAAGCCTGCAAAAGGACATATCGGTGTGTCAAAAGAACGATGGGTACAACGAATGGGGGAAGCAACCTTCCGCGACACAACATGTGGTTGAAACCTACATGCAGAGAACATCTTTGAGAGGTCCGGTTCTTCACTGTTGAGTTCCATTTGGATTTGTAAAAATAGGGGACCCCTCTGGGTGTCATTTGAACTTAAGCAAAGCTTGAAGGGGCCCTCAAAACACACAAGCAAACATAGACACAGACACAGACACAAAGACACAAAGACACAAAGACACAGAGACACAGAGACACAGAAACACAGAAACACACAAGCAAACAAACAAACAAACAAACAAACAAACAAACAAACACAAGCAAGAAATCAAGCAAACAAACAAACAAACAAACAAACAAGCAAGCAAACAAACAAACAAACAAACAAACACACAAAATAACAAACAAACAAACAAACAACCAAACAAACAAACAAACAAACACACAAACAATCAAAATAATAACAAACAAACAAACAAACAAACAAACAAGCAAGCAAGCAAACAAACAAACAAACAAACACACAAACTAACAGACAAACAGACAGACAGACAACAGACAGACAGACAAACGGACGGACAGACAGACAGACAGACAGACACACAAACAGCCAGACAAACAAACATCGACCCCAAATAGCAAAAACGTACTGTCATTCCATGAAGTCACCAGGAACCAATGAATCTTACGGCGCTGGTAACAGGAAAGCACAGCCAACCCTTATGTTGCATATTTTTCATCCAATGTGTCACACTTCTTGGTTGCAGTCAAGAAGAAAGGGGCACAAACACTACCGGAATTTTGGTAGAGTTACTGAACGCGCCGCTTTGAAATGGCTTCACCAACCCGCTGTCCAGTCATTGCGCTCCGCGGGCTCGTAAAGGGTGATGCCGGTCGCTACGGGGGCAGAGGCAATTTAGTCGAAAACGTGGCCGCAAAGATCTCGTGGCCAACCAAAGCTACGCAGCATGCTTGTGCTTTGAGAAGGGGTTGCTCAGGTTTCTCGGCAAAAAAAGTGCTTGAACGCACGCAAAAGAGTTTCAGGTGGTCCTTCTATTACTTCGCGCAATGCATTTGTTAAACCAATGGACTTCAGTTGGCTCAATGATCGTACCCTGGAAGGGCAACGTACGGCAGTTGTGCCCTGCATGGCATACAAAGCACAAGTAGATGCAGGCATGAAAGGATACCCTACTTGGTCAGCTGCGGTTGTAAAGTCTATCTGCGAGGAAACGAAGTGCCAAGATCGCTTCGAAGGCTTCACCGCAAAGACGCCAGCCATGTATCCTCACAGTTGGGACAAGCGCTGCCTTCGCAAAAGGCGAGCACAAAGGCGAGCACATGGTCCTGGCAGGCTTTCGGCGGCAAAAGTTTGTAGTCATTGTTGTCTACGTTGATGTACACACAGAGAGGCAAATGACGCAACACTACGTCTCCTGGGCGGCTGCTTCTGGGTGCAAGTCCAGGCCACCACCGTACCTGTAGCATCTTGAACTGCAACCGGAGGTTGCACGGACGTTGCAAAACGAACTTTCACGCCAACATACAGCAAGCAAACGCTTGGATTTGTTGTTGTATGAATGTGATAAACCTGCAGCATTTCACGCAGCAACTCTGGTGGGCAACTTTTTGGGAGTGTCACAAGCTGGGACATAAAGCATATGCTTGTTATCGCGGCGGGCTTCAGCCTGAGCTCGAAGAAAGGATGCCATGGCAACCAAGGACCATGGTACCATCCATGAGCTTCTTGAACTAAATTGGCCGCAGAAAAGGTTGAGCTGCTTAAGTCTACCTCTGTGGCTTGCAGCGCCTGCCATTGTCCCGGAGACAAACGTCCAAAATGGCTATCCAATTTGGATCTTTAAAACGTCCCGCAGGCTTGAACACAGACATAATTTCTATTTTGGCCAAACATTGCTCTCCTGCCTTGTGCTCCGTCGAGGCGCCATCTAGACTTGCCAAAAGCGATGTTGATTGCGGCACTGGAGGGAGGTGGAGATGATCTCCGAAAAAGGCAACGATTCGCATTCAAAGCAACAAACCTTTGGGCCGGGTATAATCATTGAGGTCTATTCCATGCGCGTGTTGCCGGTATGCCGCACGAAGGCTGGACGCATGCAGCAAGGCTGCTTGCATTTGGGTGAATTCGTCGAACAATTGCGCGGCGGCTGGCACATACAAACTTCGCAGTTTTTTCATGGCAGTTTCATTTGGCGTGAGAGTAGCTGTTCTCAAAGACTACGTAGCTGTTAGAGCGGAAGCCACGTACAATGTCTTCCCGTGAATTAGTCGAGCAGCCGTGTTGCTTGGCGCTTGCCTCAGAACTCCAGCTGGTCCGAAATAAGATTGTAACAGCGGCGTGAACACTTCATTTATTAGCAAAGACTTGCTACAGCCGCCTGCACCAACATTAAACTATTCGCACAGCATGATCCTGCCAAATAGGCGGAATCAAATGAGCATCTTTGTCTGGCCTTTTCTCGCAAGCTTGCTGAAAAGGCAAAGCCATCAACGCAACCGCATTGATCTGTTCTTCCGACAAGTTTTTTCACAAAGGTCCCAAACAAACAAACACACCGACAAACAAACACATTGACAAACAAACAAACAAACAAACAAACAAAAAAAAACAAACGAAACAACAAAAACACTCGGAAACAAACAAACAAACAAACAAACAAACAAACGACCGAAGGAACGAACAAATAACCAAAAAAACACAAAAACAAGCAACCAACCAAAAAAACAAACAAACAAACGACCAAAGGAACGAACAAAAACAAAAAAGCAAGCAATCAAGCAAACAAACACACTCGGAAAGAAACAAACAAACAAACAAACAAACAAACAAACAAACAAACAAACAAACACACAAACAAACACACAAGCAAACAAACCAACAAACAAACAAACAAACGCACTCGGAAACAAACAACAAACGAACGAACGAACGAACGAACGAACAAACAAACAAACAAACAAACAAACAAACAAACAAACAAACAAACGCACTCGGAAACAAACAAACAAACAAACAGACACAAAGCGAGAGAGAGAGAGAGATCAAGACATTGGTTTGCAAGTGTCAAAAGCAACAGACAATTATTATTATTTGTGTTATTGTTATACTTATTATTATTATTATTACTAATATTACTATTATTATTATTGTTATAATAGTTGTTATTATTATTGTTATTATTGTTAATTATTATTATTCTCATTATTATTGTTATTATTGTTTATTATTATTATTATTATTAGTATTATTGTTATTATTGTTAATCATTATTATTGTTATTATTGTTAATTACTATTATTTTATTGTTTTACTAAAACAAAAAAACACAGAACAAAAAAGCACAGCTGTTGAAACAAAAAGATTCGCTCGGCTCCTTTGGCTCGCCCGTTGGGGAGGACACTGAAAACGAGCCGCTCGCGGTACCTCGATCCCCATGGCGCCGAGCGAAAGCGACTTCCATGGGTCATGTCACCCAGGTCGTTTTGTTCACAAGAACTCTAGCAAAAGGATCTCCACGAGCTTGGAGGACGGCAGATTTGGGCGCCGGGTTTCTCTACCCAGAGGCTCCAATTCGATGGATGGGCCTTCAAACACGGTTTGGAGACCGGGTCCCAACCACCTCCGTGTCTAATGAAAAATTCGGGTCTTCCATTGAAAGTCCCAGGAGCCTCTGGGTAGGGGGTACCTTCCTTTTCCATCTTTCCAGGGATCCGTTCTAGAAAACACCTCCGGAAGCCCACGGAAAACGGCGGCTTTTGAAAAGAACGACGGTTGAAAAGAATCGGGAATCAACCCCTAGAATTTCACCCATGTCGTGTTATTCTTTCAATACCAACTCCCAAAAAGGATCCCCCAAGAAATGGACACTGATGCCTGAACCCTGAAACTACCCGACGAAAAAGGGAAGATTGCAACCCGACATTATGGGGTGGTTTCCCGGTTTGAAGGTCCAGACCCTTATTCATCATGCCCACAATCATTTCACAGTCCGTTTTATGTGCTATATGGGTGTGTCTTTGTGATGGTACCCTCTTTTTGTGGTATTTGAGGGGAAAGCAAAAGGAAAACCACCGACTTGGGGATCCCCCCAGAAAAGACAGACCCATATGTCCGTGGTGCCTCAAAAACAAGCCCATGTTTGGTGCTACATGTGGTTCAAGGAAATCAGGAGACCTAAAAACAATTCAAAACCACAGAATCCGGATGGCTGCTTGAACCACCAAGTTCAAGAAGTTGCAATGTCGGTACCTGGACCGATTCTCAAACTGCCCTTCAAAAAGGAAAATCACCTATCATTTAGGGGGCAACCCATTTTTAGTTGGTCTCAAAAGGACAACACTGCATGGGAATGTGTCCAAAGCCAGTCTGCCAATCTGAAGCGAATCTATGTGACCTAATATGGCTTTGCCGAGTGCCAAACATGGAAACCCCTGAATAGGTGTTCCTCTTGGTTTCCCTTTCAACCACCCCCAAAAACAAGCCTCAGAAAAAGACACCCCCTAGGTTTTCAAGGGAACACACTCACAGCCGGAGTTGTTGAAAACCACCCCGATTTTGATGGCCCCAATTTTGGGTTTGCGTTGTGCTCATCACCCCCTTGGGATTCACACGAAAAAAAAACTCACCACTTGGCCAGTCGTGGCCCTTGGCAAGGCAAGTCGCCCATGCTGCTCACCGTACCCATGTGCAGCTGTGGCGGTTTTGTCCTCGGCACCTGTCGGAAAAAAAAAAAAAAAAAAAAAAACAAAAGGCGATTGGTTGGTCAAAGGTTAGACCAAACAACATGTGGCTATGGGTCAGAACCCCTCTGCCCCGGTCAACACCCAGAAAGCTTCTAAAAAGACAAGAGTGGAGTGGCAACCATCCCCAAGAACGCACCTTAGGTTTTGACCCACAACCATGTGAGCCAATCACATGGGCGAAGTATGCGGGATACGTTCCACTTTCGTCATATGTTGCATAATGTTTGAAGCAACTATCTTTGCGCCAAATAAAACTATGTCTTGCGCTTGTCTTCCTGCCGCTTTGGGGTCCTAGAAGACCATTTTCCTGTAACACAGACCATCTCCATGGCAACGTGGATGCGAAGCTATGGAATCAGCGGGGCCCACGCCGCGGGTTTCGTTCAGTGGTAGCCTGGGTTTCCTCTTTCTCTGTGGGCCCAGGATACCTGATGGTTGAGGGGCCATGTGGGTGGCGACCGTCCTTTGAGGGTCATGGTGCATGTCCTTGGGTTGGTGGGGGATATATTGAAGCTTGCTCGAAGCCAGCTTAGTTGTGAGAAGCATGTGGAAGGAGTGGGATGCCAAATAAAAGAATAACCCCTCAACACGTTCAACATGGATCTAGGGGTAACTTCCCCATTCTTTCCAGAGATCCTTCTTTCCAGAAAGCCCCCCAACACCCTGGGGAAATGGCTTGTTTTCTTGAAAAGAACCATGGCTGAAAAGAATGGGAAATCAACCCCTAGAATGGAGGTGGTGTTGCGGCAACTCTAATGCAAAGGTCTGCGCGACCCGGGCGGCGCTCAGTTCCAGCGTGTAGGCCAAACAGGTTTCGCAATGGGTTGACATTCTTTTGGCTTCACCTGCCAGCCTTTGTTGGGCAGTCCGCCATTTCGCAAACCAGTGGTCATGGGGAAAAAGGGTCACTCTTTGGCTGTGCGGCCAAGCTAGGAAGTGGTTAGCCAATTGGGGTATAACCCCCCAGGTTAACCAGCCTTAGGGCTCATGAGGGGGTTGTATCCTAGGTTACCAACAACTTTCTAACTTTGCAAAAAAGAAAAAGCAAAACAAGGCAACCCAGCCAGCCCCCCCCCCCAACAAAAAAAATGAGTTCCCCCATGTCCAACATTCCAAGTGTCCAAAAAGCAGTGTTTCGGACCCCCGTGATGCGTCTCGGATTTTGAGCAACTTCAGAAACTGGCCCCATGATATTACCATGGTCAGGGTGTCACCCCCGCTCAGTGGTAGGCAGGGAAGCAACCCCATTTTCTGACTTTGACAACCCCCAGAAACTTTCATTTGCTTACGCCCGCTGGAGGAAAAAACAAACAACAAAAATCCAGTGCTCATGGATTGCCTTGAAAACCAACAGGGGAGACATAATATACGTCAGATACTAATTTCAGCCAATGGAAGGACAGAGTCAAAATCATGACTCTACCCAGAGGCTGGGGTTTTCAGTGGAAGACCCGACCCCTCCACTAGCCACCCCGGAGGTGGTTGGGACCCGGTCTCCAAAGGTTCTTTGAAGGCCCAATCGAATTGGAGCCGGGTAGAGACACCCGGCGCCCAAATCCGTCCTCCAAGCTCGTGGAGATCCGGTTCACGTTGCCGTTGGTCTCCGCGCCGTCCACTGACTCCACGTCCTTTCCCAGTAGAGTTGGGCCCAGTTTCCGATTAGAGTTAGGCCCAGGTATATGATATTGTTCGCTTCACTTTGAGTCACCGGTAAAATGTAAAATGTATCCTAAGTCTACCCCAGCCATGCTGTGGATGGCCGATTTTTTTTCCGCACCACCGAACTCAGAATCCCTGGTTTCTGATTCGACTCCCCTGCAAATGCCAACAACCAATGGTTTCAACCATGGTTTCAAAGTGGTGCGAAACGGATTTCGTCCATCCACAGTATTGCAAGTAAACCAACCGCACTCAACCACAAAGCCACAACAACGGTAAACTAGGTATTTAGGCATCCACCGAAACTAAGGTACTTACCAAGGACCCCTCAGTCCGCAAAGACTACTGCAGCCCGGGAGTTGTGAGACTTGTCAAGGACTTCAGGCAGACGCATTACAATTCTCTAAATCCAGGCAGCTCCTAGGCGAGTATGAAAGGTTCAGACCCGCGCTGAGGATTCAACAAAATGGGCAAGCACGTGAATCATTTGAATTGAAAGAAGAAAACAAAAGAGGAACTCAAGCCGTCCCGTGGAAGCGTCAAGGACCCATCCTGCGGTTTGCCCCATGGTGGGGACGTTGAAACCATCCTTGGTCCTGGGCTTCCTTCAGCCTTTCGCAAGTGCTCTTGGCGTCTTGGCGTGGTCGGTGCTGCCGTTTTGGGCTGTCAACTGAATACTTTAACGGCTCGAACACTTTGGTAGACTCAGTTGCCCAAAGGACCTGTTTATAAAAGGTTAACCTTTTGGGACCTCTACTAAAAATGGACCAAAAAGGGAAAACCAAAAGGTCAAAAGGTCGGCTTTGAACAACTGAGTAGATATTCTTGAACGGCTTTGGACCGCTCCCAACTGTGTTCGTCCGGCTAGGTCTTCTATTGTCTGTGTAACAGCGCGCTCCATGCCATCACCAAAACAAGGCAAAACGACAAAATCCAGCAGGCCAGTGGGAGGGTATCCCAGTGGGTTATATTAAACGGAAAGCCCCACCAAGCCTGCGTATCCCAGTGGGCTAAACGGAAGCCCCACCAAGCCCTAAAAAACCCGAATTGGAGCCAAATGGCTGGGAACCATTAGCCTAACGCGCGCATCTCACCTAACTCTTGCTCCGAATATCCCTCTATGACAAGGGCCGCCCGAAACACCCATCCACCCTACCTTCAGGGGGGTGGTGTGTCTGTGTGCTTTTTTGAAGTGGCGGTTTTGAACAGAAGCCAAAGAGGAAGCCCATAAAGTCATCGGGCGTGTGCCTATTTGAACACACCCAAAAACTAATCAAAAACACTCGCGGCTTCAACCAAGGGCAAAACCAAAACTGCAGGTCCCCTTCTTTCGACAGCCTCACAAGCATCGTAGCTTGCCAGGATTCCTCTTTCCAGGGATCCTTCTTTCCAGAAAACCATCAGAACCTGATTAGAGTTAGGCCCAGTTATAGAATGTATATTATATTGTTTGCTTCACTTTGAGTCGCTATGTACAATGTATCCTAAGTCTACCCCAAAAAAACCCACAAAAAAACACAGCGTGTTTTTTTTTTTAGTTTAACGACGATGGTTGAAAAGAATGCAAACAAAAATCAACCCGAGACATCCCATGCGTCGGTCTCTCTCACGCCTGCAGGTCGCCCGCTGGCTTCCGGTGGTCCACCTCGTGGGGCACGGCCTGCGAAGCGCTTTTCGAGTCCGCCCCCAAAAACGGCGTTCCCCCCCCCATGTTTTTGTTTGGCGCTTTTCTCTTTGTTTTTTTGTCTTGGTTGTGTTTTTTTTTAGAAATCTTGTTTTTTTTTTTTTTTCTCCGTGGATCTGCCGGGGATTTTTGTGGGATGGTCTTTCACGATGGTCTTTCACAAATGTTGGTCTTTTTGTTGGATGGTCTTTCACGGCCCAAGGTTCGAAGATCGGTTTGATAAAACCAATTCCTTGCAGCACCAGGTTCATGTATGTTGTGGTTCGATGGGTTTCAATGTCTCTGTGAGAACACATTGTGCTTCGAAGTGTTGTTGAGGTTTGGCTGTAAACAACTTGACGCTTCTCAATTTATGTGCCAAACCTGTCTCAAGAGAGGCGGGTGCTCCTCAAATCGGGGACATGCTTAATTTTGAACAAGTGCGACACACGGCGATGAAAGCTACCCGCTGTAGCGCAATCCAATTCTTGAGGTTGGGTTGGTTCATTGGCTATGATGATTCTCCTTGGGCCTAATTCGCTTCAGAAATTCGATGATGGCCCTTCGGAAAAAAGGGCGGCTCTGGAAAGGCGTTACGTTTCACAACCATCTAAACTGAAACTTATCGAAGTGGCCTAATGCGAAGATCAATTTGCATTGGTGCCGGCGAAGGTGGAAAAAAAGAAGATAGGGTCTGTCTCTTGTTGACAGTACCCCTTTTCGTCTGTCTTAAAGAGATACCAAAACACGGTTGCTTTCTGCGAAGCCCTGCTAAAAGTTTAACTTGTGGTTCAATGGGAAGCCCAGTACTTAGTTGGCAAAAAGTCTTACAGTCCGAACATCCCTTGGCAAAAATGCGCCAAAGCAAAGGGACAACCACACCAAAAAGGACACACCCAGGTCTCAGGTGTTGAATTCTCCCTTCCCTTGGATCCGGGAGTTGCCGTTCACAGACTCATTTAGTTCGGGGGGCAAAACGCGGGCCTTTTGCCTATGAAGGCCATTTACGGATTCCCGAGTGGCTGTTGTTTCCAAGTAAACGTTGGATTAATCCGAAGACCCTATTCGGAGGAACCCTCAAGAAAAAAATAAAATAACCAAAAAAGTTATTAAAAGGGAACCCAAGTAGGTTGCGCGGCCTTGTTGCAGCTAGGAGTGATTCAAAGGGATCAGCATGCCGACTTCTTAGTATCAACTGGCAAAAGAAGTTCGGGACCCCCCCCCCATTCCGCTTCGTGGATGTTTTGCTGCCTGTCAGGACCCCGATCGAGTCGGCTCGCCAAAAGGGCACGCAACCGAGATCCGATCGAGTGGCCAACAAAAAAAGTCTCCTCACGGTTCCCATGAAGTGGAGTTGAAAGTCCAGAGACTCGGGAGTGAGGGGACGGTTGGCCGCTTGAAAACCAACCCATTTGCTCACCTAGTTGCACATGTCTTCCAATGCCTTTTCTAAAAAATTGGAGGCCCAAAATGGCTTCGGCTTTCCGGGGGGTTTTCCTAAGCCAACCAAAAAGGGGTTCCCTCCAAAAGGACACACCCACCAGGACCCCCCAATGGCTGGCAAATAACCCCAAAAGAGCCATTGGGAGGTCATTCCACAGACCATTTGCCAGCCATTGGGGGTCCTGGCATTTGTCCTTTTCCTCGTTGAGTTTTTGGAGAACGATTCTGTTCCCTTCGGTCGGGACACAGACTTCAATTCGTGGGACGAATCCAAAGAACTAACCATAAAACTGAGGGTTGCTGCGCCGTTTTTTCTTTTTTTGCGGCGGGGTGATGTCCCTGTAGTTTAAGGGCGGTTTGAGAATCGCTTCAGATACTTGTTTATTTACATTGTGAAAGGAAGCCTCCTTGGCACCAAGCATATTGGTTCCAACTCGTTTCACATCCGAACAAGCCAAAGCCTTGAATGGATGAACCCATTCAAGATGTCCAAACGTTGGACTGATGACCAAGCTGGTCTTCCTGGACCCGAAAGAGCTAGAAAAGGGAAACCACTCCATGTTTGTTGGCAATTGCTCCCATCTGTACTAGTCTGAGGGTTCAGAACGTTGTTTATGTCCAGCCTAAGAGTCTTGGCACCTCAAAAACGGATCTCCTGGGGGTCCAAAACGTTTCAATGGAGATTGGAGGGTCCTTGATCAAATCGGGCGCTAAGATGGTCTTCCCGAAAAAAGTTGAGGAGCTCAAAAAAGAGACTGAGCGGTTGTTGCAGCCAGGCCATTCCCTTGCGCGCCTGATTTGGGTTCTCTCGGCCTCGGTTTTCGATGGCTCGTGTTTGGTGTTTGGGGCTTTCTAGGGGTTTGCCTCAGGAAACCGCCTGCAAGTGGTTGTCCTTTGGTTCCTCTCCGCGCCCCAACGGCTTTCTCAAAAAGATAGGCTCAAAGTGATTCAAAGTGCGTGGCGACGGTGTGTTTCCTTTCGAGCTGGGAATTGTTATGGAACCGACTGCGACTTGTGGTTTTCTCAGAAAAAACGCAGGGGGGGGGGGGGGTAAAACTGTCCCTCTCAAAACAAAAGAAAAAGATATGTCCTCCGCTTCCCTGAAATCAACAACCCAAAGGGTAGCCTTAATATAACAGCACGCCTTCCTTAGCCATCCAAGTGAAGCCACCATCTACATTTAGGTTCCTTTTCCTGGCGAAGCTGAGCACAGTCATGCCTTACTGGGGCTGGCATCACCGTGCACATTCAGAATTCATGTTGAGCTTCAGAAAGTGTGCAAAGTCGCAAAGCATCCCGCCTGCCTAAACGCAACATTCAAGCATAGGTGAATCAATGCTGCTGGCAAAGCAGTTGACGACTCCACCATGCAGTTGCCGAGTTGATGTGGCAGCCCCCAAAAATGATGGAGAACTTGCCCCATTCAGCGGGAAGTATCATCTTGTCGTTTCCTCCAATGGTCGTCCTATGTGAAGATTCTTTGATCAACCCCCACGTCCCCTAAGACACACCCATGTCACTTGCTCCCTTCAGCAAACCCCTCGAAAGGCAACTCTGCTCCGATGCCACCGGTTCAGCAAACAACCCGCGTCCAAATTCGAACAAGTCCACTTGAACAAAATGGGGACTCCAAAACGTCTTGTGCCCACCCCCGAATGACCCGTGCTTCCCACCTGGATTCTCCATGACCCGTAAACAATGAGATCCCCTTATTTTGTCTAGATATGTGTGTGTGTGTGTGTTTTTTCGAGGGTTCCCTTTCTTTCTGGTGTTTAAAGGGACACTAAAAGGACAACTACTATTTTGCGAGATACCTTTAAAAAATACACCCACAATCCAACGTTTCAAGAGTGCAAACTTCGGGTAACTTTGTTTGCCCACGGACCATGATGCCAACCAGCTAAACCACATGCCGAGAGCTTGCTTCGCGCACCTGGACCCTCAAACTACCCCTAGATGGGTGATTTGTTATCAGTCCCTGGGCTTCCGGTTATCGGCACGCCAGGAACCAAAAGACCTTGTAGGGAATGACCGAGGCCGGGTGTTGGGAATGAACCCGAATGGGCTACCCTGAAACCAAATCATGCGGGTGTGTGTGTGTTTTTTGGGTCGTTTCCTCATTCCCGGCTGAGAACCAGCAAGCTACAAGCTCGAAGAAACATGGTTTCGTGGTCCCCCATTGTCAGGTGCTGCAAGGGATTGCTCGTGTCTATGACCTTAGCTGCACCCGAAAGAAACTACCTGGAGTTTGCATGGCCCTTAAAAAATGGGGTCATTTCCCAAAATTAAGGGATCATAGACCCATTTTTTAAGGGTGAGAAGGAGACTCTAGGTAGTGGTTTCTGCATCTCCTCAACCCCGAAGGGTACCCAAAGGAAGCAACCTGAGTCACAATCGAAACCCGGTACTAAAATGGTCTACCCAGAACCATGTAAGGAATTAAGAAGGCGGCCGCAGCTATAATTTATGGTTGAGATCGTCTTTTACTAAGCTTCATCTACCCGGGTTTTGACTGTGGCTGGCTCTCTTGGGTCTCTGCAACGTGCCCTGCATATGCGTGACACGAACAGACATGACGAATCAGAACGGACCTGTCTGCGTGTGAATTAGGTGGCGAAACGCCGGCTCCGAGTGCGGTGCAAGTGTGCACGATAACGCCTATACCGTTCGGCATGGCCGTGCATCACATCGAATTCATCTGTGCTGCGGAGCACTAAGGGAAAACGCGCTGTGGCCTGCGGAATGGCCGGAAGCGGGGAATGCCCTTGAAGAAAGGCACGGACAATTTCGAGTGTGATGACAGGCTCAAGAATGCCCGGACGTGTCAAGAAGCCTGGGCGTGCCTGGCTACCAAACACATTGAGTGTCCTGACTTTGGTAGGGCTCTCTGCGGGGAGGAGCAGCTGCCGGATGGCACAAACAAAGCCTGTGAGGGTAGCTTGTGCTGTGGGCAGGCAAGAAAGCAGTGCTTCATAAATGGAGGGGTTGGCGAAATGGGTATCTGCCCCCCTCTGTCCGATGTTGAAAGGCACGTGGCTCTGTGTCAAGTACCTAAAGTTCACATAAAGCTCTAGCCAAGTTATGCCCGGGTTATCAGCAGCAGGGGAAGCTGTGTCCCACTGCAGTGAAGAAAGCCAGTCACGAAGGCAGAATGCAAATCCACTACCATAAAGAAAGGCGTCGGCTACTGTTTGGGTGACCTCCCCTATGGCATAAGGCCTGGGTTCGAGCGGGACCCAATTCACAAGCTTGCCTTGTTGGCAGTCTCTGTCAACTCTTCTGGCCTCGGCTGGGTTGGGCTGGCGTCCCTGGCCGTCTAAGTGCTGCGCGCGCGCAGTAGAGAGGGCAGAGAGAAGCATGTAGTGCTCTCTGAGAGGGTCTCTGTGACTTTTGACATGTTCAGCAGTGAAAACTCTCTGCGTGCACTTTCGGAAACAAGGTGACAACCAAGTCAAAGTGCGGGTGGGCCGCAAGAGTTTCAGGGCACAGTGCTGCACTGATCTTAGCAAACGTGCGAACCACGAAGAGACTATCTGTGAGGATATGACCACACGGGGCTTGTGCAACAAGAACGGCGGTTGCCTGGAGCTCCGCCCTGGCTATAGATTGCTCACCAATGCAGCGGTCAGTGAAGATACATTGCAAAGCGGAGGGCAGGCAGCCAGTGCTTGCGAAGGCCTGGGCCAGATGCACCTGAAGGCTGCTTGCCTACAGACTGGCAAGGTGGGATCTGAGAACGATCCATCCGTATAGAACCTGGGTGTCACTCCAGAGCTCACAAAATGGGCAATTTCCGCTAAGTGCGGCTCTGAGAACGTCTGCTCTCGAGGATGAAACTGCAAGGCACGAATGAAACCGGATCTGGCTCTCTTCAACCCGGAGGTGCGCAAGGAGGCCATACTGCTCCAAGTAACTTTCGTCGAATGTGTGCTGCGTCCCGTATCGGGCCATGATGGTTGGCATGGTCTGGGCTGGCCCTCCATTCCTATACTCTCTAAGGGATGCCTGGGTGAACCTTTTGCCATATCGCTTACCTGGATGAAACCGGAGATCGTAGTGCATCTGCAGATCTGGCTCAGTAAGGCTCAATCTGGCTTCATGCTCTACAGGCAAAACCGGGCATGCTCCAAAGCTTTCCCTCTGGGATTCGGCATAGACCCTGGGATGTAGGGCAACAATCCTGCAGACTGCCTTTGTCGGCCGATATTGCATTGATGGCGCTCAAAGGCATGCTGAACCGGGACAATGCCCAACACTCTCTGTTCCTGCCGTCGAACATATGCGTCAACCGCTGTCGGCAGAGGCTGCTGAATTCCTCCACCTGTGCTGCGGACAGGATAGACCAATCGCCCTGCAATCCTTTGCTCTTCTGCGAGATCTCTTCGCTCTTCTCCGGGAATCTCACTTTGAGCACAACTGGCAGAGAATTCCGTGGGAGCCCGAGGTGGAAGGTCTTCATTGCACACTGGAGGTGCGCGATCAGCATTGTACTATATCCCTCAGGGACATGACGTAGGATCGCTCTCAGCTCTGTGCCTGAAACCCGAATACACATCTGCTCCTGCTCCGCCAGTAGTTCTGTTGGCTCATAGGCTATTGTTCCATCATGTTGGCTCAGTTCATTCAACTCTGAGCACACGATATGTCGCACACCTAGCCTTTGAGCAATCGGCTGTGCTGTGAGAAAGCCCCGCCTCAGGGTGCTAGAGATCACCATGCAGACTTTCCAGGCGGTGCTGTACGTGAAGATCAGCTGGGAGATCTGTCCGTGACCAACCTGGGTGAGAGTACCATCTTGTTGATCGAAATCCGCACGCCGTGCCATCAAACACAGGGATTCGCCTGGACAAGTATCCCTATCTTTGGCTGCGGACAACGCTGCTCTCACGCTGGCTTCTCGCATGATTGTGGCAAGTCCATGAAAGGGGACAACTTCAAACTTTGGATCACCAGTTCGCCCTACTCGCTTGAGTTGGGGCCGAAGGGTCGATCGAATCTCCCCCTTGTGATCCTGTCGCGCTGAATAGCGCCCCCAAACATGGGAACTGAACCACTGTTCGCAAAGGGCAAGTTTGGCGCTTCTATTCAGCACCACTCCATCTTTCTTGTCCTCTTCTTCAAGCAACACTCGCCGCGTTGCAATCAAGTCAAGATTGTGCACTGGGTGCTGTGGGACGCCCATTGCCTTGTCACGCTCACTTCCTTCTGGTCTTGTGAGCGTGTCCCAAAGGCTCTCCACGTGCCGCCATCTGGCGCCATCTTCAACATGGAGAGTGCATGGGGATATCCGGTCCTCCACCAAAGGGACCTGGAAATTATTGGGACCTGCTGGCCCCCCCGTCCTTTGGGGCATTGCCTCTTGGCTTCATCCTCTAGCGCCTTCGGGCAAATGGTTGACCTTCACTCTCGTGAGAACCCACCGCGCTTTGCGCTACCATCCGGCCGCCAAAAAGCTTGAGCCAAAATGGCTACGGAGGTTTTGACTGTGGCTCACCTGGAGTGTCCTGCTGACCCGAATCAAGAATGGGGTCATTACCCAAAAGCAAGGGGTCATGGCCCCATGTTCAAGATCACTTCCCGTGTAGCTTGGCCAGACAAGGTCTATTTGTTGTGTACCAATAAATTGTCCAACCCAAAAAGTCACTAAAGTCGACAACGAAACTCAGGGAGCGAGAATTTATAGGGTCTTGGAGACTCCAGAAAGACATCGCCATCCCCATCCAGCCCGTGCTTCGATCTCAATCTTTTGGAGCAAGGCGCTCACGCACCTGCTGTGAGGTGCTTCCACTTTTGGGCCCAAGACTGCCTGCGCAGGTTTGAAGGATGCGCTCGTCTCCACTTCCATGTGCGGTTTTGCAGTGCAAAAAATGAGAAAATATGTCCAGTGATAGATTCCCTTTCAAACCAAGAAGCGACAATACAACACGAATTCATTTCAGAAAATAGAAGTGTAGGCAAAGGTCTCTCCGTGACCCCAATCCAAGATCGCACGAAAGCGATCTAACGAAATCCGGACAAGGTACAAAGGCGTTACAAAGCCTTCAAACCCAAGGTTTATGAGCAATGGTTTGTGCTTTGGAGCCTCATGCCAGCAAACATAAGCGCAACCCAAGAACACTAAAGAGATGTTTGCCCTTGTCGACTTGCGCAAGCATGGCCTCGCACGCAGAGCTGTGTGTTGCATACCAAACGACGCTCACAACATCTTAAACCCAGTGGTTGCTGGGGAAAAGGGACGCCCCGTGTTTGGTACTTGGGCCAAGCTAGTAAGTTGTTGGGAACCAAGGTTATGACCCATTTGAGTCACAATCAAAACCCGGTATTAAAATGGTCTACCCAGAACCATGTAAAGAGTTAAGAAGGCGGCAGCTATTTATGGTTGGGATCGTCCCTTACTAGCCTTCGTCTACCCGGGTTTTGATTGCGGCTCAGTTGTGAGTCCCTCTAAGTTGTTTGGGGGGTTATACCCCAATTGGCGAATCACAAACACTAACTTGGCCGAACATCCCAGTACTTGAATTTACGGGTCAAAAAGAGGGCACCACTGGGTGACTCAATTGATACGTGATGACACAAGCAAGCTGGGCATAAGAACGACCGACGGCAAACAGGCAAGAAACGCAAGTGGACACTGTTGGTGTGACCCGTTCAATGGGTTTCCATGGCTCAAATGCAATAATTGCCATTTGGATGATAAGATTGCCCATTGGATGCTATGATTGCCCTTTGGTGCGAGCTACCGGGTCATTCGATATTTCGGTTCCTCTGAACTGCAATCTGCACACAAATGACTTGTCGAAGAATGCCAAGCAACATGTAAAACCGTCAACTCTCACCTCCTTGTTACTATTACTACTATTTATTATTATTATTATTATTATTATTATTATTATTATTATTATTATTATTATTATTATTATTATTATTATTATTATTATTATTATTATTGTTGTTGTTGTTATTATTATTATTATTATTATTGTTATTATTATTGTTATTATTATTATTATTATCATTATTGTTATTATTGATATTAGTTTTTTAACGGACACATCACACTCAGAAGATGGACACACCTCTCACACTGAACAGTGGACACATCACTCACATCATACGATGGGCACATGCGTGACCCAATGGGCGCATCACGCCATGATTCACCCAGGACACACTGAGCATCCAGTATTGCAATTCTAGTGGCACGGATACAAACGGAGTCAAACATGGACAATCGGACAAACCTGACATAACTCTACTCAATTCTCTTTGTACAACAATACAGCAAAGAACAGAGTTTCATGAAACCGACATCGCAACTGCACGCACACACAGCAAACAACAAGTCAACATAAACTAAGCTGCAATGTCGATCCTGGATGAAATCCGCCGTGCACATTCATACAGGGTCGCCTCTGGGGGCACCCCGATGAAACTTCGACAGCTGCTTGTAAAACAATCCATAGTGACAGATTTCCTTCAACAACAACAGCTAGGTCCTCCGTTAGTAGGGATTAGAATAAGGGTACCCTATTTTTTTGGGTAGATTTCAGTAGGGGAACCCTCCCCCAAGAAAAGGGTAAACGGGCACTATTGGGGGACCTATAGACATGGAAAATGCAAAATATTCTTAAGCAGGTAGACAAAAATCCTGGCTCTATGCCAAAATCAGTCCAGGCATTGTAGCCCGATAGTGATCCTTGCTGAATATGAGTTACTCCCATGCAAACTAACATGGCTTGCCCAAAGAAAACGGGTCCACTTCTCCAACAGTAGATTCCTCAAAAATTGGTTGGGTTCGTTCCGTTGTTGGTTCCTTCCGTTGTCGGGTTCCTTCCGTTGTCGGGAAGTAATAACATAGAGGGCCCCTCCAGTTGCCGGGGAACCTTGGGCAAATCAGTTGAAGCGCTAAACAAAACCTTCCAAAGGTCCCTGGAAAAACTCAAGATTGTGAGAAGCTTCCTGAGTGAATTGGCAAAACACATGTCCAAACTGTACATTTGCCCCTACTATGATCTTTCCAAAAAAGACACAAGTTCAGAAACTTGGGGAGTTAGAAGCAAACAAAACATTGGCTATTTAGCACGGCCAAGAAGGCGCTTTCATCAGGGGATTTCCCCTTCAAACATTGAACAAACAGCCGGCGGTGTCCATTGAAACAGTCGCCACGTTGTGGAACCGCTCTGATCGAGTAGACTGACCAAGGAAGCGTCAATCTTTTCTGGTAGCCACTGGCAACCAAAGAGAAAAAGTGGATCTTCAGACAACCATGCACTCGAGCGAGTACCTACATTTATCTGGGGATTTTTGTTCGTCCTCCAAGGCGTAGGCCTGCTTTTCAGTTTCATCAAACCGGTCGGGGGATTTCACCTTGAAAACACCGCTGTGAGGTTTGGGTTTGAGTCGGCACAACACATAACTACCACACAACTGTGGCTCAAATAAATAGACCACAATGGCACCTTGGTAGATGGAACAAAGACTAAAACCTGCGGTTCGCCCTGGCTGTTTCAATTTGAGCTGCAGCCAAATGGCTCCCTGCCAAACCTTGGTTGACGTTGGAAGGGGAGCAAAAATCTAAATTTTGGCAGTTCAGTGGTTGGAGTTCAACCACTAAACCACACTAAGCAACAATGTAAAATGTTTCCCAACAACAACCATGGTCACCCCCCGAAAAACGGGAGGGGAGGATTGGACAACTTCCCCCCGCGGATCCGGATCTGGTTGCGTGCCTTGGGCTCTTCGAGCTTCACCAAGGCTTTCGCCTCGCGTTGAACGTCGCTGGGAAAAAATTGGCGCTGCTCAAGCCCAACGCATGGGTTTCGCTTCACGGGGAAAAAATCTTCCCGGTGGGTTTCTCTTTGGAAGTCCATTTTGGCTGCCATTTTGGCGTTCAACTTTGGGTTTCCAGTCGGTTCTCTTTGGGTTTCCAGTCGGCTCTCTTTGGTTCCAGTTGGTTTCCCATTGGATTCTCATTGGTTTCCCATTCGGTTTTTCACTTTAAAACACCCATAATACACCCATAGAGGCTTCCCCCACACAAGGTGAGTAGTTTCCCTTCCTCTAACCACCCCATTTCTGCGAAACCACTGTGGGAGTCCCACCCCTTTGCAATCTTAAGTGGGGACTTGTTTGGTACAGAACATGCCCCTGAAGACTCTCTGGGGCCCTTTTTCTTGATGGGAGTTGTCCTGGGGGTCGGTTCTCGGCTCTTGGTGGAAAACCTGACCTCCATTTGCTTCACCCCCGTGGAAAAAGCAGAACATATGTCCAGTAGTGATAGATTCCCTTTAAAAACAAGGGAAAATACAAAATACTCATTTCAGCAAAGCTCAAGGCACCGTTTATGAGTGGTGTGCTAGGTCTGCGCCCCTGAGCGTGAAATCAAAAACCCATAAAGCTGCAGAGCAAACAGTAAAACTGGCAACGGCCCGCCTCTCTCCTTCACCCCACCTTGAAAGAGCGTGTGTTGTTGCTTTGCACATTTTGCAGATATGCCCAAACTGTCATGCGCTTCTTTTCAATTAAGTCCAGCAGCAACTCATGAACGTCATTGCTAAGCAATCCAGTTTTGATTCCGGCAAGCTGTTGCCATGCCGCAGCAACAGTATCCAACTCTGGCACTTGTTGAACATATATTGGTTGGACATGTTGCAGGCATCAGTTGATGTGCAGCGACCTTCCCCCTGGTGCACATTACCCAGTACCACGTTTAGCACATAGCTGCACTCACATCCATTGCATGTAGAATCATCCCAGGGAATTGCACTATGACCCTCAAAAAACGAGAAAAACAAAAGAAACAAAAAAACATATGGTGTGATTTCCCCTTTTTGAGGCTACAAATGCACATATCTAAACGGACGGAGCCATTTACAGGCGCCCGTCTGGACTTCTACATGGTTTTGCCAGTGCGTTTTCGCTGCACTCACAGTCGGCCAGGAACCGCTGGAGGCTGGAGACGTTTTTCAGCGGTATCCGAATTCGTTGAACAACTTGGATCCAGGAAACCCGGTTGATAGCCGTTGGGGCTGCCAGTTTAAGTTGTGCGGAGTTTGTGGATCACACACCTCCCTTCTTGTTCTTGAAAAGATGGGGATGGCCCCCGCTGACGCTTCCTGTTAAGACTTGTTGATAGGGGGGGCAAGCAATGAAAAACGTGTAGGGGGGGCAAGCAATGAAAAACGTGACGACAATAGAACCTCAATAGAGAAACAGTCATCAGTTATAGCTTCCCTAATACCCCTGACAGCCGTTGACCCCGTGTTGCACGTGCAAGCAGAAGCAGAACCCCCGGACTATCTGCATCTAAGTGTTCAAAGATCAAAACAGGCATTGCTCATATCCGATCTGAAACCACATGACTTAACTCAAGGTCATGGGAGGCCGCAATGCAAATATTGGGGACCCATGCGATGCGATTTAGCGTAGGGTCCGGGAAAACCCGCGGACCCCAACACCCCCACCCCGACCTTCAAGTCCCTGATCTCTTTTTGCAAGATCGCCACCTGTGCCAGGCCGAGCTCTGGTTTATACATGCTTTAATGTTGAACCCGGACTAATAAACCCCTGTTTATTAATATGGGGGTGTCCCTGGTTTTAGTGAGATTTCTCACTTTTGGAGGGGAACACCCCCATATAAATATATCGGGGTGTATCAATCCGGGGACAACATTATGTGCTACAGTTTCAACTAACTTCTATTTAGGTGTGTCTGAAGGGGACCCCCCCGAAATGGTGGTGTTCCTCTCGAGCACCGTGCAAAGCTGACGGATTTGTATACACCGACCTGAAAGAACTTGCTGGTGCGATAGGTAGGGAATGGCCGAGCCCGGTGCTGGGAATGAACTGGAAGGGGATTCCCTGAAAGGAAACCACAAGGGATGGTCTTTAGGGTTATTCCAACTCATTCCCTGCTGAGAACCTGTTGAGAACAGCAAGATAAGGCTTCCTGCAAAAGAGGCCTGTAGGTCGTGTAAACCTGGCGCGGTCGCTATAAATTGCCCAGAACACTCTTCAACCATGTGGGACTAAGCTGCTCATCCTGTCTGCTTGAAAGGTTGTCCGGGCAAATCCCAGGGTAGGTCGCAGGGTGGGTGGTGTCGCGTTAAACTTGCCCTTGAAAAGATGCATCCACTTGCCACGCACAAAAACTAAAAGAATTGGGAACGTGTAGACCCCAGGGCAGTCGGGTCGAGTCAGGGTAGAATCTGGGCAATCTTTCGCAAACTGTGGGAAAGGTCTTAGCAACAGCCCAGATTTGGCAAATGCAAACGACGTTTAGATGACTAAACCAGCAGCATTGAGATGACACTTTTGGGCGGCCTTCTGATGTCTATATTTGCATCAGATTCCTGTCCGCACATGTAACAGCGGGCGTCCCGGATGAATACATCCCTGGTTGATATTTAGAGTTTTTGTCTGTCTAGAATAATGACCCCAGAATTCGGGGAAGCCGGGCATCTTTTGCGTGGGATATTATGTCCACCAACAACCTTCAAAGTGGCTATATACCGATACCCATCAAAAATATTGGCCTGGCAGCTCTCAGCATGTCCTTTTAACCTAGACCCCCCTGGATTCTCTAATCGCTACACTGCTTGGTTGACGTTGGAAGGGGAGCAACAAATCAATATAAAATGTTTCCCAACAACAACCACGCACTGTGACACTGGTCACAACGCTACTTTCTGGTTGCTTCCTGAATTATGGTAAAGGCTAGCAGGCAAGTGCAACTATGTCTCCTGCCTTCCTCTGTGTGTGCCCTCAGGGCTCACGCATTTTCAATACAGCGCTGGACAAATCCAGCAACTACCCATCCCCTTTTGGTTTGCTTGCTTCAAGTTTCTTCGGAAGCCTCCAAACACGACAGTCTCAGACATTTGTGAGTACTCTCTTGCTGCACCCTCCAACTACTGCCCATGGGGCAGTAGATCGAATTGTCACAAACAAAAAACGTAAAAACTACTGTTAATTATTTTACTTGCGGGATGCCCATAGTCTAACTATTGCTAGGAGTGGCACAGCGTGTCACCTGCGTGTCATCCCGTGCCCCGTGTCGAACCCGTGTCACCTGCGTGTCCCTGCGTGTCGCCCCCGAGTCGCCCCCGAGTCGCCCCCGTGTCGCCCCCGTGTCGCCCCCGTCTCAGTATGCTAGAACAACAGTGGATCGCTGCGAACAATAGTAGTTTTAGTGTGTCACCCCGTGTCGCCTGCGTGTCACCCGTGTCGCCTACGTGTCACCCCGTGTCGATTGCTTGTCACTGCGTGTCGCCTGCTTGTCACTGCGTGTAACTTGCGTGTCACCCCGTGGGCTTGGGAAGGGGTAGGGATTTAAGATTGTTTTTTTACTGCTTGGGAGCAGTAGTCGGAGGGTGCTGGCAGCAACCCCCGGCCTCGTTGCTGTGCTGCCGCTCCAATTTCTGCAGCAACTCTTTGAAACTTTCGTCGGCCATGGCTTGCGGGGCCCCGCCGCGCGCCGCGGACGGCGCGGGTCGCGGTGCAAGCGCCGGCGCCGGTGGCGAAAAAAACTCGTGGAGCTCCATGGGTGTCGTGAAATCCCGGGAAATCGTGAAATCCCCCGAAATCCCCCGAAGTCGAGACGACGCCGAGTTTTTCTTCTTGGCGAGCCCGTCGCTTGAACCAAGTCCAAGAAAGAGAAGCGCGAGCGGGCGGAGAGGTCTCACAAGGCGGCGAATGTGGATCAAGGTGCGGAACTCCTGATATACTTCCCCTATGAACATTACCTACCAAGTGGAACACACCATACATCTGGCGCAACCCAGATTTAAGAAGTCTAAAGTGGTTAAATGGTTGAGACATGTGTCTGTTGTCGTTCTTTTTTGTTTTGGAAGAAGCTTGACTTTTCCTGGAAGCAAGCTAAGTCCGGCAACGTAAATCTCCGGCTGAAATGGGTGTACCTTGGAGGTGGCATGAGGTGGCTACTGCTGACCCGGTATCCAAGCGGGAGTTTCTCAAGATGGTGGAGCCCCGTGTAGTTACTTGGGAAAACAAAAGGAAACCAACTATTTTCGGGATGTTGAGAAACACTGGGTAGGACCTGAACCCTCAAACTATCCATAACACAGGATATCGCCGCAAACATGTGCGATGGTTTCCTGTTTTTTACGGGATGTTTGTGGGTCCAGGTATCTGGATATCCTCTGAACAGGAAAACTTGGTCCTGCTTCCCTGACCGGCTTTCGAAGCCTTTCTTGCTGGTGTGGAAGATCAGCCACTGGATTTTCCCTGAGGTTGCCGTTTATCGGTGGTTTGCCGTGGAAAGGATCTTCGCTTTGGGCAAGTGAGTGTTGGCACCTCCTTTCAAAGCATACCGGGAATCCCATGAGACAGCAAGAACAAATAAAACTCGTGGTGTTAGACTTGCAGGATTACTTCGAGTGGTGGTTTCGGTTGTCCCGGGTGTGTCTTCCTATGAATCGAAATTGGGAGTGCTTGAACATATATATATTATATATATATATAGAGAGAGAGAGATCATGAAGATACGCATACGCATGTTCACGAGGGGTGGCGGGGTTCGAATACGTTTGAGTTCCAATGGGGGACGAGGTGACTGCCTTCTTACGCACCAACAAACATCCAACCCTGGCCAATTATAGGCTTCCCACGAAAAAACAATGACGTGTGTCCAGGAGAAAAAGAACTCAGAATCCCCTCGAACCAAAGCCTAAGGGTTCCCCGGTACCCCGTGACGTACCAAACAACCCCAAAGCTGAGTTGGCCCATTTTTGGTCCATCCTCAGATGGAAAACACCTCAAACCCTGAGGAACCGGATACCTGGGAACCGTTAAAAAAAACAAAACTTGGTTGACGTTGGAAGGGTTAAGTGGGGATTTCAACTGTAAAATGTTTCCCAGCAACAGCCGTGAAAAACAACCCCCCCAAAGGCTTGTTGGACCCATTTTTTGGTCCAGACGGAATTTTCTCAACCCCTCCAAACCAACCGGGGGAGCCTTTCCGGCTCCCAAAAAGCAACGCGGCTCAGAGCGCCGGGCGTTTAAACAGCAGCTGCTCCGCGCTGTTCAACTCGTAGCACAGCTCTTCGCAGCGCCTCAATGTTCGCTCGAAGGCGGAGCTGGTCAGCGACCCATAGGCCTCTTTGTGCATGGAAGTCGGGGGTGGGTCCTCCAGTAGAGAGGCTAGGCTAAGGGTACCCTTTCTTCTGTAGTCTATTTTAGAGGGGGAACCCTCACCCCAAAAAAAGGGGTGAGAAAGCTAATGAGGCTCAGTCCGCCGACATTGTCCTCTCCCTTTTCTCCTTCTTCCTCTCTCCCTTGTCTTTCTCGTGTGTTCTGTCGTCCTCTCTCCCTCCCTCTGCTCCCCATCCTCCCCATCCCCCAAAGCCTCTCTCTCTCTTCAATCTCCCTCTCTCTCTCCCTCTCTCTCTCTCTCTCTCTCTCTCTCTCTCTCTCTCTCTCTCTCTCGCTGTCTCTGTTTCTCTGTCTCTTTCTGTCTCCCTGCTCTGTCTTTCTGCGTCTCTCTTTCTCAGAACCCTGAAGGAATCCTTGCGGATGTATCGTCTTGATTGGGTACAATTGGCACTTGATCTACCTGGAGGCTCCTTCCTTCAAACATGGCGCCACGACTTGTGCTTTCTGGGTACTGACCCCAGTTTGGATTTGCGTTTATGGAGATGCCAGGTAGTGACCTCGGCCTGTAAAATAATCAACCCAGACACTCCTGGATCTTTCAATGGAAGACCCAACCCCGAAGCATCAGACACCCGGGAATCGGCGGTTGGGACCCGGTCTCCAGGTTGCTGGAAGGCCCAAGAAAATCTATCGAATCGAACGCCTCTGCGAACACCAAATACATTTGGCCATGGGTCAAAACCCCGTACCCCGAGTGAACATCCCAATCCCCGCTAAAATAGGCAAAAATGGGCGGTGAATTCAAAATGGGATCCCAAAACGGTTTTGACCACCACTGCCATTTCTGTTTGATATGACCCCCATGGCTTCGATCTTCCTTTGGTTTCCCACCTTCAAACAGGAGGCATGCGGTTAGATTGGGGTGAGTTACACCCACCCGCATCATGGACTCATGTCTAGCAAAGGCTACCGCTACAACTTACGTTTAACCTCTGGCTTGAATGGAAACCCAACCAAACCGGCGAAAAGTACCACTAACCCAAAATGTGGGTCTAAAACTTGAAACCACCCGAAAAAAATCGGCAGGTCTGAGTCCTCGCTTCCATTTAGGTGTCCGCTTCCCGGACGAGTCCATGAGGATTCCCGGATCCGTTTCCCCGCTGAAAAATATTGTTTCCGCCGAGTCGCTCCAAAGCCTCGGCGTTCTCTTCGGAGGCCAAGAGGCAGGCCTGCGGATGCGAGATCGAGGTCTGCACCGAGATTGTGGGGGGGGAAAAGGGGAAGGAAGCTCTGGCAGTTGTTTTTTTGGTTTTTTCCCGCGGCACAAACATGGGCCTTTCCAAAATGGAAAGGGTGAGTTCCATTGAAGGGTAGGTTGAAAAAAGGGAAACTCCGCAGCACATGGGCCGTTCTGGTCGTTTTCCTTTCAGATACCTGGACCCTCAAACTAGCCAGACCAATTGGGTATTAGAACCCAAAAGTATGGTTGGGGATTTCCTTTTTGTGGGTAGTCGGAGGGTCCAGGTACCCTTGTTGTCCTTGGTGTAAAGGGACACCAAGTGGACAACCACCATTTTGGGGGTCCCCTAAAACCGACACACCCTGCCAGCAACTGGGTCCCAACCACTGCTTTTTGGGGGATTTTGGGCATGGGACAAGGTACTGGTTGCGGGGTGCTGGCGCAAATTATAGATGGCCCTGGTAGATTATGAAACAACCAGGTGCGCGCATCTGCCCAGAACCCAACACACATCAGCTTGATCTAAAGCCAAGTCGGTGAATCAACCAAGATGCCGGCAAAATTCAGAAAGACACACTTTACCGGATAGTGCCCTGCTTTGACACGCTCCAAGCCCACATGTTGAGACACCATCTTTGAGGTGTATTGTTGAGTCGTAACGAACACCGACTTTCTAGGCAACTTGCTCGAATGCACACCAGAAACAAGGTGTGGACAATTGTGAACGGAACCTTCATGAATAACGTCGCAAACCAGAAGTCGCCATGATTTGCCCAGAAGCTTTGCTCAATTCGAGACATACACCCTACTGGGTTGCTTAATACAAAGGTTCCAACCGGCTGGGTGTCGTAAAGTCTTGCGTTGATCACCGCCACCCTAGGCTTCCGGAGCGATCCATCGACACGGGCCTCAAGGGACTGCTCACGCAAAGCCTGACACCGGAAGCGCAAACGAGCACAGGAAGCCGGGGTGTTCCTGTTTTGGTCGTCGTGACACAACTAGGGTTACCCAAAAGCAAGGAATTGGTCGTGGAACCGGGGTCACGGGATTTCCCCAAATCCAACGTTGATCAATTTACGGGTGGCTTGTATTGAAACGATCGACACTCTTGCAGGCTCCGAAAAGGGAAATGGAGGAAACTCTGAAAGGGGTCATGGACATCCCCCAGTCGTTGTTCCGGATCAGAAGGACCGAAGACTTGTCTTTTCTCCAGGTGGGGGGGTTTCTTACCAATGTTCAAGGCTGTGCCTACGAAAACCATTCTGGGACCCCTTAAAAAACACAAGAATATATATTTTGTTTGTGGGGGTTGAACCCTTTTTGGACTCTTGCTTGCTGTTGACCCCTCTGCAAAAAGTTTAACCTTATGTGGGTCCAATGGAAGATCCACTGTTTGACAAAAAGTTAAAGTCCAAAGATCCAACCAAATAGCCATAAAGGAATCATCAGGCAGGTGAAGATTCCAATCGTCTGTACAGCAAAACTTACCGCCCATCCATGAGCATAGTGATCCCAACATGGAACTGTTGACCAAGTCGAATCAAAAGGGCTATGGCATCTGCTCTATAGCTCCACATGCTGGTGCAAGAAGCAGCCGCCAGCCGCGGACCAGAAACACAAACAGACGCGCATCATTCAGCACCACCAGCACCAGCACCAGCAGCAGCACTAGAAAATCAGCATGATTTCCTTGCACTGTGTTGTATTGAAAGCTCTTGCTGCTGAAAATTAATGCTGTTGCGTCACCAGAATCGGGCGCCACGTCTGCATCTACGTGGCTCAAAGACTAGCACCCTCCAAAGAATCAACAGTGGTAATTACAACGCGCCTGGCTGCGAACCCGAAAACCCAAAAACACCGACACCCGCCATGGCTGCAAACCACTCGCCTCCACCGTTTCCTCGATCGTCCTCGTGTCCGAAGTTGCTTCTCGTTCAAGAGGAATCTGTCGAGGGCAACGCGCCGTCCGCGAGTGCTGCCAACCTAGGTCCTCCAGTAGAGAGGTTAGAATAAAGGTGCCCTGCTTTTCTGTAGTCTATTGTAGAAGGGGAACTAGGCTGGATGAAAATAACTTAACGAGTGGACCCTCCAACTACCCATAAAACTTGGTGTTTGCCCCCCAAAAACCCTCCCCCGTAAAACTGGGTTATTGCCCCCAAAGAAGGTTTAGGAAGAGGGCACCGCCCTGTCAATAGGACGGGGGCATTGATCTGATGGACGTCTTCTCAAAACAGAATCACTTCGACTCGAGGCTTCTTGACTCCAATCATAATCCTGGGTGCCAGACTTGCCATGCTAGGTGCAAGAATGGCGAACGCAGCAAAGAGTCTGCCTCCCTTGTTACTCACCAGATGCCTGTCCTATGACTTAGTGGCCCACACTGCACATGTCCAGACCTCCCAGAAAAAGTAGCGGCTCCCCGTACGATGCGCACAAGCTGCACTGAAATGCACGATTGCATGGGCTAAAGTTGAGCAACCTTTTTCGGGGTATCCGGGCGGCCAAAAACGAACCAGGAGCAACCAGAGGCCATGGGCAAAAACGGGGCACTCTTTTGTTTGGCCGTTGATTCACACCTCCTGAGCGGATTGGCCAACAACAAGTCCAAACTTCTTTTTTGCCACTAAAATGGTCTTCCCAGAATGGACAAAGTCCAGGAACTCGGGACGAGCTGAGGATTTGAAAGGGACCCCTCTCCAAAACAAAAAGGAACCAGGGGACCACTGTTCGCGTATTGTTCTTGGCATCGCTGGGATGTGCTTTTCTGCCCGTCCAGCGACAAGCATCAACTCATGCAACCACCCAGCCAAACACCGCGAAACACAGCAGCCTCGCCAAATGCATTTGACGTGCCAGGAGAAGTATCGCTTTTGGGAGGCCTAAGTATCGTCATTTGAAGGGGGGCGACCCCCATCAAGGCTTGAGAAGACAACGGAAACACACATTGCGGCTCATACACTAGCTCCTCCAGTAGAGAGATTACAATAAGGGTGCCAACTTTATTCTGTAGTCCATTTTAGTAGGGGAACCCTCCCCCAAAAAAGGGTAAAAAGGCACTACTGGGGGACCTAGTACAGTATGACAGTGGTACAGAACGAGAACATGGCGTGCAGGAAAGACCAGCGATAGACCATGGGCCAATGAAAGAAGAGATCCGCACACGTCGCAGGCACTTTGATTATATCAACATGGATCCAGTCCGCAGGAAAGCCAACACACAGGATGAACGTACTAAGTGAACAAGCCTCTGAATTGATCTATGGCCAGCGTTAAAAAAACACAATCACATCTGAGGAAAGCACTATAATTCACAAATCTGGGCTGCCCGTTTTTCAGATCCCCCGCTGACAGTTTAACTTTTAGTGGGTAAAATGGAAACCACCACTAAACACTAAAAGGCTAAACAGCTAAGGGGATAGCTGGGAGCCACCAAGAAACCTTGTTGTTACATGCTCTTACTCCTGGCCGCAGGCATGGTGGCTGCCTGTCACGCTTAGACATACTCACAAACCGGACGAATTTAATTAAGGAATTTCCTAGGAACGGAGGTCTTACTTCCTGAGTGGATGGGCCCAACAAAGTCATATCCCTAGGCGTCCTTTTGGAAAAATAGATGGGTTTCTCTGGTAAATGGAATCAAACCCATCTAAACCAGTGCCTTCTATGTTTGAGCAAACAAACCTCAAAAGGACACCTATGGTCCTATCTTTATTTGTTTACCACCAACATGGTACAACTCAGGAAGTGACTCCTAGTAGCGCTGAGCGAGCGCATTCTACCCCAAGAGCTCGCGACAAGGTGAGCCCAAGCGCCTCTGCCCGGAGCGGGACTCGGGAAGCACTTCTCGGTTCCTGGCACCAAAACCCCAAAGACCTACCCGTACAAAAGGGGGAAAACTCACCCCAACATGTTGGCGCAATAACCCCAGAAAACCAATTATTATTTTATGGGAAGTTTTTTCGGGTTCAGGAAAGCGTGATCAAGTCCTACTGTGGGTGGACGGAATCCGCTTCGCAGCAACGAGGTTTATCCCAGCCATAGGGTTGCATATGCATCCGAACTGCGAAATGGATTTTGCCCACCAGCAGTGTGTGCTTTCAATTATTTGTTTGGCCCTAAGATCTAAACGGAAAGTGCCCGGCTTGACCATAACCAAACGAATCCTGAAGACCAAACGTGCACATGCAACGCTGGCAGCTTGAAGACCCTCTTGAAAAAGGGAAACCCCAAAACTTTGGGGCAATACCCCATGTCTATGGGTAGTTTGAGTCAGGCAGATTTCCCCTGTGACCCTGCCGGTTCTGTTTCTGCAGCAAACGCCTGAGCACTTGGAGCTTCGAGTTTCTTGTTCCGAACTTGAGGGCGCCCCGCACCAGGCCACAAGCTTGTCTTTTGCCGAGCTGGGTTGGGTTGGACAAACTGCGCGGAGCGTATTGCTTCTGTTGTTGAGATCTGAAATCCGGGAAATTCGGCCACATTGCAAGGCCTGTGGTCAAGGTTGAGCAAGGATCCTGAAGCTGTAGCGGGCTCAGGGCCAAGGCAACATAAATGAGCCTGGTGAACCATGGATCCCAGTGAATTCCCACTTCAAGCGGCCATTTTCCTTTTGTTTCTCAAGCGTGGTTCCCTTAATTACCAATTTTGCAGGGAAATGGAACTGGTGGTGTGTGTTAGCCATGATTCTGCTCTTCCCTGGGTTTCCCTACCCCGTCAAACTCATGCCAAGTAAAATTGGACAAACAAACAAGCGGGGATACGAAGGGAGCGGGGATTCCCCTGGCGCCATTTCCCATAAACTTCGTCAAGGTGCATCAAACGGGGGAATCCTCACGTATCCAACTGGTTCCCCCTGTATCCCTGCTAATTGAAGGTTTCCCTGATAAAACACCAAAAGAAACCTGCGCCTCGCGGTTGGCAGGGCCCACAAAAGCAACTTGGCCTCAGCCGGTGTCAACGGTCACGCTTTGCTTTGCGCATGAAGGCCGTAGTGAGTATGCTTGCCTTACGCACATGGGTGTGGGTCAAAAATAGGGTAACCCCAAAATGGCTTGCCCTGGCAAACCGAAACATGGACTAAGGCCCGCGCTCCAATTCCTGGTGGTTTAATTTTGACCCATATCCATATTGCTCCTCTTCCTCCATTCATCTTGGGTGTGTAGAACATGGGAACCTGGACCAATTGAAGAATGAGCCCTCCCCTGACAAACCGCTTCCTCGGCAAGCAGGTGGCTGAAACAAAGTTTGCCCCACCCTGGCCAAGGTGCCACTTTGAGCTGTTTCACCCTGCAGCTTAGGCACTGAACGCGCAGGCCAGCATCAAAAGCAGCGACCTGGCCGCGCGAGCCAGCCGATTCCATCGAGCCCTATGGACCGCATGGCGGCTGAGTGAAGCAAGTGATCCAGACGTCAAAATTTGAAACCCAACCAAGGGGCTTGCCTCCGAAAAAGGCACACCCAAGCAAACAATGCTGCACATTGCTGGCGTGCCGGACCCAAAAACGGTTCGGTGCAAAATCACCATGCTGCTTGTGTCAGCCACGCTCAAAATGCGGTGGTCGTGTCCATGCTTGTTACTTTCAAGATTGTCAAGTCACGTGTTTTTGGTATGGAGTATGGAGCAGCCGACATTTCTGGAAATGTCTGAAAAAGGCTCGCCGGCCTTGGGTAGTCTTTTCGCCAAGCCCCCGAACCGCAGACCAAAGGAGTATACACCTAAATCATGCAAGGCAAGGCCAAAAGTCCCATGAGTTCTCATGTTCATTTGGTATGACCTCCTCACCTTCACTTACGTGTCTGGGCACTTTCTCAAGTTGAAGGATCCAAGCGGACAGGTTAAAAGGTATGTGTCAGTACAACAGGACAAATAATCTTCTCACTTCCGATCGAGTGGACTGGCCGGAAAGCAAAAACAAAATGTTGTTTGCCACCAAGATGGTCTTCCAAAAAGTACTAATGTCCATGAACTCAAGGAGATAGTTTTGAATACCCTTCAAACCAAGCTTACAACTGGCATCCTTAAAAAAGACAGCCAAGGAGCCGGGGCAAGCGCGCCATGGCCGTTTTTTGGCACCTAGGCGTCCCAGGCGTGCAATGGCAAGACATAATGCGAACCCTGGATTAATAAACTGTGATGAATGTTGACCCCGGATTTTTAAAGCAGCCCAATTAACAGGGGAGTGTCGCCCATACGAATGATTAATCCCCATTACAAATGGACACCGCGGGTTGCACCCACTGCAATAGTCACCCCCGATCCTTAAGAAACGACCACCTGGACCAAGCTACCCTTGCACCCGCTATGAGAGGCAAATTCTTTGTCGCCATGATCAAACTGGCCCTTGATATGTCTCCACTATCAAAGTCACCCCAGTTCAATAGCAAAGGGCAACCTCCAACCAGCTTCTGAATTTGACCGCCAGAAACAGTCGAATCTGGGCTGGTTTTTCGACCCCCTGTCTAGAAGTGTAGCTCGTGGGTTAAAGGGATACCCGACAACTAAACCGACTAAAAAGGACCAGATGTCAGACGTGATGGGCCACAAGCTTCGCGAAATCTCCCAAGGGCCCGGGTGGGACGCTTGGCGGCGCTTCAGGGCGAAGAAGACTTCATGTGCACGAGGCATGCCATACCAGTGGAATCCGACATAAATGTGTAACATACACATAATATCAATATATATATATATGTGTGTATGTGTATATATCTATCTATATATATATTTGCGGCCACTATGTGACATAGATCAATTGTTATACATGAATCCTCTTGTGTACATATTATAGGTAATGTTCTTTGCTCAGCCAAACTCCAAGAGGACAGCGGGGTCCCGGCTTCCCGAAGGCTGCGGCGGCCCAAGAGGCTCGAGCCGCGGATGGAGTTGGCGCGTCGATTTTGCACTCGGCCCGCCGGCGTGTCCAAAAGACCCCGGTGCGGAACGACAAGTGATCAGCGTCCCTGGTTTCTTGGTTTGGAGCATTTGGAGCGTTTGTGGTTCGGTGGTTAAGAAGGGGTGAACCCCATTTACCCTCTACATTCGAATTTCTGGGGGCAAATCCAAATTCAAGCCACCAATGCAGACCACCAATCACGGGTAACCTGAATTGAAATTCATCTCCCTTGGAGGGCTGCAATTGGGGCCGGTTCAGGACTCGGACAAACCTCGGGGCTTTCAAGCAAGAAAGCGTCTGACCAGACTTCCCCTGCCATGGCCCCATCGCGATTTCCGGTAAAGGCCACCGCTAAAGACGTCCAAGCCAAAACAGGGTTGACTACTTTGGTGTTCGATTCGTCAAGTTAGCAAGCTGCAACTGTGACCGTTCGGTTATAACCCGCTTCTACATCCCCCCGTGAATGTGGGGTTAACAACTAGTTGGGGGGTAAAAAGCCAACCAACTGGCTAACCACCTAGAGTCTCTATGACTCTATGACCCTTAAAAGATGGGTCCATCACCCCTCAATTTTGGGTAATGACCCCATTGTTGAAGGGTCATGGAGACTCCAGGCACAGACAAAAACTTGGCGAAGCGAACATCCAAGCAGGTCTCATGTCCCCCTTACTCCGCCCGTTGCCAAGTGAGTCGAAAAACCTGCGGCCAGACCCAGGGGGTCCCGACTGTTTTTGGGCCCTCCCAATGGGTTGTTTTTGGGAGCCCGTGAGGGGTCGAAATTTCCCCATTGGAGGGTCCGGGAATCACATTGTAGTGAAAGCTGCTGTTTTGCTATGTCCGCGAGCTTGTCCTGCGGGACTGTAAACCAACCAACCAACCTTAGGGAGACACCCAAAGGAACCAAACCGGAGAAAAACATCGACGCGCCCCGCTTAGGGGAACGTACAAGCGGGTTGTAGCCTAGGTTTCGAACAACTTGCTAGCTTGGCCGATGCCACGGAAAACCATGGAAGCAACCTTCGAGCAAGTTTTGGCAGGGGTGAGTGGATGTCGCCCAAAAAAAAGTTGATCAATTTTCGGATGGTGTCCGTTGAAAGGATCGCCTTTTGGAGGTGCCAAAAAAAGAAATGGAGGACACCCTGCAGCCCTGTCGCCCGGGGCTTCCCAGGACTGAGAAAGTCCAAGTGCAGAATACTCCTGAATGCTAAACAAAAACTACTATCTACACTCCCTGAGTGCTGCGTGGATGCCCCCCCCAACAAAAACAAAAACAAAAACACACAAATGCCTGAAGTAGAATATCGTCTGAAAAAAAGGAAAACATGTTTTTTTTGGGGGGGAAGCCACAAAAAAGGCTGCTTGTTTTTGTTTTTTCTCCCTCTTTTTTCTTCCCCCCAGGCAAAACACGAGTGAGAGATGCCCCGCGCCTTCAGGGCAGGGCTCACCAAGCGTCGGGGCGCGGCGCCTCGGACCAGGTGATCGATCCCACCGTTTGGGGCCTTGATGCTTGGTTGCTGCAATTATGGTTGGTGATGCCAGTGAAATTTCACGAGCAGTTTGAGAATCGGTCAAAACGCTACCCTCAAAAAACGACCAGCACAAACCAAGATCCCGCAAAACTTGGTTGCTGCAAGGACCCTGCCAAACAAGGATGGCACCCAAGCAAACAGATGCTTGCTGGTGGGTACCCAAGCAAACAGATGCTACAAGCTGCCACCTTGATGCTTGATGCTTGGTTGCTTCAAAATGTGTGAATGACCTTTTGGGGGTTTAGACGGGTTTAGCGGAAAACACAACTTGATTTCCCAAAAAGTTCATGTCTAAAGATCCCTCCCAATGGAGGTCAAGAATGGTCCGAAAAGCGGGGAATGAGGTCGAAGTATCATAACTTTCCGAAGGTAGACCAAATCTTGCTGGTCAGGGAATGAGACATGGAATGACCGCGAAATATAAACCATCCAACGGGTGGTTTCCCTTAAGAGGTCACCAGCAAGTTTGGTCTTCCCTTCGGCTACTCTTTTTTTCTACGGCCCATTTTTGGTGTAACCTCCAAAATTCACACGCACACACACATGAGTCACAGGGGGTACCTGACCCTCCAACTACCCTTTGTTTCAAGTCATTAGAGACGGGGTTTTGCCATAAAAGACCGTTTGTGCTTTGTGCCAACCTGCAAACGAAGAAAACAACAACTCCTATATGTTGGTTCTTGGCATTGTCTCAGCGCCCTCCTAAACATCAGTTTGATTTGTGGTCCCCGAAGCCCTCTGCTCGCTTCGAAAGGAAACGGCCCGTTTGGATGCTGCGCGACTCAGTGGTCGGCTTCAACCCTGGTTCTGCAACTCCCCAATGTGTTTCTCTGACACACACACACATAGAGATGAAAGGCTAATAAGGCGGCTTGCGTTTCCTTTGTCTTGTTTTGGCATTCAAGCTGGGCGAAGGTCAAACTATGTTCGATGGTTTCTTTCAGCATCAAAGGCATTGAGGCGCTGAGCTGAAGCAGGTTTTACAGTGGGTGATAGCAAGCTTTGCGCCGCTACTTGACTTTGGCACTTGTATCTTTTAAGCACGCCCGGCACAGTAAGCAGCAACGCCCCAAAGAATACCGCTTCCCTCGAATTGGTGGTTTGCATTGGTGGTGGTTAGGGAGTGGCTTCCCATGTACCCTCTACAAGAACCGGGGGTTCAAATCCAAATCCAATCCACCAATCCAAACTACCAAATAAGGGTGACCTGAAACATGGTGCTAATTCCACAACATGCTTTAAAAAAAAGAAACACCGTGAGCGGAACTCCAGAGTTGGCAAAAAACAGCCCAAGGGAAAAACATCAAAATGGAAATGCCGCCCCAACAAGTGTCAACACGCCCCAAACATTAATGCAAGCAGCACCAAAAGGAAACGTGTTCCTTCTGGTTTCCCTTTAAAACCACAAACAAGGGGTACCAACTAGCTCCGGTGCTTTTTGTTGTTGAAATCACGCCTGGGGGGGGTTCGGAGTTTGTTTTTGTGAAATCACTCCTCGCAGTGCCGGTGCTTGTTTTGTTGCATTCATGCCTGTGGGCCGGGGCGTTTTTTCTTTTGAATTCACGCCTTGGGGCTCAGCTTTTTTTGAATTCACGCCTCTGGGCTGCTGTTTTTTTTCTTTTGAAGTCACGCTTGGGGGCTCCGGTGTTTGGATTTTTGAAATCACGCCCAGGCGTGATGCAACAAAGAAGACACTAGGACCCCCAGGCGTGATTTCAAATGAAAAAACAGCAGCCCAGAGGCGTGAATTCAAAAAAAGCTGAGCCCCAAGGCGTGAATTCAAAAGAAAAACACCCCGACCCACAGGCATGAATGCAACAAAACAAGCACCGGCACCCCGAGGAGTGATTTCACAAAAACAAACCCCGAAACCCCCAGGCGTTTCTTCTTTGCAACCACCAGTCGCTCACTCACTTACTTGCTCGCTTCGTCTGTGAGAAAAACCCAAAATGAGAATCCAAAAGGAATTTCAAAATAAACACGGCTGCAAAGACAAACCCCCAATCAGATCCCCCAACAGATGGCACCCAAACAGGTACCTGAACCCTAAGACTACTCGACTAAACATGGGTTATTGCAAAATTATGGTTGGTGCTGCCCCTTTTTCACGGGCAGTTTGAGAATCGGTCCGGCTACCCTCAAAAACGACAAGCGCAAACCAAGATCCCGCAAAACTTGGTTGATGTTGACCCCCCTGCAAAAAGTGAATAACTGTTTGGGGCTTTAGTGGGAAAACCCCTGGATTTCCCAAAAAGTTAAGGTCTAAAGATCCAACCCAATAGCAGTCAAAGAAAAAAAAAGAGCACCCAAACAGGTACACCGCTTGGCTTTTGTCCTTGAGACCTCTGATCAATCCATTTTCCGGCCTTGAAGTGACCAGATCTGCATCAGGCCGTCTGCACCTTCGGAAGAGGGACTGCCATGTGGGTGTCTTTCTGAAGCTGCAACCGGTTTTTCGAGGATAAAGTAAAGGAACACCAAGGAGGAAAACCAGTCCAACCAAAACATCTCGCCAAGCTAAGCCTGAGGGATTCTCGTTGGTTCTAGGGAATGACCGGCAAAGCCATCCCAAAACTTCCGGGGAGACCGAGAGTGCCTTTCTTGGAGACAACTTTCGCAGGCTCGCCTCAGGTCCCCTCCCAGGGGGGTTTTGTCTTGGTTGACGTTGGAAGGGGAGCAAAACTTGAATCATTTTAGCAGTTAAGTCGATTTGGTTTTCAACCACTAAGCCACAATAAGCAAGAATGTTTTAAACGTTTCCCAACACCTGTGGAAAAATGATCGAAGCCCTTTTAGTGAAGGATTCCTTTTTGAGGTCGCCCATTCTCTCGCAGGTGGCAAAAAGACCCCGTTTGCCGGCAAACCTCCATGGCCAACCTAAAGGGATGCTTGCTGGCTCAGAGGCATTGACCCGAAAAGCCATCCCGACAAAGGGGAACGAAGGAGAGTTCGTTCCCAAAACCCCGGTAAATTCTGGATTCTGTGGGAACCAGCAACCCTAGGTCCCTTGCCCGCGTCAAAAGGAAATGGCAAGGACCCAACTTGGAGGATGACAATCTTCGGGTAAACAATGGTGGTAAGCAGCCGTCAGAACAACACCAGCAGTCTTGTCCACCGATTGTTGAGGCGCTTCTGTGAAAGTTCCTGGAGAAGAAGAGGTCCCCCCTCTTCCATACATTGCGTAGGCGGGGATCCTCCTGTGCTCTGTGAGCGCACTTGGGTGTTCGGCCAAGTTAGTAAGTTGTTGGGGTCCCTAGGTTACAACCCACTTCGAAGTCCCCCGTTCTTTGAGGTAAGCCTTGTTATTAGGGGGTAACTGGCCAACCATTTACTAACTTGGCCGAACATCCAAGCATGATATTATAGACTTCATTGTTTCCAGATCGGATCACTGTGAGAACCATTTTTCGCATGCCCGGGACTCCATACAACAACTAATGGCACATGTTCCATCTGGTTTCGCTTTCAAACCACACGCGGTACCCTCAAAAAGACACATAGACAAGCAGAGCTGGTGAGAGAGGAACAGCACGAATTTGGTTGGTTTGGTAGCAGCAATCAGGCAGCGACAATGTTCTTCCGCCATGCAGGGTTCCATTTTGCGGTACCCCCGGGCTTGCATTTCAAAGGAAGCTCTTGATTGTCCCAGGGGCAAAGCAACGAACGGAAACCCTAGATGGAGCACTGTTGCGCCTTAGGGACCTGGAAATAAAAGGTTTCACCTTGTTGGAACCTTGATCAATCAAACATGGACCAGGGAAACCCCAAAAGGTTAAAAAGTGGATTCCCGTTCGGAGAAATACGTCTACTTCAATCAGCAATCCAAAAAAATATCCAAACCTTCATGACTTTCATGCGTGTGTTTGGCTACCCCACCTCCGCCCCCCTGCGTGACTCGGAGCTCGTGAACAACGAATGCCTCCCGGAATCGTTTCGCGCGCCTAGGATGCCAAGTACCTCCTGCTGAGCTGCCATCCTGACCGGCTGCTTTAGCACAGAATGGCACCCAATGGGTCATTCCCCTCTCTGCCAATTGGTTCAGTTACACCCCTGTAGAGTAATATGGAATTCAGACAAGAGTCATGCTTGGAGAAATCTACTTTGGGGGGATCAAAAATGGAAGTTTGCAAAGGTCTACTTCAAGGACGGATGGCGCTGGTCATCGACTTAATCAAACCAGTCGATGAAACAAGTGGAATCCGTCTATAGTTTCGACACCCAGCCCCAGACCTTTGTGTTTCTTCCCGCTGGGGAAATGGGGCAGAAAACAAGGGATAAATTATCGCCCTCTGCAATTGAACAAATGAACTGACTCTCAGCAATAGTGTCCCGTTGCTCATATAATTACGCAACTGTATCCCACACAGTTTGATAGGAAAGAATTCAATCTACGAAAATGGAACGTCTTGGAATCACCGCGTGATATGTCGCCACCCCCCCTCCCAAACCATGCAACCACAATCAACGGCAAGCGCCAGAAACAAATTGCTGGACAGCTCCTATGCCGGGCTGTTCGACGCCCGTCCGCCATTAGCCACCCATGTCAAAACAAGAAGTTCCAGCCCGCGCAGACCGGGCTGAGGATGCATGTGCTCCTAGAAAGCTACCTGGACTCTCAATCTACCCTTTGAACATACACTTGGGGGGGCAAATCACCCATGTTGATGGGTTCTAGTTTGAGGGTCCAGTTCCAAATTCGAGAGCGACATGTTCGCGCGATATTCTCCTGTTTTCAATCAGGACTGAGCTTTTAGCAGCTGGTGAATGTCTGCTCTCCCAAGCCAAGATGGACTTGTTGCACGCATTGCCTTTGCAGCACTGAAACGCGTGGCTTTCCAATGCGAGAACAAGTCGAGCACAGCACCACAGACAGTCGTCCCATGGTGGTAAAAACACGCTCTAATTTCACAGAGGAATCAGTGGCTTTCTGTGCAACTAGAATTGGCCCATTTGCCTTAAACAACATGAGGCAGTTTGACTCTCGAATTCGACGAAAATTGTTAGAGGCGATTGCTTTCCGCTTTGCCAGACTCGAAACTGGTCGATGCACGTTGAAGCATGAATCAAAAGCCCACGGAGTTGAACGCAACACAAAGAACCGTCGAGTGTTGGAGCTTTTGTTTGTCAGTTGAAGCCCTCCCTATGGAAGATACTCTGGCATATTCACTTCAGGGATGGCTCTGGGCTCTCTCTGGATAAGACCATCAGACCGGATCCCATCTGACAGAACCCTCAAATAGGAAACAGAAAACATATGAGGATTCCAAGTGCCGAAATTTGCGCCATGGGCCAAGGTTGCGAGTTCTCAGGAGGGAACCTGTCTTTGTTTCGTTTCCGGCTCACCTGAGTCATAACCAAACCCTGGTATTAAACACCCAAAACCTTCAAAAGTCGGCTGGACTCGCCGAACCTTCAAAGAACCCAACTGAACATGGGCGGTTGAAACCCCAAAGTTGTGGTTGGTGAAAACGTCCCCTTTGCGGGTGGTTTTTCAGAATCAGTCCAGGTACCCAAAGCCATGTTTCCAGAATCTTGGGACCGTCTTTCACCCTTCACTTCCCCAGTTGATGTCTCATCCGGATCTCGGCACTCGTGTCTGGTTCGAGCGCCTGAGCCCGGCAGTGCCATTGACCTGCAGGATCCAGCGACATCGGCCGCACCCAAGTTCTTGCTGCATGGGCTCAAGAAAAACTACCTGAACCTTCAAACTTCCCATCAAAACATATTTTGCTGCAAACCACATATATGGGGTGGTTTCCCTTTTTCCAAGGGTAGTTTCAGGGTCCAGGTATGCAAACTCGCAGGGGCTTGTTTTGTCGTCCTAGAACAGCAAACATAACTTTACCAAAGGGAGAAATCTATACCTTCCTCCCACTAACATGGCATGTGTGGGGAGGTATCCGGAAGATCAATTTCCTCTTCAAGGCACCCTCTGTCAGGTGTCATGTTAGCGGGAGAGAGTGTAACTAAGAACATGGTTCAATACAGCTATGACTTGATCGTACAACTCAATAGGCTAGTCAGCGGAAGTCGCCCAGTGCTTCTAGTTACGATAGAATAGTAGGTAAGCCTTCGGGATTCTTACCAAGGCTTCCCCTGCTTATAGCTACCATGGTAGCTGGAAGCACTGGGTCGGGTCCATATCATGTTTGTCCCGTTTCGAGTGATCTAAATATTACGCCCCATGTGGTTTGAGCTTCTCTGATGAGGTGTTGAAGAAGCACACACTGTTCGCGTCCAACAAACACTGAAGTAATACGACTTTCCACGGCGGATTCACATGGCTCAAGTCTTCTCTCCAGCCTCAAACTGGCTGTGGCTCTGAAAAATGTGCCAAAACGGCACCTTGGGAAATAGAGCCAAAGACTCAAACCTGCGAAACCCCTGCTGCTTCATTTTGAGCCACACCCAACTAACTCAAGGCACTGCCCAAGTCCCATCCGGGCATGGCAACCCAAGGCCCTGAAAAACCGATCCTAGGGCCGAAAAAGGGTGTGCGCCTAGGTCGCGAGGAAACCAGCTCCTAGGCCAAAACCATCAGTATGATCGACATGGGAACGGACAAACACACACAGCACACACCACCATGCAATCAAACAGAATGAAACATCCGCAAACAAATACAAACAAACATGCCAGCCCACCAAAAGACCAGCAAAAAGACATGAAACCCACCAAAGCGTTGGTTTCATGCATGGTTCCATTCAGAATGCACAAAACACTGGCCCCTGATTTGACAGGGTCATTAATCGAAGCAGCGATTTTGTTTGCGACAGCCCACCGAAAATGGCGACGTGTTCTTTGGAGTATCTTAAGCAAAAACACAAGCACCACTACAGTTGGTCCGTTGCCCACACAAAAAGGAGCTATCCCCAAAAAGAGAACCCCCCCTTTTGATTGGTATCAGACAAACAACTTTGACTTTCCTGCTTGTTCCCATTCAACCAACCTAGACAAGGGTACTCGAAAAAACAACAACTTTACAACCCTTGGTATGATAGCAAAAAAACAAAGCTCTGCAGCCCCCCCCCCCGCCACGTAACATGAACAGAACCAAACACCCAAAGAAACCAAAAACATATATTCTGCAGCCCCCCCACTTAACATGAACAGAACCAACAAACCGGAAAACCTGACAACAAGCCGACAACAGTGAAGAAACCTAACAGTGGGTTTCCGGTCTTCTTGAGGTTTCCCTCAAGGGCTCCAAGGCACACTTCAGCACAACGCATCTCTCCCCGTCGCCTGGAACGAGGCATAAAACTCCACGGTGAAGTTGGGCCTGAGTTCGCAAGCCGAAAACGCTGAAAACCACAAGGGCCATAGAAGTAATGTATATGTGTACATAGTATATATGTATAAACATGTACATGTATCATGTGTATGATCTATATATATATATATGTGGATACGGTAGGCTCCTCCGACCAGGATACTATATATATACATATGCACATGTGTATATACATATATAGTATGGGTGAATTTCAAAATAATTGGGGGCGTTAAAAGTCGCGGTTTCCCTTTAGTGTCCTTCCTTCCCTTTACCACCGAACAGAGTGCCTCCGAACCAAGACACACCCATATTTCCTCAATAAGCATCTCCCCAACAGCACCTGTGGGAAAGCTGCCGTTTCCGAACACCGACAGGCAAGCGGCGACAAAGATGCCGATGCTGCGAATTCCTCGCCCAATGCGTAGCTGGCCAGCCGGCATCTTGTTGGCACTCGCTTGTGTGGCAAAAACAAGCAACCCGCATCGACACCCGACACCCACCGCCATTTCGAGGGCAGTTGCGGCTGGAATCTTCTGAAGGCTCAGAGGGGTCGCAAGACTCAAGTCAAGGGCGCCTTGGAACTGAACAGCTCCAGATCCATTTCAAGAGTCCACGAAGAAGAGTTGTAGGCCAAATTCAAGGCTCCCAGAAGTTGCAACTTAAATCAACATGGGATGAACTCGTCATTTAGCCCTTCACTTTGTTGAAATCCCCACCCCATATCTGCCGAGACTGGCCAAGCCTGGTTATCATTTAGCATCTGCGAAATCGCCCGATGCGAAAGCAGCGCTCTCCCCAATGGGGCAAAGGGCGGGCTTGTGTTGTATAAAGGGAAGCCCTTTATTAACATATATGTATATCGGGACACAGCCCCGGCCAAAGAACCCCCCAACAGAAGCGAATCTGTTGAGTCCCTCCCGAAAGAAAGCTGTTCCGCCAAAGCTTATCTGGCGGCCTCGCCGGGGTCACCGGTGTGGTTTCTCTTGAAACGAGCGCCACTTTTAGGGTTCCAACAAGGGATAAATGGCTCGGAAAACCCTGCGTCAGAGCTGAATCAGCTGTTAGGGGACAAAGAAAAATGGGGCAAAGGGGGCAGCTCAACATATCGCCTGCGCCTCGTCTCTAGGCTGTCGGCGGGTCGCTGACGTCACTATCACTGGTGTCAGTCCAGTTGCCTGGGCAAGGGTCTGTCTTCTTTGAAGCCACCCCTTTGCGTTGTGGGTTTAAAGAGAAGCCTTAAGGCAAACACACCTTTTCTTCTCTCTTTTTTTTTGGGGGGGGGTCCCTAAAAAATGGCACACCCACCTAGTTCCAGATTTCGGCACCCACAGCCATGTCGTGTTTGCTAAGGGTCCCCGGTAAATCATGCGCAAAGTGACAGACACAATCTACCTGGACCCAACATGTTACCCTTAAAAAAGAGACACCCACCCCATAATGTTGGGCACCCCATGGGTAGTTTGAGGGTCATGGTACTTACAAAGGAGCATCGCCATGAAAACAGACCCAGAGGATACTTGGCTATCCTGTTTCTACGGCGACATCACTCATCTGCGGGTTCAGAACGGGGTAATCAAGCAACACGACTTGCGTTGAAGAAATGAAGCCAGTGACCGTCCAGGCAATGTCCAGGCAATGAGTGATGTGTGGCCGCTGCATCCAATTGTGCCCGTCAAGCTTGAGCTTCTTGCCTACCTCTACAATGGTCTTCCCCAAAAAGTATAAAGTCCACAAGCTCCGGAAGCAAGACGCGCAATGCCTCACCTACACGGCAAAACACGCTTCACCCAATGATTCCCGTATTTCGTGTCCTTTTTTCCTCATTTCGCGCCGATTCCAACAGCCCCAGACCTCCAGCCATGCGAAAAGGATATGTTATGTTCGGTGGCCATTCGTTGGCTTTCAAGGGACACCCACTCCCGAAAAGAACCACGCCCTCTGTTGGGTACGTGGTGCTTAAAAAACGTCACCGACGTCGAAAACACAAATCGGACGGGCCACTTGCTGTGGGTACTTATGGCATTTTTTAAAGGGACAGCCTTCTTGCGAGAAAACGGGGGCAATGCTGCTTGACCGCCACCGTTTGGTTCATGCGTAAACCTCCATAAAAGGTTCGCGGGAAACAAAGGTGGGGTGCCCGACCTGGCCATCGTGAGAATCATATCGGGCGCGGTCTCTTCTTGAGGGTAGCCCTTCAAGCGGGTGGTTTTGAAGGAAAAAAAAAACACATCACATTTTGGGTGGGTAAGACGCACATACGAATTCAAATCCCGTTTCATGAGTTGACGCTATCTAGGTCCAGAAGAGAGGTTAGAAGAAGGGTACCCTTTTTTTCTGTAGTCCATTTTAGTAGGGGAACCGAATCTCCCAACCGAACAAGGGGTGAGAAAGGGCACGATCCTGGGGGACCTAGCGATATAAAAATAGCTTTGGAGACGAGGTCTGGACCACCAAACACCTGACATGGATCTCTCCCATTGGAGCGTCTCGTTGTTTGGTAGAACAAATAACCCCTCGGTCGGGTGAAATTTGGACCTCCTTTCATGGCTTCGTCCTTTTGGTTCCCCAACCCCCATTTTTTTTGGGGTACCTGGACCCTTTTAAACTAACACAGGCGAACTCAACCCATGCTGTAGCTAGCCCCATTATTTTACCGCTATCAAAGTGGTGGATTGAAGGGATATCCCCCCAGTTGCTGACTTTGCTAACTCCTAGAAATAGTCAAAGTATTGACCCCAGTGTTGCCCTTTCAAACTAGCCAACCTCCAACAAAAAAACAAATGGGTACCTGGACCCTTTGAAACGAACACAAGCGAACTCAAACCATACTTTTGGGTGGCACTCACCCATTTTCATGGGTCCTTTGCGTGTGTCCAGGTGGCCACCCATCTCATCATAGCCATGGCCAGTGAACATCCCAATCCAACCACTCATGTTTTTCTAAGATGGGTGGTGCACCTAGCCCAAAATGGGATCCAAAGCGGTTTTGACCCACAGCCACATCGATCCGTCGCAGAAGCAGAAGCCCAGGTTCCGCACTCTCCGCGTCAGAGTTCTCCTCCAGACCCCGGAGCTGCCAAACCTGCACCTGATCCGGCCACGTTTTCCACTGGGGTTCGGCCTGAACCCTCAAACTACCCTGAAAAAAGGGACACCATTGTGGGGCAATACCCAATTTTGCTTGGGTAGTTTCAGGGCTCAGTTGGATTTTTTCTGAACCCCAAAATGACGGTGCTCGAGGTTTTCCTGTTGGTTTCCCTATCTGAAAATGTGAGCCACGGTCAACATGACTTGATTTTCCAAGACGGCATGGCGATGCTTGGTGAGTTGCCCGATTTCTGAATCCTGGCAGCCGACTCACAGTCCGCTTACTATTCAGCTGGGTCGGTTTTTGGCGGTTGGATTCCTCTCTGAGGGGACAGGATCCTGAAGAGTATGAACCTTGTGGCGCAAACCGATGGAGGGCCGCCAGAAGAGTCCTAACCGTGTGCAAAACCCCCGGAGGCTCCGATCGGCTTCGGCTTTCAATGGAAGACCCGACCCCCTCCATGAGACACGGAGGTGGTTGGGGGTCTCAAAACCAGGTTGTTTGAAGGTCCTAAATCAGTCGAATTGGAGCCTCTGGGTAAAACAAACACACACAAACACACACACACACACACACACACACACACACACACACACACACACACACACACACACACACACACACGATGGCCCATCCAAACTCAACAGTGGACCCGTTGCGAGTTCCATCCATCTAAAATGCGTGAGCCTGTTTGATAAAAGAGGCAACCACAAACACCTCCACTTGTTTGCTCTATGTGTGAAAAGACTTGGATGGAAATACACAGAGGCAGACACACTGACACAGCCTTCCCTTGTTCAATAAAAGCCGGTTTGCTATTAGTGCGAGCGATGGCAACCAAATTAAATTTAACAGCACACGCAACCGTGCAACTTGGCAAGACCAAATCATGCCCAGCGCTTCCAGTTACCACTGTAGCAGGTAACCAGGAATTATTACCTCTTTTTTTTCCCATGGATTGTTCCCCTGCATACTAAGTGGTAACTGGAATCACTGGGATGTCACAAGGTAAGTTGCCAGCAGTCGGCGCAAATTGGCTGAAACAACCTCACAAACAGGTCAATCCGTACCCCCCCTCCCGACATGTTGCCGCACAAGATTGACTGCTTGACCATGTGAACAAACTGTCCTTACAAAACTGACGAAGAAAGGACATACACCAAATACAAGAACACGAAGATCTTGCAAGCGTCTTAAGCGGAATGTATCCGTATTGCCTCCGTCTTTCCTGTCATTGCGCGTGTTACCCTCCCTCCCAAGCGCCAGCTTCACATGCAAAAAGGTCCCTTGGCCGCTAACCTCACTTCCTGAGTGGTCAAAACAAGTTCAAACTTTTTGTTTAAATGTCCTTCAGGGAGTGAGTAACAGGAAACTTGGGTATCATGTCAACCATGGGCCAAAAAGGACCCAGCCTGCCGGTGGTTTGGTGGTTTGGTTTCCGGATTTAATTACCCTCTACAAGCACCTGGAGTTTCAGTCCCAAGCCACCAATCGGTTTCCTGATGCAATATGTATGTTGTAATACTGTGATGCAACTGAACGCAGCGCAATGCAATCCGACACATTGACACTACTGATGTGACTCCGTTTGCGCAAAAACCGAAAACACAACAAAACAAACAACATACACATTCCATCCCTTGACAGGGCAAAAAGAGGGACAACACAGGGAAACCATGTCCATCCCTTGACTTGAACTCGTGGGCAAAAAAAAGGACAACATAACAATCGTATATAATGATAACAATAATAGTAAGACTCACGAAGAATAGTAGCACTCACAATGTAATACTTGGACCCTCAAACTACCCTTAAAACAGAGGAAACAACCAAACATTTGTTGGGTTGCAAAAACCTAGTTTGAGGGTTCAGGTCGTTTAAAGGCCTTTTGTGGTTGTTTGATGGGAAACCAACTTGTGTGGCAATACTAACACACATAGCACACTTAGCATATCAATCACCAACCATAATTTTGGGTTGCAACAACCCATGTTTAGTCGTTCTTTTTTTTAATGGGGGGTCAGGTATCTATGTCCATTTCTTGGGGCATCTTGTGTAGGGTTTGTCCGATTGGCCATACGTTTTTTGAGTTGGCACCCCTGGTTTGTGGTTTAAAGGGAACCCAACAGGAAAGCGATTCCTTTTGGTGCTGCTTTGCAATCATTATGAGGTGCTTTGACACTTTTTTCAGAGTTGGCACCCCTTGTTTGTGGCTTTGTTCACCCCTTCCTTGGGTTGGCATCCCATTTTCTTGGGGTTCCCCCCTTGCTTGCGCGGCAAAATTCCGCGCGCCGGGGCCGAGGTTCGTTGGTTCGCGCCTCGCGCTCCGTGCCCAGCACGGCCCAAAGCAGCTCGGGGCCATGGGCCAAGGCGGCCGCCGAACCTGGCGGGAGGCTGGGTGAATTTCCCTCAAGCGACGCGCCCACAACCTGCATGTGGCTCAAATCCATGGTGCATTTCCCTCAATTTCCATTTTGGTACCCGTTTTTTGAGTTACAATCTACATGGGGGTGGCTCAAAATTAAACGATCGGAGGGGCCAACCGCGGGAATTTTGGGAACCATGTTTCCACTTGCCAGGGCAACCCATGTTGGAATTCCGGTTTTTTGAGCCACAACCTACAGGTGGCTCAAATCTCTAGGGCAAAGCGCAGGTTTTAGTCTTTGGTTCCTTTGACCAAGGTGCCATGTTGGGACAATGTTTTGACCCATAGCCATGTGACTCAAACGGTCCAAAGGGCGTCCATGGATGGCTCTAGATGGACAGACCGTCCATAGATGGCGTCAAAGGCGGGATGTGACAAATGAGAGGGGTGTGTCCATAGGTAGATGGCCCTGATACATGACACTCTAAGCTGGAAAATCGATGGGCCTGGTGATCTTGTTTGCACCAGGTAAAGCCATGCATTGTTCAAGCTTGCGCCAACCAAGAAGGACACCAAAAAGGGGTGTCTCACAGGAAAGTGGCATCCACTTGCCTGAACCGATTCTCAAACTACCCGAAAAATGGGTGACTGCAACCCAAAATGATGGTTGGTGATTTCCCTTTACGGATAGTTTGAGGGTCCAGGTGCTTGTTAACAAGCAATTAAATGAGAACTTAAGGGCTTTAATTCGGGTTCCCTTCCCCCTCGTTGCCCAGGCCCTATGATTTTGTGGTGCTTGGATGTTCGGCCAAGCTAGTAAGTGGTTAGCCACCTGGGAGTTGTCGCCCCTTATAACAAGGTTAACCCCACATTCACCGGGGACTTTTTTGGGTGTTACATGTCGGAAGGCTGCCAAGAACTTGCTAACTTGGCGATCGAACAGCCAGGAATCATACAAACAGCTTACCCCCAGCAAAGGGCCGGAGTCATAACCCCCTGCCTGAGTTTGAGAGCCCTGCCTGAGTTTGAGAGATGGCGTCTCCTTTTCGCGGGGGAAAAGGAGACCACTGTTGGAGGTGCCCACACCCCTTTTAGGAAGGGTTCCATTTGGGTGTGGCTCAAAATAAAACGATCGGAGGGGCAAACCTCCATGTTTCCACTTGCCAGGGCAACCCATTTTGGAATTCCGGTTTTTTGAGCCACGGCCACTTAGATCCGGGCTCGACCTTCGTCTGCATGAACTTTCTCCCTCAACCCCGAAAAAAACTGCCTGGGACTCTGAGGGCCTCGCTTCCAGCAAAAGCCGGTTCGAGGAACCCGGACATGGCTCATTTCCGAACGGATCCAAATGGTCCAGAGAAACCCCGTGTCTCTTCGCCAATTTTGCGAAAGGAACTCGCAAAGCCAAAGCCAGAAAGCCGGGAAGGATCAGCATGGAGCTTCATGGGCTCGCCCGGATCCGGGAGCTCCTTATTTAGAAAGTTTAAGATGTGGACTGGGATGCACGGATCACCGTGCTCCGTGCAACTCAGTCACATCATATCCCGACTAAGGCTCACAATCGGCGAAGTCCCAACAAGGGCTGCCTTCAAATTCCCCACAAGGTCACTCCCCCAAATCAAAATCAAACAAACCAGATACAACCGAAATTTCGCTCGAACCCTCGAAAGATACTGAACCCCCTCCCCCAAATGACGCATTTGTTTGACGAAGCCTTTAAAGGCTCTAGACCCCGGACCCCGTCGCCAAACAAAAAAAACATGGCGCAACGGTTGTCCTTTTGGTTTTGCTTCAGAACGGACCCTAAAGGGTGGCCATTCAAAACAAGGACACCAACATTTGCACCAGGACGTCGGGCCACCTACCCAACCTCCGAACACGTTTCTCAAACCCTCCCAAATCAAGCAATCGACGAGGCCTTCAAGGATCTGGAACCCGGACCCCGTCACCGAGAACGTGTTTCTGTCGGCTCCCTAAGACGCTCTAAGACCCCGCCTGCGAAGGGGATGTTGGCCATGAAGCGGCCCGAGGAGTCGTAGATGGCGCTGGTGTCCCGTGCCACCAGGATCAGGTCTCGACCTACGCTGGTTTTCCGCTGGTTCGGAACCCGGCTGAACCTGAAGGCGGCCACCGGATGAACCCGAGGGAACTCACTCGACTCGACAAAAATGGGTTCAGCTGCACCTCCCTTTTTTGGGGGTCCAGGCAGTTGGGACATAAACGCCAGGCCAAAAAAGGGGGCAATGGGGTACACTGAAAATCAGATGTTCCGGGTCTGTCTCATTCTGCGGGTGTGGCCCAAAATGAAGGAGCTACTGGAAACCGCGTAGGTTTTACTCTGTCTTTGGCTCCGTCCATTTGGGCCATTGGTGAGAAGAGGTACCCACTGGCGACTGCAAAGTGGCCAGTTGAACTGCGGGGTCTTTTTTGAAGCCCCAGAAAGGTATGGGAGGCGTTTCTGAAAACAGGATTCGGTCCCCTAAAGCGGTTGCTTTCTTGGATTCTTGGTGGTTCTTCGAACTAGCCCCATTATGGGGCAACCGAGCCTGAAAACAGACGAGCCCCCCAAATACCGCTGAAAGGGGGTCCCCTTGCAAAGTGACCGCGGCTCGTCTTCTTTAGTTGGTACCTGGACCGTGTACCCATCAAAAAGGGAAATCACCCCATTGTGGGGCAACCAATGGTGTGGGTAGTTTGAGCGTTCAGGTAGCTTCTTTTTTTTGCGGTCTTTTGAAGGCAACCGAAGCCATTTGAGGCCTAAAAACAGGCATGCGCATTTGCATCGCGTTCGATGTACAATGCGCATTTCAAGTTTAGAAGTTTGTCTTACTCAACACAAGAACCTTCAGAAAGTGACCCGTTCGCAAGAATCCCTACTTGGATGTTCGGCCAGGTTTGCAAGTGGTCAGCCAACTGAGGTTTTTCATTGCACCCCCCAAACTACCAAACCCCTCTTAGCGGGACTCATAAGTGGGTTGCCACCTACACCGGCGGCGCCGTGTACGACCACCTGCGGCGCCTACTCGCTCCCACGCCGTAGAAGCCCAGCATTGCAAGAGGGGCATCCGCGAACTTCTCCACCGGCTGTTCAAGAACACCAGTTCTCTCCTTGATGTTGAAACAGCAGTATCAGCAGTCATGGGCTTGCTGCTCTGCTTGCGAAATCAAGATCCAGTAGGCAAGCGGCAGGTAGTATGCCTGGAAGCCCATGATAGGTTAACTTACTAATTAACTGGGCAGCGAAAAACCAAGCTTCCATGTGCTTGAAGCCCCTGTGAAGAGTAGCAATATGTTCAGCAGGGATGGATTCCCTTTAGAACCAAACAGAGAAAATCACGAACATATTGAGAAATCAGCACATGATTTCGCAAGTATCGAAACCAATGGGGGGATGGCTTGCTCCCTTCCCAAGGGATTTTCTGAAAACTCAGTTGCTCAGTGACCCTGGAAAAAAAAGGGAACCCTTTTTTGGGAACTTCGAAAGACCATTTTAGTGGGGCAGCCACCCAAAAAAAGGAACAAAAATTGGAGCCACTGAATCTGAACAAGTGAGTAAAATGTACATTTCGGACGTTGCCCAGCGAGCTTCCTGACCCCAGCCGCTGCTTGAACGGAGAGTCCCGCCGCCCGAAGGCCCGAAGCGCCGAAGGGGGGGGTGAATGTTGGACATGGCAACCACTCGCCCGTGAACATCAACCAATCCAACCACTAAAATAGGCAACCTAAAATGGGTGGTGAATTCACCGAAAACCCCAAAATGGGATCCCATTGGTTTTGACCAAGCTGGTTGTTTTTTGCTTTTTGGGTCGGATTCGTGGGGGTGTCCAAGACACAAGTAGAGCTTTTAGCCTTGGCGGGCCTCCACGGAGGGTGCGGGGATCGCGCGAATGGCCCAAGACTCAAGGCGTTCCTTTTACGGCTCCCTTGAAATACCGAACTTCATGCCAGCACCCGGCTCCCACCTTTTCTGCGAAAACCCCATGTCCCAAATCCACTTGATGTCCAGCAAGCAGTAGTTGTGGGGGGTGATGGAAAGTGAGACGGCTGGGACCTGCGCGTTTCGGTGGCCCGTTCCGTTTTTTTCTCTTCCGCCAGGCCCGCGGCTCGCTGCGAGCGCCGTCACGGGAGAGGTCTCGTTCTCCAGCAGGGACTGGCGCATTGGGCTCCAGGCGAAAGTGCGCGAAGTTAGGTGGTTCAACCTTCAGCTACTTGGTTTACGTTGGAAGGGGAGCAACAACTTAAGTTTTGGCAGTTAAGTGGTTGGATTTCAACCACTAAACCACAAGAAGCAAAAATGCAAAATGTTTCCCAACAAGAACCATGTCTAGGTCCTCCAGTAGAGAGGTTAGAATAAGGGCACCCCATTTTTTTTCTGTAGTCTATTTTAGTAGGGGAACCCTCCCAAAAAGAAGGGGTGAGAAAGGGCAGCACTGGGGGACCTAGGCTTTCTTGCAATTGGTTAGTTTGCAGCCCGGTGGTTTGGTGGTTACGGGTTGCTTCCCATTTACCAACCGCAAGAAGGGTTCAACTCCCCAAACTCAGCCAATCCAAACCACCAACAAAGGGCGACCTGAGTTGTGGCACTCTTTCACTTGCACTCTTTTCGTAGAGGAATCCATGCATCCAAAACAGACCCCGCTTGTGCCCAATTCAAGGCACGCCACAAGTCAAAGACAGGGTTAGGCACTGTCTCCCTTGACCACCGCCCAGGCTTTAGACCAATTCCTTCTACATTGGCATGTAATTGAAACAACGCGAAAGGGGTGCCACTGGACAGAAGGGATGGTTCTCAGCTTCTCACCGCATCGACGCCCACTCAACCCCCGCGCCATCTTGCTGCCATCTGCCAGGAAAACCAGGCGAACCTCCTCGGTGGCTGCGGCCCTTCAACAACTCCCCGCCATCAGCTCAACGCATGTCTGGAACAACGTATTTCCTAAAGTCACCAAGGACTAAGTCATGAAGTAAAATGATGCAATCGCCACCACCACAACAACCAACCTAAGCATAACAACAAACGACAATCCCGGCAACAACGACGACAACAAGCTCGACCACGACCAAGAAGCAAAAACAACCACAAACGCGACCACTGGCACCACCACCACCACCACCACCACCACCACCACCACCACCACCACCACCACCACCACCACCACCACCACCACCACAATCACCATAACAACCACAACAAAAAACAAACAAACAAACAAACAAACAAACAAAACTAGCAAGCAAACCAACCAACCAACCAACCAACAAACAAACAACCACACCAAACCAAATCAAACCAAATCAAACCAAACCAAACCAAACCAAACCAAACCACCAACAACAACCACCAACAACAACGACAACAACAGCAACAGCAACAACTACAACAGCAGCTCCTGAACAAGCAGTCAATGTCACGATTGAACAATAAAAGTGACCGCTTGACGCTGCAGGTTTCGAACGAAAAACCTGGTTACTCTCCTAGGTTTTCCAGTAGAGAGGTTAGAATAAGGGTACCAACTTCTTTCTGTAGTTTATTCTAGTAGGGCAACCCTCCCAACCAAAAACGGGGTGAGGTAAAAGGGCACCTAGCTGGGGGACCTAGTCCCACACAAAAAAACGCCGCATCCGTTGGTCGTAGTTCGCACAAACAATTCAAAACCGGAAAACAAAAAAAAACGGAAAAATCAGAATAACACACATACACACACACACACACACAAAAGCCAACCGAAAACAAAAACAAAAAAACAAACAAACAAACAAACAAACAAATGACAAACAAAAACAAAAAAAAAGAGAAACATACACAACAAAAGAGAGAAACGTGGCGCCGGGCGAGTCCTCGAGGTGGGGCTGGGCCACAAAGGTGGGGCCCATGGCCACGAGCTCCGCCTCCGATTTTTTGGTCCGGGGGGGGGGGTTGAGCTGGGGGTTGGGGGTTTGGGGTTTGGGGGGGGTGGGGTTTGGGTGGCTGGGGGTTGGGGGGGAGAGGAGAGGGGGGGAGAGGAGGGGGAGGAGGGTGGGGGGGGGGGGTGTGCGGTTTTGGTGGCTGGGGTTGGGGGGGTGGGGGGGTGGGTTGGGGGGGTGGGTTGGGGGTTTGAGGTGGGTGGGTGACTGGGGTTTGGGGGTTTGGGGGTTCGGGGGGTGGGGGGGGTGGGGGTTTCAGGGGGTTGGGGTTTGGGGGGGCGGGAGTGGTTTGAGGCTGCCCTCAGATCCCCTGCTAAGAGCTGAACTTTTGGTTGACATGGAAACCACAAAACCCTAAAGCCGAACAAGCTAGGGGAACAGCTGGGGGCCACCAAAGTTTGAGTGGCTGGGTGGTTGGGGGATTGGGTAGGGGGTTGGGGTTTGGGGGGGTTGGGGGTGGGAAAATAAAATCCAATCCATGGTGTATTCGGGCAATATGCAATATGAGCTAGACTAGTCTTTGTTGCAGAGTTCAATGGCCGGGTGTTCCCACCTCATTCTCCAACCCTGCACCCGTTTGGACTCATTTCACCTTGTTTTTCCACCGCATGTGTTTATGATCAACCACCTATACGTCACGGCCCCAGCTCGTTTTGGGTGGGTTCCTACCTCGTTTGCACCTGATCTCGTATGTTGTTCAAAACATGTTCCGATTTCTCTAAAACAAAAACCTGCATATCTTATAGTATGTGTTCATGTCTATATACTATATGGACACCACCATTTGGACTGTTTGGAGTGTAGAGAGCGGGTAAACATATGCCATGGAGCGGCCTTTTAGGAAAAAGCAGCACCCAAAGAATGGCGGCTTTGCGGGAATGGTTTCCGCTCACCAAAAAAAGTCCTGGTTTCGGCAAAGTACCGCGCTTCTGATGTCATGGTTTCGGTATGTCTCGGTCCCAGCCCAAACTCGACTTCGAAGGTGGAAGCTGCAGACCTGAAGCCTCAAAGCCTTAAAAAAGGGACACCACACCATGGCAAAAACATAAATTTTACGTTGCTCATGAGTTACAACGTCCATATGAGGCACAGCAAAGGATTGCGGAGTTCCTCACATGATGGATTTTGGAGCACCAAGGGGAACTAGTCTGTAGCTACGAAGCTGAATCGTTTCATGAATTGCAGGGCTTGTTCAATCCAAGACCCGTGGGGAACGCATATTACCTGTACCGTAAGAATACGCCACCAAGAGTCTGGTACTTGTGCAAACTGCATGGTCACTCCTTGCTTGTTTGCAGGGCCAGCAGGATTTGAACCTGCATCCTCCTCAGCTCACTGTTCAGGTGCGCTGCCATCCCCCGACTCCAGCATTGTTACAGGAATTCTACTAACATATTTCCGGCCAAGAACACTCGTTGAGCTTGAGGCCGTTTCAACGTAACATCGAACCGTGGAAGAGCATGATGATACCCCGCTAATGTTGTTGTTCGCCTTGCCTGGAGTCTCCCATGACCTTAAATTAAAAATAACACCAGCATAGACCCCAGATAGCACACCACGGATACGAACCATGACGCAGCATTATCATGATGATGTAGACCATGATGACACCACAGCCACGAAACAAACGCGCAGACAACGTCCTAATGAGATCAGCAGCATAATGATGATTTTGAGAGCAGTCCGGCAGGAAAAAGCAAAAACAACGTCCTGATGAGTTCGACAGCATCATGATGATGCGGACAGCATCATGGTGATGCGGACAGCATCATGGTGATGCGAACAGCATCATGCTGATGGTAAAGGCAGCATCATGATGATACCACAGCCACGAACCATCTTGCGACAGCTTATGAAATTCTGCATCATCCTGATGTTGACAGCATCACGGCGCCACTACACCCACACACCATAACGTGGGAACATCATGACGATACACCAGCCACGAACCGTTACACGCGAACAGCATCCACCAGCACCCCAAACATGCCCCCTAGCACCCGGCATCCACCCGCGCCTCAAACTGCATGCCCCTTAGCCCGGCCGTCAAGCTCGCAAAGCAGCATCCACCAGCACCCCAAACTGCATGCCCCCTAGAACCGGCCGTCAAGCTCGCAAAACAGCATCCACCAGCACCCCAAACTGCATGCCCCCTAGCACCCGGCCAGCTCGCAAAACAGCATCCACCAGCAGCCCAAACTGCATGCCCCCAGCACCCAGCCGTCAAGCTCGCAAAACAGCATCCACCAGCACCCGAAGCTGCATGCCCCCCACCCGGCCGTCAAGCTCGCAAAGCAGCATCTACCAGCACCCCAAACTGCATGCCCCGTAGCACCCGCAAAGCAGCACCCACAAGCACCCCCAACTGCATAGCACCCCGCCCTCAATCTCGCAAAGAAGCATCCACCAGCACCTCAAACTGCATGCCCCCTAGCACCCGGCCGTCAAGCTCGCAAAGCAGCACCTACCAGCACCCCAAACTGCATGCCCCCTAGCACCCGGCCGTCAAGCTCGCAAAGCAGCATCCAGCACCCCAAACTGCATGCCCCCTAGCACCCGGCCGTCAAGCTCGCAAAGCAGCATCCACCAGCACCCCAAACTGCATGCCCCCCATGCCCCCTAGCACCCGGCCGTCAAGCTCGCAAAGCAGCACCCACCAGCACCCCAAACTGCATGCCCCCTAGCACCCGGCCGTCAAGCTCGCAAAGCAGCATCCACCAGCACCTCAAAAAACTGCATGCCCCCGAGCACCCGGCCGTCAAGCTCGCAAAGCAGCATCCACCAGCACCTCAAACTGCATGCCCCCCAGCACCCGGCCGTCAAGCTCGCAAAGCAGCATCCACCAGCACCTCAAACTGCATGCCCCCTAGCACCCAGCCGTCAAGCTCGCAAAGCAGCATCCACCAGCACCTCAAACTGCATGCCCCCTAGCACCCGGCCCTCAATCTCGCAAAGCAGCATCCACCAGCACCTCAAACTGCATGCCCCCTAGCACCCGGCCCTCAATCTCGCAAAGCAGCATCCACCAGCACCTCAAACTGCATGCCCCCTAGCACCCGGCCGTCAGCAGCATCCACCAGCACCTCAAACTGCATGCCCCCTAGCACCCTCAATCTCGCAAAGCAGCATCCACCAGCACCTCAAACTGCATGCCCCCTAGCACCCGGCCGTCAAGCTCGCAAAGCAGCATCCACCAGCACCTCAAACTGCATGCCCCCTAGCACCCGGCCCTCAATCTCGCAAATCACTTTCCCCTCTTTATTAGAAGTTAGAACCCCTATAGCTTTCAGCTATCTGGGGAAAAAGGGGGTCATGGACCCATTAAGGGTCATGGCGGTTAAGTGGGGATTTCAACCACTAAACCACAATAAGCAGAAATGGTTTCAATGTTTCCCAACAACAACCATGATATCGGGTAGTTTGAGGGTGCAGGTACTCGTCTTCTTTCGGGTCCATGCCCGACCAAAACAGAAGCCATACCACCGGCCCTTCCTTCGAGGACAGATTCTTTTGCTTCGACGCCTTGGAATCCTAGCCTCTCTTTTTGGATTTTGCTGTGGTTTTCCGGACAACCAAGAAAAACAACGCAACACGTTCTGAGTCCCGCTGTCTAAACAAAAACAACAACAAAACAAACAAACAAACAAACAAACAGACAGACAGGCAGACAAACAAACAAACAACCAAACAAACAAACAGTAACCAACAAAAACACAACAACGCACACAAAAAACAAAAAGAACAATCACATGGGGTGGATGGCCTTGCACTCAACGCCTCCGGCCTCTGCCTGAAAAAGGCTCCGGATCTTGCTGGGCAGCGGGTGCAAAGGGGCAGCTTGCAGAGATACCTGGCGGCTCGAAAAACTTTCGGCTCGTCGGCTTTTAAAGGGGAGCCAAGAGGGAAAACGCAAGTACTCAGTTGCCCAAACGACCTGTTTATAAAAGGTTAACCTTTTGGGACCTCTACTAAAAATGGACCAAAAAGGGAAAACCAAAAGGTCAAAAGGTCGGCTTTGAACAACTGAGCCCTCAGACACTTTCCGACTAAAAGAGGCCCGTCAAAGAGTTTGGCTCGTCTTCTTTGGATTGGATCGGTCAACATCCAAATCGTACCCCCAGTGAACATCAACCAATCCTCACTAAAATAGGCTCAAAAATGGGTGGTGCACCTAGCCCAAAATGGGATCCCATTAGTTTTGACCCACAGCCATTTCAGCCCCCCAGGTTTGCAGGGCAACCACCTTGAGCTCCAGCAGTGACCCGGGAACTCGATCCCCCCGAATGAGGATGAGCACCCCAAGCATGTGGTCAGATCCTTGTTTCGCTTTTAAAGGGGAGCCAAGACGGAAAACACAAAGTGTTTTATTTTTTGTGAACCCTCAAACTACCCGACTAAACAAATATATTCGCCATGGCCTCCAAATTCATGAGCGGTTTTCCTTTGGTAGTTTGAGGGTCCAGGGATCCCCTTTTGTGAGTTTTAGATTGATTCGAACGCCATTTGAATCCTTTTAGGTTCCTGGACGGGCGATCGGCGATTGAGTCAGTCACAAAGACCAAACCACCCCCAATTGCAGATTGAGCTGACTTGGGTGCCTTTTTGTGGAAGGAACGCCACAAATTTGGGGTGTCAGAAATCCAAAAAAAATGACACGCCCAATCGTAGATTTATGGCGAGGGCCCCAACTTCCGCCACTTTTGTGTCTGTGTTTGAGTATCTTCCAGTAGCAGACCTCAGATTCGGTCAGCCCAAAGAATGAACATGGCACCGAGGGACCAAGTTGCAGGAAGGTTGCAACCCAGAATGGGTTGACTTCCCTCTTTTTGACTGGGCTGTCCTCAGATCCCCGGCTAACATTTTAAAAGTGACTTACATTCAGTGGACTAAATGGAAACCCCTACTAAAGCCGGAACCGGACACGAACAGCCAAGTGGGTAGTTGCAGCTTCAACCTAGCACTCTACCCTCTCTATGGGGAGGGACCCTTATATTCGTGGTAAGCATCCATCCCTCCAAAAACCATACCTGAAAATGCACTTCCTCTCACCAACATCAAGGCTGCGCAATGAAACCCTTTCAGCGACGGGGCCCCATTCACACCACGAGTGTCATCTAGGTCCTCCAGTAGAGAGGTTAGAATAAGGGTACCAACTTTTTTCTGCAATCTATTTCAGTAACCCTCCCAACCAACAAAGAAACAATAAGAAAGGGCACCTAGCTGGGGGACCTAGTCCTGGTTCAACCTCCGTTCCACGGCTTTTTTTCGCCATCTCCACGGTCGGGCATCCGCCCCCCGTGGGCCTCGGGGCCTTGGGCCTTGGGCCTTGGGTCTCAACTCGATGAGTCAGTAACCCGAACCAAAAGCTGAATCTCTCTGAACCCTCAAACAGGGATCCTTACATGAAACACACCGATCGAACATTGCCCTGTAAATGGTGTCCAACTTTGTCTTGGTGTTGAAAAAGCAACATGCTTCACATGGTGGCAACATGGAGATCTTTTAAGGAGACCTGTCAAACTAGCCATAAAAGAATGGTTCTTGCCCCGAACCTATAGGGTGGTGTCCCTTCTTAAAAGTAGCTTGACAAACCAGGTGTTCCTCAACATGTTCAGCGGCGCTAAGTTCTGTCCCTTTTGCCCCCGATGCTTGAGAGATCTCCTTTTGGCTCAAGGCACGGCTTTCCTTGGTAGGGGTGCTGATTCAAGGGATGATTCGGGAAGCCCTGTTCGAAAATCAAAGCTGTGTGCCGCTGTTGGCAAGGAAATCGGCTGACAAGCGAACAGTAGACTCGGCTAAGGATCGTTTCACTGTCAAGTCGAAATGATTCGGGGCTTAGATCTGCAAAACGAAAAACCAACGAACTCATCCTCCGGTGTTGTCGCTTAAGAGAATCAGCTGCTGAACAGGTCACCACCTCAAATTTGTCCAGTGACGCCCGTGTAGTCGGTGCGGTGCCGAGACAGACAACTAAGAGTCATCCATCCCCTTGAAAGATGCTCTCAGATTTAAAGCGCCTCACATCCACATCCCCAGGCCCAGTGGCGCATTGGTCAGGGTTAGGCCAACTTGCAACTCATGGAATGCGCCTTTGGGGGTGCTGACATTCGGTTGGCCTAGCCCCAGCCACTGAAAAGGCCAGGACATGGACAAAAAGCCGCGCAGAACGCGCATGTCTTGTCCAGGCAGGTACAAGCAATCATGATTGATCATCAGCCATGTCCTCCAGAGGGAGGACAGAATAAGGGTACCAACTCTTTTCTGTAGTCTATTTTAGTAGGGGAACCCTCCCCCAAAAAAATGAGTAAAAGGGCACTACTGGGAGACCTAGTCAAAAACCCACCAAGCGAGCTATGGATCTCGGGATATGTGGTCTTGACAACAACGCAAAATGCACCTGCTATAAGCCCTTTGTCTGGCTTGTCGGGCCCTTACCTGGAATGCAACCTGCCACAGTCAAGAGCGTCCATTGAGAGGAGCGCTGCTGCCGCCCATATCAAATATGTTGCATCCACTTCAGACATGTCCGACGTGCATGTGAGTTGTAACCTGTGTAGCTTGTCAAACTTGCTCTTTTCAGCAATATTCCAGGTTTGACCAGGGCAAAGTCTCCATGTACCCCAATTCTTGAAACCTGCAAGCTACAGACTTCCCTGACCCTCGCAGAATTGAAGCGATGCCCTGCTCTTCACACCACATCATGTTTAGCCACTTCAACTGTTTGCTTCCTGAACCCTCAAACTAGCCATAGACTTGGGTTATTGCCCCACAATTCTGGGGTGATTTCCCTTTGTAAAGGGTAATTTGAGGGTCCAGGTTCATGTTTGTTAAACATGAAGCAAATCCAGGACCTCTAGCCGACTCTAGCCCATTGGATGATGCTTTGGTGCCTGCCATGGTTCTGTCGGTTTCACAGCTCGCTATCAGCTGTCGAGACCCGGTCTCTCAACGTCCAACTTTTGCGCTCAGGGGTGGGTGACCTGGAAAACCTGGGGCTCCTAGACTCAGTTGTTCAGTGACCCTGGAAAAGAAGGGAACCTTTTTTAAAAAAGGGAGCCACTGAACAAGTGAGTAGATTTCCAATCTGAGCTTTGAGAATCCTCCACCTAAGAAACCCAGGTGTCTGATGATACTCTGTAAATACCAACGAAAAATTGCTTCCCATGCTTTCAAAGTAGTGCGAACGGATTTCGCAACCATCCACAGGTGCTTCAAGGGGAAAGGGGGGTACTTGGATCTTCGATTCGCCAAGCTAAGTGGTAAGCCAATTGCCTGGACCCTTCACTTTGAAAAGGGACATCACCCCATTAAGTTTTGGGGCAACAACCAATACTTATGTGTAGCTTGAGGGTTCATGTGACTTTTTCACCCGAACAAGGCAACCGGTACTGAACTTGCCTTGGCGAATCAAAGACAGTATCTCCCGACGGCCTCTCGTAGGCGAGATAAAACGGAAGCTATGAGAAAGCGCGCATTCTGGTCCCAACTTGTCTGCCTTGAACATGTCAAAGCGCAACCATGACGCAGTGCTTGGGGTGGCAGGAGATGTCTCTATGTTTTGGGCGCCCTTGTTGCTCGATGAAGTAGTACAACTTGCGTCACCACCCCTGTCCAACCCATTTCGCCGGTGAGGTCGGTGCCTGATTGAACGGAGAAACAACAAGCCATGATCTCAGACTTCAAAAAATCGAAGCGCAATCCCTCACAACCCATGTAGGTCACGACCTATCTGGGTCAATGTGGGCAAATCTTCCATTGGTTTCGGAATCAAGCCTCACAAACATCCATATCCCGAGGCCCAGCGGCGATTCACAGGTCAGGGTTAGGCCAACTTGCAACTCATGTACTGCTTGCGCGAGATGCTACTTGCATTCGCTTGGCCTAGCCCTGGCAGCCACTGAAAAGGCCAAGGCACGACATGGACAACGCGCAGAACGCGCATAAGTCTGGCCACTACGTATTGGGACACCTCAGAACATTCCAGGCAGGTACAGGCAATCATGATTGAGCATCAAGAAACCCACCAAAGAGCTATGGATCTCGGGATATGTGGTCTTGACAACAACCCAATATGCACCTGCTATGAGCCCTCCTGAAATGCAACCTGCCACAGTCAAGAGGGTCCATCAAGCGGAGCGCTGCTGCCGCCCATATCAAATATGCTACATCCACTTCAGACATGTCTGAAGTGCATGTGATTTGTGGGTGTGATTGTGTGTTGTAAGGATTGTTTTTCAGGGGCCCAACAAGGGGCTTAACGGCTTTCCTTTTGCTTTGTCTTGGAAACAGAGGGGTACCAACTCTAAAATAAGCCCTGGAACTTCCGGAACCCTCCATTTCTGAAAGAAGCCCCAAGCCACCAACTAGAGCTTATCTGCGCATATCGATCATAGCTGAAAGAGTTGATGAACTTTTGGTGGCTCAAATGGAACCCCCCACCAAAAACCGAGGGAACCAGGCGACTGGCGACTGCCAACAAAAAAGGGGCTTGAATTCTCAGGCAGTTTGACACATTTGGCATTCATGTCTGCAGCCCTGAGCGGGTGCTCTTGAGCGGGTGTTCTTACCATTTGGAAGGCTTGCAAGCTTTGTGGCAGACGTGGGGGAAAACGCACGTGCGAGCGCGGAAGTGACTGGGAGTATGTGGAGCTGGTGCAATGTGTTTGTGTTACTGAAATCGACTCTTTTGGCATACTTGACTTGTTCGTTGCAGCGTCGGGGCGCGGAATCAGAAGCTGAGACCATCGACCCAGTGGAAGAAGACGCGAGACCCAGCTTGAGTACCAGTTTGTCGGCTGCGAGGGCAGACGTGTTTGTGCAGAGCTCGAAAGACCGTAGAAACCTAGTATG